GCTGCTCTTGCTGTCACGTTTTCGCTGCGAGAGGAAAAGGTTTCCAGTCAGTTCATCGGGTTCGTGGCTGTTGGGTGATGCAAGGGAAAAAAAGAATGGCCTACCTCCGGGCTGGGAGAGTCGAGCGAGTCCTCCGTCTTCGACTTGCGCAACGCTTCCTTGGCCAGACGCGACTCTTCCAAGCGGTTCTTTTCGACGGTCGACAGCCCCGACTCGACACCAGCAGGCGCCTTGGGCACCGTGCCGGTGATCTCGATATAGCTGCTCGGGACAACACCCTCCTTGCCGTTCTTCAGGCGCCGGACCATCCACCACTCGTCCGACTTGGTCTCGTCGAGGATAATGACCTCATCACCCACGTCCACCGTCACCTCATCGTCCCCCTGGGCCATGAATTCATACAGGATCTGGCCCGTCTTCTGCGCACCGCCCACCCCCGCAGCCACCACTTCCTTGAGGCCCTCTGCGCGGTAGATGCCCGCGATCTCCCCCAGGGCGCCGACGATCTCTCGGGCCGTGTCCTTGGCACCGGCGTGAAAGTCGACGCTTTTGCTCGGCCGGACCAAATCGATGAAAACGTGCTTTCCTTCCACGGCGTAGTGCGTGAGCTTGTCCGCCGTCCACTCCTGCAAGTCGCCGTCATCCTCCGGGGAGATAAAGATCGTTCCGGTGGCGGCATTGATGCCCAGGGTCGTCGGCATCTTCTTCCGTTTGCCCATGACTTCCACCATCTCGTTGATATTGTACATGTGATAGCCGGAGGGAGACCGCGGGGCGGGTTGTCCGAATCGAGGATAGGGGGGCGACTCTTTGACATGTTCCTGGTTCCCGCCTCGGACGCCCGAGAGGTGCGTGCGAGCGGGTGGAGAGGGCTGGGGCGGCGGCTCGCGAATGACCGGGGACGAAATCTGCTCCGACGGAGGGCGCTGCGGAAGCACCGGGGGCGGCGGCGACGGTTCGCGGTAGTTGTCTTCGGGTTCGTACGAGGGTTGGGGTGGCGGGGGGACGGAGCGGTGGGGCTCGGGATCGACCGCATGTTGCTTGTGGATGATGTCTGCGATGGCCGCCGCGGCGGGATTCTGGGCGGAGTCAATGGCAGGGCTGGCAGCGGGCGCAGGGGATTCGTCTGCCGGAGGCGCGGCCGGTCGTTGCGGGAGTGAAGGGGGAGCCGGCTCAGGCGATGGAGGCGAAGGAACCGACGCTGCCGACTGGTCGACGATTTGAATATAGTTGGCGGGGGCGAACCCATAATCCGAATTCACCCCAACGAGGGTCCAATCGGGGTCCTCGGTGTCGTACACCAGCAGCTCGGCCTCCTCGGAGAAAGATACCTCTTCGTCCGTTTGGCGTGTGTAGTCGTAGAGGGCTTTGGCAGTGTGGGTTGGTTGAGCCTGTGCATTAGGAGGCCGCGTCAGCAGGTCGGTAGGTCTAGTGCTGGAAGGAAGGAAAGAAAAATGAAGGTCAAGGCTCGCATCGGTCGCTTGGAATGGATACAACGGAAGTTGCTCGACCGACGCCAGGATTCCAACGACCAGGATAGCCGCTCCAGAATGAGGGGGAGAGGAGAGGGGGAGCATCGCGATCCAGCCTTACCTCTTCGACATAGTTATTCGGCACCAAACCCTCCGGTTCATCCTCATCGTCACGATCCGCCTTCTTCTTAGCCTTCCACCAATCGTCGTCGGCACTTTTCTCCAGAACATATAGCAGATCACCTTCGCGCAACTCCAACTCCCCCTGTCCCTGGGGTTGGTAGTCGTAGATGGCCGAGTAGACACCGACGAAACCCATATTGAGGCGCTGTCAGGCCAGCGGCGGAGCGTAACGGGATAGTCGGAAGGGGAGATTGACAGGCGGAGGGGAGGAGGGTTTTCCTCGATAAGACGGCCCAACCGGTTAATAGAGGGGGCGGGGAGACGGTGGTAGGGAGAAGATGGGTGAAGTTGGTCGTTCGGTGGGTTCGATAGATTCGTGGGTTGGATTGGATTGGATGTGGAGGACACCAACCGTCTTGGCAGCGTCAGTTGTCCGTGCTAGTCGTGGCCATAAGACTATGACGAGGAAGGGAACACTCACCACTCTTTTAGGGGAGAGAGAGGGGAAAGAGGGGGGAGGGGGGAGAGAGGAGGTAGGTAATTGAGGAGAATGAGATGGAGGAGAGAAGATGAAGGAGAGAGAGAGAGAAAGAGAAGTAGTGGAAGTGAAGAAGAGAAAGGAGGGAGAGAGATCGTCGGGCAAATCTGGTCGAATCATGGAGAGCGGGGGCCGAAGGCGGTCAGTCTATATCAAGATACACCAGTATCGATTCATATACATGGACAGATAGATAGATCTAGAGATAAATACATAGATAGATGGAGAAATAGAGAGATAGATAGATAGAGAAAGAAAGGTCAAAGGAACTTTGGACGTTTCATCCCAAACTAGTATACAATTCATGCAGAACCCATCCACAACCAACCCGGATATAGAACAACGGAACGAATGATATAGATAACCATCAATGTAAATGTACCAAAAACCAACAGCTTAGAGCTCATCCTTTATCTTCTTCCGCTGGTCCTGCTTGAACTCTTCCTCACTGCCCTTGTCTGCCGTTTCTTTCTCCTCCGGTGGTCCAGGGTCTGGGACAGGGTCCCGAGGGCTGTCCTGAGGGCTGCCCCCAGTCTTCTCCTCAACCGGGTCCTTGTCCTTGCTATGGCCCTTCTCCTCGACCGGAACCTGGCCATGACCCTTCTCCTCTGGCGGAGCTGGCTTATGACTGCCGACATTCTCGGCCTCGTGATAAGGATTTCCCTTGTATTCTTCTTCCTCCACCTCCTCATCATCCTCATCCGTGTCCACAATCCCCCGCAGCCCACGCTCTCCATTAGCCGTGACCACCTCCAACGTCCAATCCTTGCCCTGCGCCAGATTCTCCAGTCGCTGCTTCAAGGTCTCCAGCTTTTCCTGGTCCAGATCGTACTTCTTCAAATGCTCCCGGGACAGTTGTTGCACCTTGCCGCCCTCGCGCTTAGCCACGATCTCAACCCGTTCCTCGCCCACCGACGCAACACGACCCTTCTCAATCTTCTTGCCCTCCGACCCAACCAGCTTCTGCGCCCCGACCTCGATGTCCCCGACGGTAGCAAACTCAGGCTGCTCGGTGGCGTCGAGCAACTGCTGCGCCAGGTGCGTGTCCCGTCGGGCTTCCCATTCAGGGATCTCGTCCGCCTCGAGGACCTCCCGGCAATCGATGGGATGCACCTCGTCCTGCTCAGGCGGCAGGAAGGCGACATCGTTGCAGAGACGCGGCGTGTAGATCACCATCAGGTACGAGCACGTGGTGATTTCCTTGATCCAGCCGATCCGGTCGGTGGACTGCGGGTGGCAGTGGAACTGCACTTCGATCTTGCGCGGCTTCCCGGTCAGGTCGCATTGGGTCCCGCCCTCGAGCCGCTGCACCAGGTACCGCGATCCCCCTTTCGTCTGCAGCCTAGCGACGTCCGCCGTCGTCTTCTTCTTCCTCTTGCGCTCCGGCTCCGCATCATCGCCCTCATCGTCATCCGGCCGGGGAAATCGGCCCAATATAAACGAGAGCGTCGTGGGGTCCTCCATAGGAGGATAGCTGGGAACACCACTCCCCGAAGGGAGAGCATGGAACTGCTTCACCTGCTTCTGGTAGCAGAAGGAGTAAGACCACCACCCAGACACATAGTACAAGCACTTGCCCTCCATCTCGCGGAGAAGCTCCATGCCTCGGTCTGTAGCCCGCGCCAGCTCCTTCTGCTGCTCCGCCTCGCTCTCCTCCGCCGAGCCGTTTGGGTGGCTGAAGTCTTCGGGCTCGACATGCGGGATCCGACAGAGATAGCGGGACCCGCCCAGAATCATATCCTCGTAGGCGGGGCCCGGTTCCGCTTCGTCTTCGTTCGCATGTGCGCGTGGTTGTCGATCATGCGCATCATTACTCAAGTGCACTTGGGCGCGAGTCTGTTGAAGGCCGCTCACGGCTGAGGCGGCCGGGCGGTGTTGGGACTGTAGTAAGTCTTCAGCCTCTGTGGCGGGGATGTATTCGTTCGGAAAGAAGATTTGGAACTAGACGCGCAAACACATCAGCGCATTGATCTCGACGGAGCTGTCAGGAAATCATTGGAAATACCTGAGGAGAGGCGAGTAGATCATCGTTGATGTTGAACACCTTCTTGCTGGCCCAGGCGGAGGGCGTCGCACACAACAACGCCAGCCACGAGGCTATCATCCAGCTGGGTCGACCCATGTCGGCATCTGGCAGACCCTGCCGGGTGTCGATCGATTAATTGTGCTCGTGATGCGGTCAAAAGCGACTATCTGGCCTGTTGGGGGGTGTGCGCGGTAGGAGTGTCCAACGATTCAATGGGTAGATGGAATGAGTTTCAGTAAGAGGGAAGATGTCAATTGGTATTATAATCCAGAAAGAGGAGAATGAAAGCAGGCGCTATGCTCGTAGCATGATGATATTCGAGAGTTGAATAGAATATGGATAGATAGCGGACCCATGGATGGATCCGATCATGACAGCTGGAAAGACCGAGACCAACAGTGCAGTCAGTATTGTGGGGTGATTACCGTAATCTAACCATCTGGTATTATTGCATGTATTATCTAACCAGCATAAAGATGCAGCATAATTACATCATCTCTTACTCCCACGTGTCTACCCAATCCGGCTAGTCTGTCCACCAACCGCAAACAGCTAGCGTGCTGACAATCATCTCGGTCAGCGATCAGTCATCACTCGTCGCATCAGCATCAATCATCCATGACTGATCTATACAATTATAAATTCTTTCCAATTCTTCCAAATAATGACGATCTCCAGTAGCTACTCGATTATCTATAAATTATCACTCCCCATACCATGCTTATTCAAAATATCATAACATTGACTAACTGACCTTTGAAGTATCTTCAACCTTCGACTACCTTCCCCAGCGGAGACCCCACAGCTGACTATAAAGAGGAGCCCGCCCACCCCGATGAGACTGTTTCTGTCGTTTTTCATTGGCATCATTGCAATTATCTTTACAATATACTCTGATCATTTCAAAGTGATCACTACGTCTATACAATCTCATCTACCCACCTTCCTCAAAAACCACAACATCACTATACCAACACCATCTAACACAACAACAACCACCAATACAACCCTCAAAATGTCCATCCCCCGCACAATCCGCACAGTCTTCCACGCCATCGAGCAAGCCGAAGGCGCGGGCGCCCGCGTCCGCCGCTCAATCGGCACCTCCAAGCTCCGACACTTCAGCCCCTTCCTCATGCTCGACCACTTCACAATCGGCAAAGGCGCCGGGTTCCCAGACCATCCGCACCGAGGCCAAGAAACAATCACCTACCTGCTCTCCGGCGGCGTCGACCACGAAGACTTCGCCGGCAACAAGGGCACGATCGGCCCCGGCGACCTGCAGTTCATGACAGCCGGCAAGGGCATCATGCACGCGGAGATGCCGCACGAGAACGCCGACGGCAGCCCCAACGTCGGCATGCAGCTGTGGGTGGACCTGCCGAAGCAGCTGAAGATGTGCGAACCGCGGTATCGCGACCTGCGCGCGGCGGAGATCCCGCGGGCGAGCGTTGATGGCGGGCGGGTGGAGGTGAAGGTCATCTCCGGGCAGTCGCATGGGGTGGATAGTGTGCGTGACTTGGCGTATACGCCTGTGTGGTTGCTGGATGTTACGGTTCGGCCGGGCGGGCGTATTGCGCAGCCGGTGCCGGTGGGGTGGAATGCGTTTGCTTATGTGCTGGGGGGGTCGGCGGTGTTTGGGTCCGGGGATGAGACGCGGGTGGTGAAGGAGTTTCATAATGTTGTTTTTGAGCAGGGGGGCGAGTTTGTGGAGGTGTCGGTGCCGGAGAATGCGGATGCGGAGGCGCGGTTTATTCTTGTTGCTGGCTTGCCGCTGGATCAGAAGGTTGTGCAGTATGGGCCGTTTGTGCTGACGAGTCAGGAGGAGGTTTATCAGGCGATGATGGATTATCAAACTGCGTCGAATGGGTTTGAGAAGTCGCGCAATTGGGAGAGTGAGATTGGGAAGAGGATGACTTGATTGGTTTTATGTATCTTGTTTGTTTTGCTTAGATAGTTGATATGTATACTTATTCCGGCGTTCTATATTTGGTGAATGATGTACTTTGACTACCTATCCGATCGGGTAGACGTTCAACACGAAGAGTTTCTTTCATATTTCATATTATTATATCGAGACAAGGAATCAGCTTACGCGAACGAGCAATGCAAGATCATAAGAAATATCCACAACTACCGCCAACAAAGGGTATTCGGAACATCCTCGCGCGGATCATAGTATATTTTGGATTAAAGTTTGGATAGGACAGGTGCAGAAGCGAGTAGAGAAGAGGCATATAGATGAGAGGGGGCAACGGTCGATTTGGTTGCGATCGACAGACAAGCCCGTGCAGGCAATGGTCGATTATTTGGCAAAGTGCAGGTCGTAGCCAAGCCACCTGCGGGCATTGACGCCCTGCACATCCAACCCGGGGGTGCCGTAGGTCAGCGGCGCGAAGAAACAGAATCCCCAGAAGGTCGCTCCCAGGATGACCAGCGTCGCCAACCAGCCCGCCGCAAGGGACTTGCCGCTCATGCGCTCCTTGGCCGTGACGAAATGCCCCACGCGACGATGCGCCTTAGCCTTGCCCGTGGGATCCTCGTCAGAGCTGGGCGCCTCCACCGCGATCGGCTGGATGTTAAAGATGAATTCCACCAGCGCGCCCGTCACCAGACAAGATGCCAGGTGTGCGGGGAGGTAGTGGTGCAGGAAACGCTGACGGCCCATCAGCCAGAAGGGGAAGTAATGCGCGGCCCAGCAGAGGAACAAGAAGCCGGTGCTGTTGTACAGACGCGAACGGGCACCCGGTCCCCAAACTAATAGTATGTTAGTAAAAGTAATCTAAACAACGGAGTGAAGGCAACTCACTATCTTCAACGGCATCCACGCCGCGGCGCAGAGACAACTGGTCGGCGCCGATGACGCCGGCAAAGACCGCCAGCAGGCTGCTCGCGATCCACCACCCGACCGGGTTGCCCAGGAAGTAGATCTGCTCGCGGGTGTCGTTCTTGGTCCAGAAGCTGACGCCGCGCAGCAGGAAGGGCCACTGGAAGGGCTCGCTGGCGTACGGGTGGCTGCTGGTCAGGGCGTTGTTGTGGTGGAACATGGCCCGCTGGAGCTCCAGGTACTTCCGCAGGAACGGGAGGTGCTTGACCTTGCGCTCCTCCTTCACCAGACGCGGGCTATCCGCGGGCACCCCTTCGACCGAGTCCACCACCCACAGGTTACTGTTCTGGAGGAGGTTCTTGTTGCCGTTGACCTCGGCCTGCTTGAAGCCCCATTCGGGCAACGGCGTGGTGTGGGTCCACATGGCGACCCGGGTGGGCACATGGATCAGTTTGAAGTGGCTCGACAGCGACCGGAACTCCTGCCTGTTCTTTGCATGCTCGATCTTGATCTCGAATAGGGTGTCGTTGTGGCGGTCGCCCTCGGCCAGCTCCGGGGGCACGGTGGTGAACTCCTGGTTGGTCGGCTGAGAGGGCGAGGCGACATCGTGGGTCAAGAGGTAGGAATTGGTGCCCAGGTGACGCAGCTGGACCACGTCGCCATTGCGCACCTTGTGTCCCTCGGTCTCTTCGTGGGGCAGCGGGACCGTGGGAAGGATCTGCCAGTGGTTGTTGGTGTCGTTGAAGGGGTACCCGGTGACCTGCTGGCCCTGACTCGAGATGCGGCCGTCGTCGTAGCGCAACGGATACTTGTCGAAGTGGCTGTGCAGGAGAACCTTGGTGTCCTTGTGGCGCATCGTGATCACGTCGTTGTACTGGATCCCAACGGACTGGGCGGACATGGCGTTATCGCTGAGGGTCTCCTGGAATTCGGGCGTCATGAAGTCGTCACCGGGGCCGGAGCGCGTGAGAATGGCGAAATGCACCTGGAACCAGAAGAGGTAGAAGAGGAAAGGCACAACGATGAGGGCGAAGCCGCGGGCGACAAAGTGCTTGGTCCAGCCGACCATCGTCAGGGCCCCCGACGCGCGTCGGATGTCCAGCAGATTCCACAGGTCGACACAGACCGCGGCGCCGATGGTGACGAAGGTAAAGACACCGACGTATTTGGTCGAGATGACACAGCTCATCGACACGCCCGTCAGCAGCAACCACTTCCACCACTTGCGCCCAAAGGGCTGGTGGCGCAGCTTGTAGAATCGAATGTAGCAGAGGATGCTCAGGGCCATGGTGAGGACCAAGGAGGCGTCGAGGAGGATCAACCGATCCTCTCCGATGTGCGCATTGTCAAACAGCATGAGTCCCGAGGCCAGCACGCAGGCGGGCAGCGAGTAACCCGACTCCCACATGATCAGGAAGACCACCGGAATGGTGAGGGCGCCCAGCGTCGCGGGCATGGCGCGGAGCGCGACATAGGGGACCTTGTTGTCGATGTACGAATCGCCGATGTTGTCAAACAGGAAGTGGCCGTCATAGCCCACCATCCAACCCATCAGGGCAAAGAGGAGCTTTCCGAACGGAGGGTGGACATCGAAGAAGTACGTGCGCTGCAGGTAATAGGAGGCAAACTATCGAATCCCACCGGGTCCCATGTCAGCCAGGAGGTCTCCCACCATTGCAGTTGATCAGGCCGCTTACCTTTCCAAAGTGCACCTCGTCAAAAACCACCTGGTCAGGGTACGAAATCCGATAGAAACGAGTGAGGAACGCCAAGACGGTCATAATGGTTATGGCCAGCCGATAATCCCATTCTGACTTGCGCGGAGGGCTCGCCCCCCTTTTGCCCGGCGAGGTCTCGGGGACCGGAGTGGCCTCCGTCTTCCCAACTCTCTTGCGGAGAGAGGGGGAGGGAGAAGACATGATACTGAATTTGTCGAGAGAAGAAAGAAAAAAGGAAAAAAAGGTTCAGGAATGAGTGAGGGGGTCTAAATTACTGGACGGTGAGACCTATCAGCAAGAAGACCAGGACCGAGGGGGAAACAACAACCTACTATTAGAAAAAAGAGGACTTGATCATGAACAGAGCATGACCAAGTAGAAAGATCAATCAATTGAGAAGAAGACAATGAAAGAAGAAGAAGAAAGAAAATGAAAAGAAAGATGGAGTTTGGAAGAAGAGGATGAAGTCAGTGCTGAAGACGGATTGCGTGTCTTCAACAAACATGGGCGGATCGGATCAAGCTGTGGGTCCGACTGCGCCATCACAGACCCTCAGTCTCACTTCAAACTACCCTTTACACGGGAAAGCTGAAATATTGGAATATAATTGCATTCTGCTATGTGTAAATGATATTGCCAGATCAATGCGAATCAGACCAAACCAAGATCCCATGCATTATCTATATGTACCGATATAGTATTGAAGAAACGTACCGCAATACGCCGCAGCCACATGCAATTATATACAGATGGACTTGACACATCAAACAAATGAATATCCCAAGAAAATATAATCAGACCAATAAGAAAAACTCAAAAATAGATGATAACAATAAGGTGAAGATAAAATGCAAGTCATCAATCATGATCGGACACGTTCAACAACTCCAGTTCCGTCTGAACCAGGGACTGGAAATCGGTCCGCGAAATCCCCGTGGCTTTCGCCAATCGGAACAAGCTCTTGAGGTTCGAGCTGATATGCTGTTTGACAGCAATCTCCCCGGATGATTGGTTTTCCGCCTCCTGTTCGAGCTTGGAGACCGCCTCCGAGCTCATGGACGGCGTCGACGACGGTCGCGGGTGGTTCAACGGCATCGTGCTGTCCCCGTTCGCGACGGGAGGAGGCCCGTCGGCCCCAGAGCCGTTGATCTGTCGCTTCAGGAGACTGGCCAGCATGTCTCCATTCAGCGACGACGGTCCGACTTCGGGCTGTTCTTCCTCGGGGTCGTGGTTGTCCAAAGCCGGCTGGACGTCGGCGTAGCGAGAAAAGTAGGAGGCCTCGGAGGCGTTCTGCTGCTGCAGCGACGAGACCGGGTTGGGAGCCGGCGTTTTGACGGCGGGGGTCCTCCCCGGTGTGGCGTCGTATTGAGCCCAATAATCATCATCATCGTCTTCCTCTTTTTGCTCGTCCGCGGCCGGTGGGGCACTTGGTTCGCGTGTCTCCGCAGCTCTCAACGCATCCTCCACCAGCTGTTCCTGCGATCGCGTCTTTGCTTCGCCGATCGACAGCGACCAGTCGGCATTGTCACCCCCGCTGCCTTCCTCGGGCAGAAGCTCGGCCAGTCGCCACCCGGGACCCCCTCCATCCTGGTCGTTCGGGCACCAGAGATAGACCGCGATCAACCCGTAGTCCGGTAGAACCATGCGCGAGTGGAGCGTTTCATCGTCCACCCGCTTATATACGATGGGGACCTCTCCGTGTATCTCGATCTCGCCCGAGACCGGGTGGGGTTCGAACTCGGTGCCGTCCACGACCCTCTGGAGGTGCTCGGCCTTCCCCGCATCCCAGCAAAGCAGTCGAAGCCACGATTCGGTCGGGGACGTGGTGGCGGAGCCGAGAAACTGGACGCGCTGGCGTAGAATGGGAGAGAGGAGGGGGAGGAAAGCGGGGGAGGGGTGGGAGAAGCGAAAGCCGTGGGGAGGCAGGCTAATAACGGAGGGAGTAAGGCACGCGGGTCGGGGGGGGAGATGAGGTCGATCATGATTACCGTGAGTCAGCTTTGGGGAGGAAGGGAGAGGAGGGAGAGAAAAGAATAAGAATAAAAAGAAAGAGAATAACAATACTGATGTAAGAGAGAGGAGAGTCGGTGTCAAGAGAATGAAGCAAAAGAGTGGAGGTTGTAGTTGTACAAGTCACATCCAAACTCCCCAAGGTGGGGGGAAGCGATAAGAGAGGAGACGAGCGGAGATGGACCCGTTTTTTATAATCTTATATCAGCTCCTTTCGTCCGGTTGAAACATGGAGAGACCAATGTAGTATTCTGTGAATAAAGGAAATGTAATCAATGTTCTATGCTCATCTAGAAGGACCAATTGATCGGTAGTGGTTCGTGGATAGCAATCGTCACTGAATTTTCTGCGGATTATTTACCCTGTAATATATATCATTTTTCTATAATCTATAATTTATCTTTTCGAGAGTTGATTTGTGTCTATCAATGATCTTTATATGGTTAATTTTTTATATAATCTATTCTATATGATCCACCTCTTCTATGATTTTTCGTATAATGATTCTATTCATACAGACAAAGAACGGCTCAATGTCCTGTCATTCCTCCCTGGCTGCATGCAGATTCCATAACACAATTCCCCACTCTCATACTTGGATACAGTCGCCAGAATTATTCCAATTATTATTCCCATTATGAGAGAGTCATCATGACTACTTCTCACGCACAGATAATTCAGCGCCCAGGTAATGGGAAGCTGTGGAACACACTTCAATGTTTCCCTGCCTAAATCGAGTCCTATTCGACAACCGATTATCTGCAGCTCTGATTCGAATAGCGGGGTGATCTTTCCTTCTGCATCTTGGATTGACTCTCTGCCTTCAGCCTGATAATTACTCTCATGGCGGTGATATCTCCGTTCAACCTGGTATAGCGACCAGGGATCCAATCCACAAACCATGCAGCATCTTCCCTGCGGCCTCTCAACCGGTGAACACTGTTCGCACTCTCCAAAGCGAGCGATATGACCTCTCAGAGGATCAAATATGTGCAGGAGTCTGGTGACTGGTCACCACCCGTAGCTCAAACAGGCCCTCCGCTATATCCCTTGCTGCTCTCGACAAACCACGTTCTCTCCTATCAAGCACCAGATCCACAGCCATCAGATGGTACACACAAGGGTCACCCTAGTCCTGAAAAATGTCTGTCATCCTAGTCATGAAAAATGTCTCCATCAAATCTGGGTCTCTGATAGGGTCGATGATCTCCCGCGGGTCGATCCAGGGGTGGAAGGGCTGAAGGACGCGCCTACTTCGTGTTGCATGGAGCTGATTGAAGGATCACGCCGTATCCTACTCGATTATGCTGTTCAGCTCCGGCTAGTTCGAGACTAGAGTGTTACAACCCTGCGTGCAAGTATAGCCAGAGAGCCACCCTGGTAGCTGATTGGGAGGGTGGAACGGACAGAGGAGAAAATCCAATCTGATCCGCACCTCGGCATTTTGCGAGCCATCGCTATCACTACCACCTTCTTGCCCCACCCATTCCCATCACAGCATGTACATTAATACTATGATCTCCGCGACATGAATCATCGCAGTTGGGAAAAGCTCTGAGGTTCGGATGTCTTCCTCAGCGACGGAACAGGTGGGAAAGATGCCCACCAAGCCCAAGTCCCCGACCACAGTCGAAGAAGCAGATGGGCCAGAAGATACGCCCCCTGGACTGTCGGCGCCCGATGATGTCTGCCCGGAGGAATTGAAGTCGCTCGAGAAGCATATTCGCTGGAAGACCGATATCCGCCTCTGTACCTTAGCAGGTATCCTGTGCAGTCTGAACCTGTTGGACTCCGGCATCCTCTCGTCGGCGTCCGTCACCAGCATGCTACAGGACCTTGACCTCCAGGGCACGCGATACTCGGTTTCCATCTTCATCTTCACCATCTCCAGCGTGGTCTTCCAGCTTCCCTCCACAATCGCCGTGCGATTGGTCGGTCCGCGCATCTGGTTCGCCGGCATCACGTTCTGCTTCGGCTTGATCACGCTGTGCATGGCCTTTGTCCACACCTGGCGTCAAATGATCGCCCTGCGCGTGCTCCTCGGCATGGCGATGTCAGGCATCTACCCGGGGCTGACCTACCTGGTCAGTACCTGGTACACGCGGCGCGAACAGCAGCTGCGCTTTGCCTTCCTCCAGTCCGGCGAAGTAACCGTGCTGGCCACGGGCAACATCGTCAACTTCGGACTGAACCAACTCGACGGCCGAGCCGGCCTGCGCGGCTGGCGCTGGATGTTCCTCGTGCAAGGCCTCATCTCCTGCATAATCGGCGTCGTGACCTACTGGTGGATGATCGACTTTCCGGAGCGCGCGCAACACAGCTTTTACTTCCTCTCCGAGGACGAAGCCCGCATTGCCACGCAACGCATCCAAGCCGATCGCGACGACGTCGCCCCGGAGCCCTTCTCCTGGCAGAAAGTGCTAGTCAACTTCGCCGACCCCAAACTCTACGGCTTCGCCGTCATGTTCTTTCTTCTCAACTTAGTGTCCACAGCCTTGAACTACTTCCTTCCCATCATCCTCCAATCCGGGATGGGCTTCTCCAGCAACCAGTCCATTCTCCTCTCCACCCCAGTATGTCACCTCCCCCTCCAATTACACCAACCCCCCATAAAACTTAGCTAACTCTACCAGCCCTACTACTGGTCCGTCATCCCAGCACTCCTCACCTCCTTCATCGGCGACACCTACCACGTGCGAGGTCCCCTCATCACCTTCAACGCCCTCTGCCTCGTCGCCGGCTTCCTCATGCTAGGTCTCCCCTCGCAGGTCACAGTCCGCTACATTGGGACTTTCCTCGCGACAGGCGCCTACGTCTCCAACTGGGCGGCCCTCAACGCCTTCATGGCCAACAACATCGTCGGCCAATGGAGTCGCGCTACCGTCGCGGCTGCCGTCTCAGCTTGTAATGGCCTCGGCGGTGTCGCGGGGAGCTACATCGTGCGGTCGGTTGAGGCGCCGCGGTATCAAACTGCTGTTTGGGTTGCGGTAGGGTGAGTCTTTTCCCTCCCTTACTTTATTTTTGATCACTAGGGGATTAGACAGCGTGCTAACCATCACGGCTACGTTTCCAACGATAGATCCCACATCCTAATGATCGTCATCGTGGGGATATTCACTGTGTGCTTCTATCGGTGCAATCAGCAGCAGAAGCAGGGCCTGCGGGTTCTGCAGAATAAAGTCGGTTTCTCCGTGATTAACATTCCATCATGTACAGTCGTACTAACCTGACTCATGCAGCCCGGATTTCGATTCACCTATTAATTAGCAGAGACTTTTTTGACAGACAGACAGAAAGACAGAGTCAGTCATGTGATGGACTCGACGAAAATGCAAACGATAGATTCTCTGTCTTTAGTTACGCAGATATAAAATTTATAAGATTAATTAAATATAGGGGTTTACTGATACCATGTGAATGAGGTAGTACTTTAACGGAATAACATTGGAGTGTACATGTCTTACTCTATTTGCTTTTTAAACTTGGACAATGTATACTACCTATAGTTGCCACCACGAGGACGACCATTGTTCTAGATATCTCATTTCCTTCTTAGTTAGGTCTTATCTCTATTTACGCTGTGGAAAGCTTCGCTGAATATCAAGATTTCTGCTATCAACATCGATGGATCGATTGAGGCACCCGGGGTATAAGTAAGCTAAGTAGGCACCGCATAACCGCATAAAGCTGGTACAAGGGAGGGAGGGAGAATAGAAAAGGACGTGATGTACATGTTGCAAAGGCTCCTGAACCATATTTCATATTAGATCAGATCAATCAGTTCATTCCGTCTTTCTGCTCCAGTTTGCCCACAAGCCGCTTCATCCCCGTCCATTCCTCGGAGGGCACATCCTCAGGCGTCCCGCTGAGACCCTTGCCGACTTCAAATACAGTCACCACCCCGTCCAATCCGCCGGTAGCGATGCGGCGGCCTTCGCGCTCCTCCCAGGCGACCTTGTTGAGACTGCGGGTGAGGATGCCGCCGCGGCCTTGGGACGGCGTGGCCTTCACGGCGGGGACTTCGGTGTCTGTGTAGAGGTCCCACACCTCGAGGTTGCCGGCACCGTCGACGAGCGAGAAGACTCCCGGTCTGTGGGGCGACCACCGCGCGTCGTAGACTACGTCTTCGCGGTTGATGTCGAGGATGGGGGAGACGGTTTGGGCGGCGGGGTCGGCTGCCGAGGTTGGTGCTGTTGTGGCGGGCGGGCGAACGCGCCATAACTTGACCGTCCAGTCGAGACTGGAGCTCAGCATTAGGTCGCCGAGGTCGACGGGCCCGCGGGCGGGGTGGAAGGCTGTGGACATGATGGGCGCGGCGTGGCCGCGGTAGGCGAGGCGGTGGTCGGTGCCGGCTTTGGCGCCCGCGCGGTCGTATCGGTGGCAGGGGTAGATGCCGCCTTCTTCGGTGCCGACGACGAAGAAGGTGGGGTCGGACTGCGGGAAGGACATGGTGGTGGGGGCGAGGTCTTCGGTTTTAGACGGAGGAGGGGTCGACAGTTCGAGGTACTCTTGGGGCTGGGACAGCATGTCCACAGTCCAGCCGCAAACCACGCCGTCGGTCGATGCCGTCAGGATGTTGTGCGCGTTTTGGGTGCCGATGATGGAGATGCTGTACACCGGGTGGGTGTGCCCCGAGCCGGTCAGGGGGGTCTTCTGTACGGGAGCACCGCCTCCGGCGCGCGACGAGCGGGTGTCCCATAGGAGGACCTGGCCCGAGTAGGAGCCGCCGACGATGAGGTTGGGATGGAACGGGGAGAACCGGGCTGCCAGGATGTCCGATGTGGAGTGGAAGGTGTATTCGGGGCGCGAGTGCAGGTGTTGGTTCCAGACCTGGACCAGGCCATCGGGCTCGTGGGGAGCCGAGGGATTCTTGGTGTACGACGCCAAAACTAGCTCGGGGAACTGCAAGTTTTGTTAGAGACATACCGCAACACGCACGGGGTGATCGTGTAGTGACAAACCTTGGGGGAGAAGCTAAGATCGCTGATCATCCGTTTCTTAGATGCTTTCTCGTCGTAAAACTGGCACACCTCCCTGATGCTTCGTCTCTTCTTGCCCAGACCCTCGTCTTCCTCCAGATCTCCATCCACGCCCCCCATTTCGTAGTCTGCCAGCACGTCGTACTCCTCGTCCAGCGCACGCTCAATGACCTTAGCCGATCGCTCCACGAAGTCCAGGAAATCGTCCGACGAAGTGACGGCCTTCATCTCATCGTCGTCCAATGCCCGCAGGGGATAACGCAACCTGGCCGCCTCCTCCCCGGCTTCATTCTCCGCCTGCCGTTGGCTCGCCTGTACTTCCTCCTCGATCTCCCTGCGGAGCTTCTTGCGGATCTCTTCTTCCCGCTCCCGCTCCTTCTTGCTCAGGGGTCTGCCCGCGCCCGACGGGTCCTCCGAGTCCTCCCCATCCGAGTCGACAGACGAGTCGAGCCCCTGCTTCAGGTCATCCGTTTGAACCGCTTTACTGTATGTGACGACTTCCACTGGAGGTTCCGCCGGCGGTGGGGCTCCAGGAGTCGGTGCCGGATACGTCTCCGCGCCCACGGTCTGAACAGCAATGGACTGGGAGATGGGTCGCGATGGCGCGCTGAGGATTTCCGGATCATTTCCACTGATTTGGCTGGCGCTGAGTACGGAATTGGGTCGGCTCCCTTTCCGTGAGATGCCATCTGCCCCGTGGCTCATGGAGGCCGACCCGGGGCGGTCCACCAGACGGGAGATCAAGTCATCAAGCTCGGCTCTACTATCGGAGCGACTGGGAACAGGAGAGACGATCTAAACACCCGAAACAAATTGGCATTAGTTCAAGCTGTTTTTGTTTACCCAGGAGGGGAGCATCGTACCTCTGAGCCGTCGCCGCTACTGACTTTACCCTGGGAGAACTCATGTTGGCGCAACTCCCTCTGACGTTTCAGTTCCGCAAGTTTGGCGCGTTTGGCCAGAATCTCAGCCTTTCGTTGTTGCATGGAGGATGACATAGTGAATGGGGAGATTCTCCCATGCAGACGTTCTACCTCCAGGGGATTATTTACCTTATCATACAGTATGTCAATGGCGTCTGTTCGGGTGGATGACATAAGCAGACACTCTCCCCGAGCCGGACCGGAAAAACTCGCGACGGGCAAAGTTCCTCCCAAGCTTCTTCTCATCTCATCCCATTCTACTCCCGGTTGCCCTGCCATTGACTTCTCGATACCCTATCAATCGGTTGTTCGGATTCCCGGCTTTTTTCTCTCGCTCGAATTCATCCACTCGCTCTAGAATCGCCGCTCCGGTCGTTAGGGTCTTATCGAAATGGCTTCCACACAAGGCGTCAACGTGAGTGTCCCGCAAGGGCCACCGCACCCGTCTCTTTATAGAGAGGCCTCATATCGCTCCACCACTCGATACTGACCCTTGATCCCCGTTTCTCGCGCAATAGGTCCTCCGTTACTCGGCTCTCGTTGCCGGTCTCGTCTACGGCGTTTACCACCAGTCCTCCATCTCCTCCAGCGCCAAGCAAGCCGAAACCCAGCGTGAATATGCCCGCCAGGAGCGCCTGATCCAGCAGGCCAAGGCCGAGTGGCAGAAGAAGACGCAACCCCAGAACCCCCAGGCACAGAACAGCGGAGGTATGATTGGCGAATTTCGCGTTCCCTGTGCATCCGAACCATCCCCCCCCCCCCCCCCCTTGGGACTTCCATCCCGTCGGATGTACCGCCAACCATTGAGGATGTACCGCTAATCATTGACTTCAGTCATTACGGATCCCGAAGACAGCCGGTTCGACCTGGAGGCTTTCTTGAAGATGAAGGCTGGGGAGCTCTAGATGTGAAAAGAAGTCCAGGAAAAGGAGTCAAGGATGAGTGGCAGTCCGGATATACGGTTCGATGGCCGTTTTTCTCGGGTGCCAGAGCCGCGGTTGGGGTCGACCCCGACTATGTACTATTGTTTGGTCTAATTTTCCAGATTCGTGTCATTGCGAGCGAAAGGAATGATGTTTTCTTTTTTTCTTCCCCCTTTCTTTTTTTCCACCGTCTTCCCTTTTTTTGGTTATCATAGAGAATCCTCTCCGAGACTTGTACATACCCTGGGCTGTTGTGCTTCTTGTACACTACAGTTGGACCAGAGCAAGAGATTGACGTTTGTTGCGATGCGGATCCCTTGTCCCGATGTGTGTGCACTCTCGGAAAAGTTCGCGCGTTGTTCGTTCGTATTGTATTCTATCGCTTGCTCTTTAGATCGTCAAGGCATTAAAAGGTTATTTCCCGAGGTGCGACGTCGCTTAGTCCGTGCAGCCATCCGCGGATCCCCTAGGATCAATATGTAGTATGTGTCTGTCTAGACCCCGAAGTCCCTTATCGGCTCCCACCTTTCCCCAACATCGCCAATATTTGGCTCACGTCGTGATAGAGTTTCCCATCGTCCTGCTGGGGCGCCTCTTCCGCCGGTTTGGGATACAACAAGCCTGCCTGTTCATCCCACGTCCACCCGCAGGCGGTGAATATTTGCAGCACAGCTGGATCGCCCTTTTCGGCGGCAGATTGGTCCAGCCCCATGTAGCCGGCAGCCGCAGCGGGTTTGATAGCCTCGTAGGCGTGGCTGACCTCCTTCAGCGTCTTTTCTTGAAAGTATGCTATAAACCACGTTAGGAAGATCCACAGCAAAGTGTGACACAGAGCAAGGTGGGGTGTTCGCGTACTATCATAACTTTGAACCACCGACTTGAGAGATTCCGGCCACGGCAGATTCCGCAGGATCCGGTATACTTGCTCGTGATTTTGTTGCCAGACGACGCGCAATAGCGTCAGACAGTTTTGTAAGGAAGGATCTTTCTGTGCTAGGTCTTGCGGCATCCGTTGGGTCATCGCGCGCGCTTCGTATCTGTTGATAGACGGTCCGATGTTAGTATACCCATCTAGTCATGACCGCGATCGTCTACTCCAAAGAAACTCACGTTTGATCGGTCAACAGGTGGGAGAAGAAGAATGTTGAGTAGAAGACGCTGAGAATTTCTGATTCTTTGTCGTTTGTTGTAGAGAGGAATAATGCTGGACTCTCATATTTGGCTAATGTGTCGTATAGGTCGCTGGGGTTGGCGGCCTCTGTGAGCGCTGTGGAGATTTGCTCGAGGGAGAGTGATGTTTGATTCATTATGTATAGGCTAGGAGGATGGATAGATAGAACTCAAACAGGAGAGATATTATTGAGAAAAAGAAGACGATGGTGTGGATGTATGTTCAATGTAGAGAGATGTGATGGTGAAGATAATAAAGATGATGATGATTGAGTGCGGGGAGACTCCGGAGCAAGCCTCAGGCAGCCAGGCCATTACATACACACGTTCCATACTTTACCAGATCTCACCACGACACCATTAATTTCTAACCTGTTAATAGTCAGAGTATATTTTTAAGGTGTATATTCATGACAGCAGTAATTCCATAATATTGCCAAGCGAATTGATCGCCATAACCCGATGGATAGAATAGTTAGTACTGCGGCTCGGACTTACATACGGAGATGTACCTGCCAAGCCGTCCCGAAGTGACCACCTTGCGAAGCTCCCATGATAAACATACTACTTACCGGTCAACTTCCCATCACCCATTGACTTCCTCCCGCCTCTCGGTATAACTTCACCAGGGACGATCGAATGTCGCTTCATATTATCTCTCTCTCTTAATCTTCCATTGGATTCCATCGTTCCTTTCTCTCCGGGCCATCATGGCCGACTCCCCTGTTGATGCCCTTCTAAAGGGCAGCTCGGGCAGGACCACGCGCGGCATGCTGCGCATTATCATCTTGGCCATTATCGCCGCCGCCGCTGTGTCCTCCCGTCTGTTCAGTGTGATTCGTACGTATTGGATCTTCGGACGGTCGACTTGCGAGTAATCAATTGGATTGGATACTAACGTGCATTTCCCCAGGTTTCGAGAGTATCATCCACGAGTGTATGTTGGCATCAACCGAACCATACCTAGCAGCTTCAAGATCCATGATTCCTATTTCACCTCTGGAATTATTTTCTCGAGACACATGTACTGACTCGCTCGCAAATGTATAGTCGATCCGTGGTTCAACTTTCGCGCAACAAAGTACTTGGTTCAACATGGCTTCCATAGCTTTTGGGATTGGTTCGATGACCGTAGGTCGCCCCGGTCATGACAATATGGCATTTGGACACTCGATTCTAACGAGAGATTGCTGCATCTAGGGACATGGCACCCGCTGGGACGAGTGACGGGTGGTACGCTGTACCCCGGTCTGATGGTGACCAGCGGCGTGATCTACCACATCCTGCGGTTCCTGACGATTCCGGTCGACATTCGCAACATCTGCGTGCTTTTGGCGCCCGCTTTCTCGGGCCTGACCGCATTCGCCATGTATCTGTTGACCTGCGAGATGACCGTTTCGCCCTCCGCCGGTCTTCTTGCTGCCGCGTTCATGGGCATCACCCCCGGTTACATCTCCCGGTCCGTCGCCGGTAGCTACGACAACGAGGCGATTGCCATTTTCCTGCTGGTCTTTACCTTCTACCTGTGGATCAAGGCTGTCAAGAATGGCTCGATCATGTGGGGCGCCCTCACCGCGCTGTTCTACGGTTACATGGTGTCGGCCTGGGGCGGTTACGTCTTCATCACCAACCTGATTCCCCTGCACGTCTTCGTCCTTCTCTGCATGGGGCGATACAGCTCTCGCCTGTATATCAGCTACACGACCTGGTATGCTCTGGGAACATTGGCTAGCATGCAGATCCCTTTCGTCGGATTTCTGCCGATCCGGAACAGTGACCACATGTCTGCCTTGGGTATCTTTGGTTTGATTCAACTCGTTGCGTTCGCCGACTTTGTCCGGGGCTTCATCCCCGGCAAGCAATTCCAGCGCCTTTTGACGACCATGATCATCCTCGTTGCTGCCGTCGCCTTCCTTGGCCTGGTCCTCCTATCGGCCTCAGGCGTCATCGCCCCGTGGAGCGGTCGTTTCTACTCCCTGTGGGATACAGGCTACGCCAAGATCCATATCCCGATCATTGCGTCCGTATCCGAACACCAACCGACTGCCTGGCCCGCCTTTTTCTTCGATCTGAACTTCCTGATCTGGCTCTTCCCTGCCGGTGTCTACATGTGCTTCCGTGAACTCCATGACGAGCACGTGTTCGTCATCATCTACTCCGTCCTCGCAAGCTACTTCGCCGGTGTCATGGTTCGCCTCATGCTGACCCTGACTCCGATCGTCTGTGTCGCCGCGGCTGTGGCTCTCTCGACCATCATCGATACCTACGTCCTCACCACGCCCGGGCCCCTCCCCCGTGCGAAGTCCAGCGTGGAGAGCTCTTCGGACGGGCTGCGTTCGACCCGAGGCCCGGTCGTTGGCATTACCTCGTATGTGTCGAAGGCCATCGTCACGGTATCAGTCGCGATCTACCTCCTTCTCTTCGTCGCACACTGCACTTGGGTCACCTCGAACGCATACTCGTCCCCCTCCGTCGTGCTGGCGAGCCGCTTGCCGGATGGAAGCCAGTTCATCATCGATGACTACCGCGAGGCGTACTACTGGCTTCGCCAGAACACGCCTGAGAACGCGAAGATCATGTCCTGGTGGGACTACGGCTACCAGATCGGTGGCATGGCGGACCGCCCGACGCTGGTCGACAACAACACGTGGAACAACACCCACATCGCCACAGTCGGCAAGGCGATGAGCTCGCCCGAGGAGGTCAGCTATCCCATCCTCCGCCAGCACGACGTGGACTACGTGCTGGTGGTGTTCGGCGGACTGCTGGGCTACTCCGGCGACGACATCAACAAGTTCTTGTGGATGGTCCGGATTGCGGAAGGCATCTGGCCGGACGAGATCAAGGAACGGGATTTCTTCACGGCGCGGGGCGAGTATCGGGTCGACGACGAAGCCGCGCCCGCCATGCGTAACAGCTTAATGTACGCCTCTTCCCTTTCTTCCCTTGTTGTTCTTCCCACCCCAATACAACCTGCTGACATTCTTCCAACAGGTACAAAATGTCCTACCACAACTTCCACAGCCTCTTCCAACCGGGCCAAGCCATGGACCGCGTTCGCGGCTCCCGACTCCCCGCCGAGGGACCCCAGCTCTCCACACTGGAAGAAGCCTACACGAGCGAGAACTGGATCATCCGAATCTACAAGGTCAAGGACCTGGACAACCTGGGACGATCCCACAACAACGCCGTGTCCTTTGACCGCGGCCAGAAGCGCAAGCGAGCGACCAAGCGCAAGGGACCTCGGGTTCTGCGAACCGAATAAGGAGGGGAAAGCAGAGTCTGGCATTTCTGTTCTGTTCTGCCTCTGGGGATGATTTGTTCATCCCAGTTCCCTGATAGCGTGTCTTTGGTTTGCTTTGTTTAGTGTTTTTGTAACAAGTCCATGAATTCTTCGGTTCCGTTTGTATTTTCAAAATGTGTTAGTTAGGTTGATATGTAGAGCTAGCTGATTCAATGGATGTCTTACACCTCATTTCAGCGATACAATGATAGTCAACTTTGAATGACCATGTGTACCTTAATAATGATATCCCATTGAGTAAGGCGTATAAAATTGGCAGGGTGGTATCTTATGACTCCGAGATAACTATAACTAAATATACAAGTACAAACGTAGTAGAGGAAGGATTCGTCAGGGATTTTTGTTCATCCAGTTAGTCCGGTTTCGTCCGTCTTTTGTTTCTGTCCCGCACTGGTCGCAGTAGAGTCGTAGTAGCGGAAGAGAGATGAAGAAAGTCGGGGGGTAGGCACGCCACGGTCCAATCCGTCTGCGCCGACTTCCCAGAGACGAAGGTAAGCACATCAACGACGAAATTATATCCAGATTCGCAATCGAAGGACCGCCCCCCGTCACATATGGACGAGTACTGCAATCAATGTGTCCCCGTTGACGACATATCCGTCAGACCGGAGATCGAATCGGCTAGGATGAGGGAGGGGAATTTATTGCTGCTTCGGCTGCGCAGGGGCGTCGGGGACCTTGACGTCGGAGAATTCTTCCTGGCCGACGGCGCGGATGGTGTATGCATCTAAAGAGAAGGTAAGTGTCAGTCTTTATTCTTTCTCTCTTTCTTCATTCCTTCTCGGTTGTTTTTCTGCTTTCTTCTCTTCTCAACTTGGGCGCGGGGTGTGCGGAGATCTAGGCTCGGGGAAGATCGGACGATGCACGTACAGACGCTGATGGTGAAGGCTACCAGAGCCGCACCGGTAGCGGCATTCTTGAAGAGGTAGGGCCGACGGGCGCGCAGCAAGGCCGCACCGGCGCGGTAGTCTTTACCGTAGTAGGTGGAGTTGAAGCTATTGGCGGTTCAGGACAGGGTCAGTCTAAATCCATAGCCGCTTGCAGAGAGTGAATCGGGTGTCGTTGACGAGGGGGGTGAAGTTGAACGTACAGTCCCGTGGCCATTATGACTGGGAGTTTGGTATGCGCGAACAGAATGTGGGTGGAGGGGTGTAAGATGAATGGACTGATGTGGATGAAGTGGGCAGAGAGAAGAAGAAGTGGAAGATCAGCCCAGATCCGCGGAGTCTTGGCATGGTGTGCGGTATTCCCGGTATTGTCACCGTATCGTACGGTGGTGTACCGGAACGGGGCAACAAGGGACCGGGCATTAAATGTTGCCAGGCTCTCCAGGCTCCGAACAATCAGCGTCAACGGTTGTTTCTCTCATCCTGATCCAATCCCATCCCTGTCGAATGGTCGGACGTCATCTCATCTTCTTTGATCTATTCCTTGGATATCCGACTTCCCTTCTCGGTAACAACTGTTGATATCCTCCCTCCGACCCTCCTCTCCTACCTCCCATCTGTCTCGACTCTCGCGTGACTCGTTCTATACCGTGGCGCCTAGCTCAACCTCCACCAATTGTCGCGTCATTTCTCGTCTGACGGAATCCGCCTCATTTTTTCCAGCTGTTCGACGTAGACTTTGACTCTCTCTTCACTTAGTTCGTTCGAAACCGTCGATCGGTCTAAGAACCTAGATTTTCCCTCTCCGTGGCCGGCTCCCGCACCCGCATCGGAGCCGCCATGGCTCAACCGTCCGACCAACTCGCCGGACAAATCTCCCAGCTCAATGCCGCCCGTAATCTTGTCTTAGGCGATGCCGCCTTCTACCCCCAGATCATCAACGGCGTCCTCCCGATCATCGGCGCGCGCGCACACGTGGACCTGCGACGATGGGGCTCCGACTTCCTCGCCGAGACCTTCGCCAGCCCGGCGCTAGGATCTTCACAAAAGGAACAGCTAGCTGCGGACTCGCTGAAGTCGATCCGGGAGACGCTGGAGCTTCCGGAAACTGATCAATTGGTATTGCGCAATCTCGTGGAGGCTGCGGCCAGCTTGTACCCGCTGGTTTTTAGACGCATGTAGGTAACCGATGCTTGCTTTGTTTGGTTTGAACCCGCGCGCGGGGTGTTAGAGAACGAGGTCTCGTAGGTCCTGGCTAGGGTTTTGGATCCCGCGCGTGGCAGGCTTTTGAGAGGCGACATGCGACTAACTCTTCCTGGTAATCTTTTAGCATCAATCGCCCAAATGATTCAAGCGTCTGGGAGCATATGACGGCCATTAAGCAAGATATCCTGCGGAGATGGGATGACTTTCCATTTGCGGTCAAATTGTGCTGCATCAAATTCGTACAGCGCGTGGTGCAGGTGCAGACCCACGGCTCGATAGCGGACCCCCGAGTATGTCCTTCTACGGGCTTGACCCGTCCGAGAGAACGAGAGACGGCGGATTAACCTGTCTTCTAGCGCCCCGACCAAAACGAAACCTCCCTGGCCATTGTACCCCGAAACCACCCCATACTTTCGCTCCCGAACCTCGAGGCCGAGGCCTCGGGCCTGCTGGACCGGCTCTTGTCCGTGTTCCAAGAAGAGGACTGGTAAGTGATGGCTTTCCCCGTCCCGGGCGAATTGGATCTGGACTGACCGGTAGCGACATCTGCAGTGATCCTCTCCTCGTCAATGCCACCTTGAACTGCTTGGCCGTTCTCGTCCGAAACCGACAGTCCGTCGGAAACAAGATCATCAACGCGGTGATCAGTTTCTTCCCCGCGAAACAAGTGCGCTCTCCGATAACGCCCACGATACGTGTTGGAGTCAAGTCTATGGAACGGACAGCGAAGGCCCTGATGATCAATATCTTGAAGAGGTAGGATATCGCGGTGTAGAATGGGCTTGGATGGACGCTGATATCAGGGCATAGGAACCCCAACCATCCCCTCACCGCAAAGATGCAGCACTATGTCGAGCGATTGATGCAATCGCGCCTAGAGCCAGTCGACGACTCGAATCGGAAGCGTGGTTTACCGTCGGAGCCAACGGATGGACTGGACAATGCCAAACGGTTAAGGCTTGAAGCCGAGACGCCGTTGATCAAGGTCCCTCCTCTTCCGGCGGGACCCATCAGCTTCCAGCAGCTCTACACGCTGACCGAGGACGCGGGGCTGTCGTCTTTTGACGTAAAACAGCTTCCTGCCGACCTTCTGGTCAAGATCCTGGTCCCCGTCCTCACTCGTGTTGACCAGTCCGCATTAAACCAGGCTGTCGATGTAAGTGAATAGCGCCCTACGACCATGACTTTCTTCTGACACCCGTATAGGCCATCCGAATGCGCTATAGGTCCCTTCCGAAACCGCAAGTACCCTCACCCGCTGCGGAAGAAGAGGACGACGACTATGAGCCCGAGTACGAGCCGATGGATCTTCCTGTGCCAGAACCAGGACAGGGCGACGCCGTGTCGGCCGATGTTGCCGATCTGGAGCCGGACTTGGTATCATTAGGACCGTTTGTTCTGCCTCAGCCTCCCCCGCTGAGCGAAGAGGAGGCCGCGGAGACGGGCCGGGGTGCGGTTGCCCGAGTGTTCGGCATGTTAGGGACAACGGACGCAGCGCCGACACCCGCCAAGGGCAAAAACCAACAACACCTAGGCTTTTCCCGACTAGCAGGGAGCACATTCGACCGGGATGCGTGGGTGACGTTGCTGACGCGGCTTGCAACGCGAGCCCCGGCAGGCCTCGAGACAGCAGACAAGAAAGCCGGGACGGATGGCTCGCGAAAAGCCCCGGCGATCTCGGACTCCATCCGCGAAACCCTCTACCGGTACATTTTAGAGGACTTCCGAGCCCGGGTCAACGTCGGGATCATGTGGCTGAACGAGGAGTGGTACAACGACCGGATCCAGATGAAGTTCACAGCGTCCCAGCGAAGCGAGGACGACGAAGAGACGACGGTCCCTCTGCACTACGACCAGTGGGCGCTTCGGCTGCTCGACGGATTCCTGCCGTATCTGGATTCGAGAGATACCAAGATCTTCATCCGGTTCCTCAGCGAGATTCCGGAGATCACGATTCCCATCACGCAACGGGTGGCTAGTCTAGCCAAGGACCCGGAGCGAGTCAATCTTTGTGTTCAGTCATTCTTGTACGTCTGTCTTTCTCTTTGGCATTGTGGTTTACTAATCAAGCGCAGGTATCTAATCATGTACCGACCACCGGCCCGAGAAATCTGTCTCAACGCAGTAGAAGACGTCTATCGCACATGTAAGTGGCCCCACCGTTGTCATACTCCATCCCACCCAGCTAACCAATCCAGACGAGGAATCTCGACCCGTCGCAGGGAAGGTTCTCGCGCGGTGGCGGCCCCAAAAAGCAGACCCTCCGAATCAATCACCATCCCAATCCCAACCTTTGGCCTCGCGGCCTGCGAAGTCGGAGCCCGAGTCGGGGGTAAATACGGCCGCTGGGGAATCTTCTGTTTCGGCGTCATAGTTGTTATTCAAGAGGGGGGAGAGATAAGCAGATGTCAGTCTGCAGTTGTTGTTATTGCACCGATGATACCTGTACTTTATAAAGCAGTCGATTTACGCATATCCATTTTGCAGGGTGGGATCTGCATTGAATTAATATAGCATGCATGTTATGCAAGAGCATATATTCTGCATACGTGGCATATACATGATTCTATAATGGTTCTATAAATTGCTCCATAAATTGCTCTATCACGATCAAATGGTCTCTAACTATAGATCTGCCCAACCAGTCATAGTCACATATTACATCACAGTGACAGTGGACACAATCGTGATACCAGCCAGTCAAGGTGCCTCAGGCCATGTGTCACTGTATGACCCGGAGAATCAAAGAACCCAGCTCCTCTCGAGCCATACATACATAGATCCAATCTAATCATCCCCTCAACCCTCCCCTCAACTCAACCACCATGGCCCCGCCATACTCATTCAAAGACATCTTCCCCGACCCAGACCGATCCCCTCTCTCCCTCGACGAAGCAACCCGAGCACTCTACCGCCGCGCAATTGAAGACCCCACATCCCTAACAGACGAAGAACGAAGAATAGTAACACACCGTCCCCCGCGCCCCGAGGAAGACGAGCACTGTCGAAACGCCTGCGGCCTCAGCCACCCCGAGCTCGTCAGGAAATGTATCGACCACGCAGACAACCTCTCGTACAAGGAGACCTCCTTGATTCTGGCGGGCGTTGTCCCCTGGGAAGCGGGCAAGCAGTTGAGCTACCGGGTGCGGTTGAGTGGTGCCGATCGTGATCTGCTTCATAAAGCTGCTGCTGCGGCGTGGACGGAAGAGTTGAAGGCAGCTCGGGCGAACGCAATGCCGGTCCAAAGGTGGTGGCTCCGGGCTCATGTGGAGGCGGGGAATTACCTTAATGACGATGATATCCGACATAGTCTCTTTGCAATGAAAGTACCTTGGCAAGAGCATGTGCTCAATCAGCCCGGGACAGTCTGTGGACTGGTGGTATTCTACCCTACTGTCCCTGAATGGCCACCGTATCAGGAGGAAATTGAAACTGCCATTTACCACGGATTACACTATCCCATGGAGGAGATCGAGGATGCTGTTCTCGCTAAATTCACCCTCCACTGGGTACAACATGATAGTAATAATACAGACGATCTACAAACCACGTTCGTTTCCAAGAGAGACAGCGGCGAACTCCCACGAGGCCTACGGACAGACGCCTTTCTATACGTGGACCACGAGGCGCTGCAGTCGCGTGGCTCGCGCAGACCGTTTGTCTGGCTGTGGGAGCCAAAGCGCACTACCGAAGAGGACCCGGGACCTCTCAGAATTGATATCAAACATATTGCGCCGACGCTTTTTGCTCGCCTCCCCCAGCGAGATTTCTCTCCCGGGGAGGAGCAATGGAAGCCCTATCGACGGGGTTCTAATCTTCCAATACTCCATCACGTTACACAGTACTCGAAAAATCTTACTACGTTGGTGAAAGATGGGATCTGGCCGCCGCCTGCGAGGGCGATGTAACTCGTTGACTTACTGTTGCCACGTCGTGGATGGGTTTATTGGTGTTGGGGATGGAAACAAGGTAGGTTGGTACTATAGCTGGGGGAGTGGGGCATACCGTAACCTGAATATACAGATGTCTTCAACAGCCTCGACGCAGTGAGAGTATTCTTGAACAGGTTCGTGCGGTTTATTCGGTGTTCCATTGCAGTCAGTCAGTCTACTGATAGAACAGCAAGGCAGAATTTGAAGGTGACCATCGCTAACCCGAATAGATAGCAACTTGTTTGTCTTTTTCGTTGTACATAGATTGATAAGATTCATATACATGTACCATATGCACATAATCTCTGTAGACAAAGGTCACATTAACTTCTCACTACAATTACCAACTACCCACTACCAAACACCAACAACACACCCCTCCCCTTCCGACCAGCCAATCCAACATTAGATACAAACATGCCACCCCTTACAACAGCGCAACAGCAGCAGCAACCACCCCAACAACACCACCCCCAATACGAGCATACCCACCCGCAGCAGCATTGGAAGTAGGCACCGAGCCGTCCGTCGGCGAAGACGAAGTCTTCGCCGACGAAGCAGTCGAAGTCGACGCCGACTTCGTCACACCCGCCCTAGAAGACCCAGACGGCGAAGCCGCCGCCGAAGAAGAAGCAGTAGCAGAGCCGGAAGCCGAACCAGCCACGCTCTTGCCCGTGGCAGACACAAACCCAGTCACACCAGGTCTAGTCCCGCCGGTAGCAGAAGCGCCCGCAGTAGGGGCAGCATCATCATCATCCGCATCCCCACCAGCAGAAGCAGTGGCAGTAGCGGTGGCAGTAGCCTTCCCGAATCCAGGCAGGAAGGTCGGCTCGTAACTCGCCGACCCCGTATAGCCCGGACAAGCCGGGTTATCGTACTTGGGCGGGGCGCGACCGCCGCCGCAGTCTGGGAAGTCGCAGATTTCGCCGGTGCCGGGGACGTACCAGAGGACGGAGGCCTCGTTCCATTGGTTGCGGGTTGCGGTGGAGGTGCAGCCTTCGAGGTCGGTGCGGGCTTGGGAGGAGGTGAGGAGGGAGAGGGTGGTGAGGAGGGTGGTGAGGGTTAGGAGGCGGGGCATTTTGGTGGTTTTTTTTGGAGGTCTGTGGAGATATCTGTTAGTTTCTTTCTGTTCTGCTATATTGTACTGTATACTGTAGGTATACTGTAGATGGATATGGATATGTATAGTAGGATGGTTAGGGCTGGGTAGGGTCAGGTGCTGTCAGATACATACATACCTCAGATAAATACTGCACTAAAAAACGTAGAATAAAGAGCGACTGGCAGCGTATCCGTACTAAGTAACGACAGAATAAAGAGCCCAGCAAGAAAAGATCTCTACCCCAAGAGAATGCAGAGAGAAAGATACCTCTATATATACACATCCAAGTCTTACCAGGATCCAGGAAATTGTCTCGAGATAACGGGTCCCAGCCCACCCACCGATTGGTAGAGTTCCAGCCCTGTCCGACTATCGATTTTCCCAACCTTGAAATCCGCGCGGTCTGGCCTGGCCCAGCCTAGCCCAGTCTTAGTGTGGGATGGGATGAGGCTGAGTAGTTGGTTTGATTGCTTGTCAGGTCTTGTCTCTTCTGGTTTGGTCTTGGGAAGCGAGTTCTGCCTGCTAGGCAGGAGGTACTAGCAGGTACCTGCCTAGTAGTGGTAGTAGTAGCGTGTCTCGCTTGTTTATGGTTATCTACCTGGGTAAATGCATATAGCCTACGTAAACAGGAATATAATGTAATCTTCTATTCATCATGCAGAGGTCCCGATGTGGATCCAGATGTAATAACCATCCATTCAAAGAATCAAAATCAAGCAAACTCCGTCCCCGATGGATCAGTGTAACAAAGCAAGCAAGTAAGCAAACAAACAAAGAAAATCAACTCGCTCGCCCCTATTGACACACCCCCAAAGGAAGAAAAAATATGGTCCATCATACATGCCAGTCCATACACATAAGTCAGTCAAAAGCATCTCTACAACACCGAATACATTCCATGTACAACCATCCAATCCAACCCCAAATCAATCATGCCCAGAATGAAGTAAAAGTAAACAAACAAGCAAAAGCGAATGGGTATTTATTTGTCCGTCAAGATTCGAAAAACGCAGGAAAGTGCAGCGCAAGACTCGCGGGTGGTAATCCTATCGCGCCGCCATCTGGTTGGACCCGGGTCCGCCCAGCACACCCATGGAGTTGACTGCTTTGGATGACATTGAGGGTGACGATTCCCGTCGGGAGGCCGCCGAGTGGAAGAGGCCCAGTCGAGCTGGAGGGGGTGAGTACGCGGCGTGTTGCCCCGCCCCGGACGGCGATCGGTGGTCGTGCCCTCCGTACGCCGCCGGGTGCGGTTTTCGCACGTCCAACGGAGACGAGCTGAGGGACCGGAACCCTGATCGGCGCGCCGCGTCGTAATCCACGTGTCCCATCTGGGCGAGACCTGACGGCCCGGCGTCTTGTTCCATCCCGTAGGGCGTGTTGTTGGCCGACGAGTTCTCGGCGATGGTGGACGCGGACCCGTTGGGCGCATTGACATCGACGACCCGCTTCTGCCCCGCTGGCGTGGTGTACGCGGGCGCACGGTGGTCCTCCGGCGCCCGGCCTGGGAGCTTTTGCGACCCAATCTGCTGTTGATGCGCCGGGTGCAGGGGGTTGGCCCAGGGAGTCTGCTCCAGGAACGCTTCCTCTGCCGCCGTGCGGAAGACGTTGGAAGACATGGCGGACATGGGGCCCCGCGGCATGGTGGTGGGCGGTTGGGAGACGGGAACTTTGGGTTCGATGGTGATCTGAAAAAAAAAAAAAAACATCGCGTTAGTTAAAATCCACGGGAGTCGAGGAGATCCACGGGAGACCTACCCCCATCTTCTCCAAATCCTCTTCCAGTTCCGACGGCCGCGCGGCCGACAGCGAAGGCGCCGCCGGGAATCCCACGTATTTGGCCACCCCCGCCAGGACCGACACCTCCTGATTGTACGCCGTCTGCTGCGCGATCTGCTGGGACCGGCGCGTGGGGAACGGGATGTACTGCTGCGGGCTGAGTTCGTCGGTCTTGAACCGATCGTGTTGGATGGCGTAGAATTGCTTGCTCGTGTTCGTCGAGTGCTTCTCCCGAAGGTCCCGGATGCGCTGGAAGTACGTGCTGTGTGCCTGCGCCCGTTCCGCGAGACTCTTATTAAGGAGGGATTTGAGACGGTACTGGAAGAGGGTGTGCTCGTAGTGGATCTTGTCATCACGGTATCGCTGCAGGCACTCGAGCTGTCGTAACAGGTCGGGATGTGTGGGATTGGGGCCTTTCAGCATATCGAGCTCGTTGTTCAGTTTCGATATCCGTTCGTCATATATCCTGTAGAACGTGATTAGTATTGGACCTGGGAAAGAGGTGATGCTTGCTTACTTGTCTCGCAGGGTCGCAAATTCGCGTTCTAGACCGGCCAGAGACTCCATGGCGGACATCCGCTTCGCGGCTATCGAATGGGTTAGCAAGGGGATATAAGAGCACCATGAGAATGCGCTCACCTTCTTCCTCTAGTCGGGCTGCTGCCTCGCCGTCGTCGGCTTCTTCGCCGCGCTCGGCCGTGTCGTCATCGCCGGTGTGATCGTCTGCGCCGCCTTCGGTGTCGCCGACGCCGTCAACGTCCTCATCGGCGTCGCGCGTCTTCCGGCCTTTGCGCTTCCCCTTCTTGCCCTTTTTGACCTTGACCGGCGCCGCCGGCAGATCCGATTCGAGGGCGTTGTCGGCCGGGATGTTGTCTTCCTCCGCAGTCGTCTTGGACGGTTCCTCTTCCACGGGTTCGGGCGTCAGGACGATGTCGTCGGCGGGTGGATCGCTAAGCTCGCTCTTGAGGGAGCCGCGGCGCTTGTGCGGAGGGCCGTCTTCGTCGTCGGCCTCCGTCGTTCCCGCGTCCTCACCCGAGCCGAGCCGCTTCCGCTTCTTACCCAGGCTGTCTGACAAGACGGGACCGTCGGGCTCCAAGGTCTCCTCCCGAGGGGGTTCCACCGAGCGGGGCGGTTTGGAACGAGGCTTGGTGGGGGAATCGTCGACGGGGTGAGCCTCATCGTCGTCGACTTCGTCGTACGTCGTGGACTGGACCAGCTTGCTGGGACTCGGCTCGTAGCCGCTGGTCGCGCTCACGACGATGTTGGTTCGGGAGCGGACGTTATTCGGGGAGTCATCGACCCGCTCCGTTTCGGCCTCGGAATCATTTTCGGGGGCGGGCGCCGGGTCTGGTCTTGGCGATTCATAATCGGAGGGCATGTTGTCCGACATCTCGTCGATCTCGCTGAGACTACTGGACCGATCATCGCCGACGAGCGAATCGTCCAGGAACAAATTGTGCTGCTCATTGGTGGTGTTGGTGTCTGCCCCGGTTGGCGGACCCACCGAGGCAGGGTCCCGACTCTCGGCCACCTCCATAAACGACGGTGTACAGCGGACGGGATGTGATGTTCTTGTTGGTCAAGAGGATAGAGGGCTGGCGGAAGAGGCGGCGGGTAGTGTGGCGGTCGGGAAGGTTGTGGGGAAGGGAAGCCGGCGGTCAAGAGGAGGAATCGGGTGAAGTCCTAGAACAACGGCGGGAAAGTTAGAGAGGCAAAAAGAAGAGAAACCCAAGGTGAAAACTCGCGAGTAGGAACACAATGAAACTGTACAAAGGGAAAACCAATATCATGAAATAGATACCGACGTCACCACGAAAGAAGAAAAGAACAGAAAAAGTAACAGCAGAAGAAAAAAGACGTAGAATGACTGGGGGCAGCAGAAAGCCGAGCAAAAGGAAGGCGGTGCGGAGATTTGATCACACCCCCAGTGACGACGGGGGCCGTCTGGCCATGAGCGAGCGAGCGCTGGGGGGCCCAACACGACCATGACACCCGCGGCCTCCGCACACGCTTCTTCCGAGTGAAACGATCGCAAGATGATCGGACTCAAGTAAAAAACATGGTTATAGACCTCCAGAACATACCGTTCAACAATGCGCCAATCGCGAAACCAGGTGGTGTACCACCCGCTGTCGCGACCGATGTGAATCCTTCGGCCAGAGCGGTCGCGAACGAGGACCTCCTACGGCGGAGGTATTGTGTGATATGGGTGAGCTGCGTTTATGAAGCCCCGGATAGGAATAGTGTCTGGATGTATGGACAGGGACTGGAAGTCGAAGGCGAAGGAGGAGAGGAGTTCACGTAGTGGGCGATACGACTGTGCAGCGCAGCGGGAGGAACGACGGCATTAAACGAGGAGGGTTGACGTCAAAGGAAAAGAGAATCTAGACGACAACCCAGTGAGAAGTCAGGCAATCTAATGAAATGTGAACCTCCACACGACTATAACGTGAAGAGAAGATGGGCAGAGGGGGAGGGCAGGTCGATGAGAGGAGGGGAGGAAGAGAAAGAAGAGCAGCGCCGAGAGGAGAGAGAGAAGAGAGCGAAAGAGAGAGAGAATTGGGTGGACGGAGCGTATGGAAACACTGTCACATCGTCGTATACCGCCCGTAATTTTGGTTTTGCCGGCGGTAACTTTGGGCGGATGGCTCGTCCTCACCGCCTACAGTGCGACGCGATAAGGCCCGTGACTTATCTTTGTATAATCAGTGCTACAGGTGTATATGGTTAGGTTAATCAAAAGAGGTATGTATTTCATGGCATGATATTGCAATCATACTAAGTAAATGACCACTTTCAGCCCGATTGCAATGACATGACTTGACTGTCCTGACAGATCATATCATACCACGTGACTACAACGGTGACGCCAACGCCCAACCAGGAAGGAGTGTCATCACCGGCGGAGAGATTCAACTGTCCATCTGTTGACTCCTCACCAACACACTCACACACCTACCTTCCACCTAACTACACACACATATACAAACCCATCAGGCTTCAACCAACCAGAGAGACTACTCAAAAATGCCCTAACAAGGTACACATGCTTTGCAAACTGCACCACAACGTCACATCCTGCAGAACATGGCGGACCGCCACGCTGGCGAGACAGTCAGACCGGTAGACCTGACGGGTTTCACCAGCCCTATCCTAGTCAATCCTGTTGCGCAACATTCCACACGGGTGTCATGACCAGCGTCGATCACAACTGCCGTCAATCTACTCTGTTGTAACACAGAGTAGGAACATGGAACTAATGGCCAGTGCGTCTAGTTGGGCGGGACGGATTCCGTGAAGATCGGCGCTAGTCTGACACCGCTGTGGTGGGCCAGTATATATTTCAATATTTCTGTTGTATCGTTGTATGAGCTGGAAGGCAGTAGGAGACAATCTGGTGTTATATAATCTGCTGTTGCATGGTAGATTTTACTTTGGGAGGGTGAAGGCAGGGTGTCAGATGGTTGGTGAGTGGCCTATCTAGCTAACATCATTGTTGTACCATTTTCGTAGTGACAAGTAAAGCGAAAATCAAATAGAGAAGAATGAACTATATAGAAATGAATAAAAATCAAAGAAATAAAAGAAAAGACATTAAAAAATGACCATTGCTAATAAATCCAAAACACAAATAGATATCTACTCCGCACGGAATGCAGTTCACAATCCCCCGCCTTGACCTAGCACACAGTAAAGTAACTCAGTAAGTGATAGCAATACTCCGCATCCATACGCCCGGGTCTATCCGAGACGTTAACTAGTACCGAAGTAAGTAAGAAGTAAGTACCTGCAGGAACGGCAATCAGAGTAAGACAAGACAGACAGCCTTCTTTACAGTAGAGACCAGAGCCAAGAAACGTCGGAGGTACTCCGGAGAATGTCCTCGCTTCACAGCCACGCAGGTACGTACTACGTAGTCAGTACCTCTTAAGAAACATGCTGGAGACATATCAGATCAGATCGTAGCTAGGTAGGGGATAGGTAGTTGTTCGGAGAAATACTATATATAATCAATGCGATATACGTAATACTACGGGGTATTTACTCCTGACGTAGTACCTACCAATCCGACCAGCTGATATGACAGACACTACCTGATATACCTAAAGGAGCATAAATAAGTATCTACTCCGTAGATAAATAAACAATAGCCAAGACAGCATCAAACACAGCACAATCCCCAAACACCCATCAAGCAACAAAAAAAGAAAATACACATCACACAAAGAGGCAGTGAACACTTAGGTAAGTAGCAAGTACGGATAGATAGATCACCACTCTAGTCCATCTCTCCATACATACTAGTGCTTTACATTGCTTGCGCACTGCTTTCCTACCTTATCTAGCGCTTGTCGATTCGATCGGGAGATGGATACGATAGGAAATATCCGTGGTGGAATGGAAGGTGGATAGATGGCATGGATAGGAGATTTAGCGGTTGATCGCTATTTTATATGTGGACTTACTATTTATTTATTACCTTGGGTAACTTATTTGTATATACTATATACCTTGGATCTGGGTAGGTAGATATTATAATAAAACCGGACAATCTTACTACTACCTACCTCCAACCTATCTATACAACTTAACTATCTACTATATGACTGCAGTCAAATCACACACCAAAGACCCAACAAGACACCTACCAAAAGAAATAACAATAGTCCCAGGAAAACTGCAGGACGCGACCCACCACCCCAAACCCAACCCCAAGCACACTCGCCTATCAAACCCATCAAACCCAACCCATCCAATCATCGGACAAATGTAGCAACCTCTCCACGGCGTCGGTGGATCCCGACAACGGTGGTGCCGGGTTCTGACTTTGCACTTTGCAGTATGGACGGATACTGTCTGCAGTCTGCACTGCACTCTGCAGGGTGGTCCACCGTCCACTGCAATGGGAAATTATTGAGCCTGGAATGGGTAAATCTCATTACCACTTTTTTTTGCGCTTTATTAGACACCAAACCTGCGTCTTGTGAACCTTACTGATCCCCCAGGTGGGAGATGATCGACGTGACAAACAAATTGAAAAAAGAAAAGAAATTTTCTTCTCTGGAACGGACGGGATTCGGGACGGGAGAACAATCCCAGTCAACTAAGCAGTCAGTCGGCTCTGGCCGAATGTCATTCATTACAGTAATACATATCTACATAGTCCATCCACCCGTACATCAACCAGGTATCCCAAGCTGCCTCCAATCAAAGGCGAAAAAAAAAAAACAACGTAAAGAAAAAAAAAGGGTAATAATAATTAAATGCTGACACAGCATAACCCCGACAAAGAAGGAAAAGACGGATTTGGCTTCTGGCTTTTTTTTCTGGCCGCATGGTTGTTCCCCCCGCGATCATGTATTCACACTCGGGGTATCAAGTAGGGTATAAAGTCAGGTATAAAGCACATCCAATCCGAGATCATCAAGAAGTAAGTGTCCCAACAAGAGCTCGAGGCTGAACATGAGAAAGGAAGAAGATGAACCAGGAGGGATGAGACGTCCAGTTCGTGGAAGAGTTTACAAGACGGCAATGGCGCCAAGGACCAGGGCCAGCATGCCACCGGACACGCGGTTCATCATACCGGCGTTGGTGTTGGGCACCGAGGACGAGGGGTCCGCCGAGCCGCTGGGGCTGGCCGAGGTCGAGGCAGGGGTGGAGGGTGCCGTGGAGGAGCTGTCGGTGGTGGAGGTCGTCGACTCCGACTTGTCGGAGGAGCTCGTGCTGGTGGTGGTGGTCATGGTGGTCGGGGTCTCGCTCGAGCTGTCGGTGCTCGTGGAGGTCGACTCCTCCGTGGTCGAGTGCGAGGCGGTGGACGACGGGGTCGGCTTGGACGGTTCGGCGGTGGCGCCCGCGACGACGAAGCGCGGCAGGTAGTTGACTTTGTCGGCATCGTCATCCGAGATGATCTCGATGGCATAGTCGGGCTGCTTCTCCAAGTCCTCGGGAACGTCCCACGTGAATTTGCCCGAGTTGGGGATGCTGGCTGGATTGTGGTCAGTCCATGTCGCGTCATTCGATGTCATTCCGAGGCTTACCCGCGATCTCCTTGCCTGAGTCAGGGGTCAGGACAGCGCCCCACTGGAGCTTCAGGGTGATGGTTCCCTCGGTGGTGGGATCCCAGGTCAGGGTGGTGGGTTCACCGGCCTTGAAGGAGTAACCATCCTTGGGGATGTTGAAGCTGTTGGCGTTGTTGGCCGCAGCGGCCGCCAGAGCCGTCAGGCCGCTCAGAGTCAGGTAGATGAAGGCGTGCATCTTGGCAGAAATTCCCAAACGAGTAAAGTCGCGCGAATATCACAAGTCACGAGGTTGATATATAAAGCAAGTCACCCACGAAATCCGTGATGGAGACGTAAGAGATGAAGCAAGAATATAAGGCGACTGAATTGGGGGTAGAATAAAAGAATGGATGGAACGGAGGATCGTTCGCAAAAAAGAGAGACCGTGCGATTAAATACCACACCAAGGAGGGGGGCAAAAGAGGCAAAGTTAAGGAAAGACTGGGTTGGGAACTGAAAAGGAAAGGACAGGCAGGAAGGAAAGAGTGGAAAGGAGGGAAGAGAAGAGGAGAAGCGAGAGAGAGAGCGGCGATGACGGTCTAATAACGTCTAGCGTTGGTGTCCGCTAGCGTTGACCCCGGACGAGAGGCACGAGGTCTGCACAATCAATTATCATCCTTCCTACACCTACGCGGTACTAAGGTAGAGCTAGAATCATAACAATCCGGAAATGAAATCAATAGCATGTTCCACACTAGTCACGATATGTAAGGGGAAGACGCGCGCAATACAGCAAATCATCGAGGAAAATGACCGGCTAGTCTGTGCCTAGTGGCTCTAGCGGTTTTTTTCTTTTATTTTTCTTCTTTCAATTTACTTTATAGGGATTAATATTATTATATTGATATTATTTCTTTCTTTTCTTTGATGATTGCATAAGAATTGTTATTCTTTCTGGTATTACTTCAGGTCCTTACCCTATCAAACTTCCCTGTACCCGTTTTTCAGGGACTCCGTCCTACCTGCATATAATCGTGCACAGACACTTGCGCAAGGAACGAAATTGAGAAAGGAACAGAAACTGAGACCAAAATCCAGTCATGGGACACCGGCAACAAAGAATAGTGTCTACCGTCGAGGATACTCCGATGTGACCTGGAGTAATCCGGACGGTTTCGTGGCTCAGTCGTGGCGAGAATTCCCATGGGTGCGTATGATCCATCCGTCAAAGTTTCAAAAGAAGCCGAGGAAGTCTAATTATAACTGAATCGGTTTTGCGATCCCATGGGACATGGTAGTCGGGAGGATTAGACATGAGCCATGTCTAAGTACCTTCCCTAGTTCCTGGGCCTGCAACCTTACCTCAGTCATCTGTCGGGACGTTACAAGTCCTGTACTCCGTACTCCCGTCCGTCTGTAAGATCAACCGTGCTCCGGACTATCATCTCCTCTCTCCATTCCTCTCAATTGGTGGAAATGAGATGATCGACATGCGACCCCCTGATTGGTGAGGGCGCACACCTCGGGCGGACAGATCCATGATCGCTTATCATGATAGGACCGCCGATGACTTCTGGGCACTCCTTGAGGAAAGACAACCCGAGCCAGTCCTGGACTCCCTAGTGGGTGGTTGATCTGTCGGCCTCGGTTTCCTCGTGCCGTAACCGATGGAGATGGATCCCAGGATATTATTAGACTTGATGGGGGGGAAATTTTAGCTTCGTGGATATGAGGTCAACGCCACCATGAATGGACTAAAAGTCACGAGAATAGATGTACCGATTGACAGGTAATTATAGTCCCCGAGTGAAAAGTCTCAACATTTATCCAATGTTCTGTATTATTCAGCCTTATGTCAGTGCATGTAGGGTCCACGGACCGACGGTTATTCCGTTCCGACACCACCAGGACGGCTGCAGATCACGTGGACATCCACCGCGAAAAATCCAGGCGGATCGGCGACCTGCGATTGGCCGGCTGGTTGGACTTCATCTTGATATTCCCTTCGTCTATCAGTCTATCAGTCATGATGGTCCCCGTCGATGCGTAGCTGGATCTCCCATCGCTGTGGAACATGGAACTTCATCTCACGATATCTTCCTTCCTACGCCCATTCTCCGTGACCGTATCCGGATAGAGAACCCTACCACCCGCGCGGTGTGGAATTACCGTACAAAATGTTCATCCTGGTGGGTAAACGCAACGCGCGCTGCAGCCTCCAAGCCGCCCGCTAATTAGGGTCCCGCAGACGACCCTCTCCGATCTGATTCAGATCTCGCCAGAGGACTTTTCCAAATATAGTGCGGTTGCGCTGGAAGATAACATCAATGAGAAATACGCGAACAAGGTGGGATTCCTAGTCGGATCTGACGGATCTTTGCTAATGTACATGGGGTATGCATATAGGTCATTCAAAAGATTGGTCTATGCATTGGTTTTTATGATCTGTTGGAATCTTCCGACGGACTGATTGGCCATGGAACGGGCTTGGTTAATGTCAACGGTATGCGTTTTCGCTCTCATGTCTGCTAGATTGGCAGCTCACCCGCCACAGTCAAGTTTCGTTTGATCGTGTTCCGCCCGTTCAAGGGGGAGATCATGCTTGGGAAGATCTCAAGCGGGACGGAGCATGGGATTAAGAGTATGTATTACTACTCCCTCGGGGGTCTACCCTTTGTACTGACCCTCCACAGTCGGTGTAGAGTTCTTCAACGACATTCTCGTCCCGCCTAACCTTCTCCTCGACGGCGCTCGATTGTGAGTTACTTTTCTCCCCTTATCATTCTGAACCATGACTAACCCCCACAGTGACTACGCCGATCAAGTATGGATCTGGGAAAACGATGACGGGTCCACTTTCTACTTCGACGTGGGAGAAGTCGTCCGACTGCGCGTCGAGATGGAAGAGTGGCATGATCAAATCCCCAACGCTCCTGACCTCGGGGATGCGGCCGCCGTTGAGCGGAAACCTCCTTATTCCATTATTGTATGTTGAGTTATCCCCAGAGTCATACCTTTTATATATGGTATTCGAGACTAACTTCACCCAGGGATCGATGCAAATGGCTGGGTTGGGACCTATCTCTTGGTGGTAGATGTGAGAACTAGGACGTTCAATAGATAGCATATGATTTTAGCACATGAGATTTCATTTTAATTCATAAATTTATGTTTGATAATAATATGGTTAAAACAACTAAATACGTAACATGTAGCACAAGACATATTGAATGAATATATGGCGATAAAGCTGCCAGCTTCTTAGGAGCTGGCTAGGAAGCTGGCAGCGCCAAGATACAACAGTAGATTCCCGTAGCTGGATGCCCCTACCAGGGCACGGTCGAATTGATCTATTCGGCTGATGCAAATGCAGTCGTGTAAGGCGGTGCCTCCACTACTGCTGTTCCTGCAGCTCATCAAGCCTTGGCCTCCAAGAAATGCATATCCGTTGATGGTCAGTGCGTTTCAAGCATCAGCTGTCTATCTCTGCGCCATCATGGAGGACCAGAGCATCAAATGATAAATACTTGATGTTATAATATGGTTGCTTGTAGTAACGTGGGTGCAAGACTGTCTATGACCAGTTAGTTAAGTATATACTGGTTGACCAGGTAGATGAAACTTGCTATTTCACTGACATGCCCGCTGATATCAATATAATCAAGCGATTGAGTCGATGAAGTGATATCTCGGATATCGTCGTCATCCCGCGATATCTTTTCCTCGGGTAGCTAAAAAAGAAAGCTAAGCTCACTGCTGTTCGTATGGGCAGTATGAAGTCTCTCAATTAACATTGTCGGGTTCATTGTCATATAGTAAAACCAGCTGATCCCAGACCGGACCAGTGCGCTTGACAAGTTCACCATGGCCGCCAGCTTCTTGGTACCTTCGATAACTCTTGCAGCCACTGACTGCATCTCAAAAGGAGATAGCAACTCAGTTGTCTAAATCTAGTTTCAAAACGACAGGATATTGAGGCGAGATGGAGCACGTCGAGGAATTCCTCTTCCTGTTTCAAGCTCCGGGATCTATCAGTCCCTGGATCCACACAGATGTCCATATATCATGGAGATATCATTTTGCATTGCTGCACAAGTCAAGTGTTTTCTCCGTGCACTGTATGGATGCGACGCACTGAAAAGACAGCCATGACCATTCGATATCGGTCCGGTTGTGGAAGCATTGGGTTTCGTAAGCAGCCCTAACTTCGCTCTGGCATATCAAGCATAGTGATATGAGACGGGGTCACGGATTCTTTGATGTCGTCAGGTTCAAGATGAGCCAGTGCTCTGGTTTCCAAAACTCCATGTTCAGACCTATCCAGTCCACACCTCTTCTCTTATTTTCCCTTTATGGACCTGTGGTACGGGAGGCTGGCGTAGATCTCCCTGGACATCCTTAGGAAGCTAGCTGCCTTTGTTGCAAGGTCTTTCTTGCAGATGGTCCTTATGCAAGTGCTTGACTCCACTGGAATTTTGTAGTCTGTTTTGGGGCGTTGCTTCTTAATGGGGGCGTTATATTTGATGCTCGAGTCTATCGGCTGTGTCATGTTCGCTTGTATAGATGGATTCATAATAAGATATAATTTTAAGTGAGGGAAGGAAGTAAAGATATATATATATCAAAAAGATTGGATGCTTAATAGTAGATAGAAGGGTGGTAAGTAAAAGGATTGACATGGAAAGAATGACAAGATTCAATATAAATTGTATCAGGACCTCTGATATAGACCTCTATTGTTTATCTATGTAGTGAATAGATGACAAAGTATACCCGTTTCCTTTTGAAAAACCTGATACTGACAATCAGGTTAAAGTCAAAACCTATCATTGCTTATCCTATATTCACCTTCCCATTCACCCAGTTAGTTACCTCCACAATGAGGGTTTGAGGGTTAGGAAGATGAAAGACACAGAGAGGGTGGACAGGAGGAATCTTGTCTAGTGTTACCATTTGACACTTTGCACTGGTCATGATAAAATAGTTACCTCTTTCTACCAACTTAGTAATGCCTCGTACAGACGGCCAGCCTTGGCAGTTCTCCTTGACATTGTTGTTAGCTAGGTGCTCAAGGGGTTCGCTGTCTGCAACTTGTTTCACCATCAGTGTCTGCTGCTCATGTACAATAGCCAATTGATAGAGATTCAAGAATGACTTAGAGTTATATCAACAAAAACAGCCGCGTTTCAACTGACAAATCTCTGGCTTTGTTCTAACCCTCTGGCCGTTTGTTCAAGGGAGATCGCGGGGAAATCAATGCAATATCGCCAACATCCCACAACTCTCTCACAGGATGACCGACTCCTCCGACGGTATCCCTTTTCTAGCATCAAGTCTCCAAGAAAAGGACCAATACATTAAAATAGGGAAACCCCTTTTTCCATGCCCCTCATCCATCGACATCTCAACCCTCCCCGCTGATCAAGAGATCATCACTGTCCTCAGCAAACAGATGGGCAGGATCATACTGGAGTATGACTTCTCCTACGTGACCAAATCCGGGCGTGGGGTGCGACCCGCTGAGGTCGAAGCAATGAGACTTGTCTCCAAGCACACCTCTGTCCCCGTGCCTGAAGTGTTCTCCGCGAAATTCGGTCCTGACTTTGGAATCATCGAGATGGCCCTCATTACGGGGTCTCCTCTAGACGAGAAGTGGGATACGATGGACGAGAAGAGCAAAGAATCCGTTTGTCTTCAAACATGGGATCTAATCTCCCAGATACGCGCTATCCCACGTCCATCAGAGCTCGAAGATCTTTTCCAATGCGCGGCCGATGGCTCCCCAACAAGGGATCCAATGCTGGAGGATCTAGAAGATCCAGCCAGACCCTTGACAAGTGACTCAGATGTGCGGGCTCGCATTGTCGAGCGCTATGCTCAATGTGGGGGCCGTCGATACGAACATCAGTTACATGATATGCTGCCGCGGTCTGACTGTACAGTATTCACGCACGCCGATATTGCACCTCGCAATATTATGATTGATGAGCGGAACAACGTCACGGGCGTCCTCGACTGGGAATTTGCGGGGTGGTATCCGGATTATTGGGAGTATGCGCAGATTCTGAGACCTGCTTTCTGGGGTGACTGGTCGGTGTGGATGAATTGGACTGCGCCGCGGAGGTGGGATATTAGTGGGATTAATGCCGCCAGGCGGGTCGTATTTTATAGTCGTCCTTATTAGTAGATTAGTGGGTTGAAATCTATTGTCATGCCTTTCTTTACTACAGGTAGATGATAAGCTGTATATAGTCTAGAAAGAGGCAGACGTAATTCAATAGAAACAGAGAAGAGATTCGCATGTGGTCGCTCACTTTACTACTAACGGCCGGCGTGTGCCTTGAGTGCGGACTGCTCAATATGCGAGATTGATTTGAAATGATATACCACATCACGTGGTACATGACTCTGCTCCTCACTTGAGGTATATGTAGAATGACGAAGCTGCTCTATTTGTTTATTATCAATCAGATCGAACCATGCACCCTGAAGAATGATATTAATAGATTCAACCAATCCGTGATGGATATAGCTCTGATTTATAAGTGAGTGAGCTCGTGAGTGAGCCAAGCTGACAGATTACATGATAGTATATCCGCTGACATGTCCAGGTTGATATAGCATCAATAGGGATATACTAGGGATTTATCATCAGTATATTATCAGATTCTTCATTTTGAATACTCTACTATTGGACAGAATACCATCGTCGATCATTAGAAATGTTCACCGTCGGACAGCCCTCCAAACCCTTATCGGACACTCAATATCAAACACAGGAAGATCTAATCTGATACTCGATGGAGGATTCTGCATACTCTGAACAACCAAAATCCCACCAACGCACCAATCACAATCCACCAAGCCCGATCATGGATCTGCCTAAACTGGGTCCGGTTAGCCGTGGGATGCGATCCTCGGTTAGTGGCGGAGATGCCACGCCCTGTCCTCCTCTCTCCGTCGGTCTTCACCACGGACCAAAGCCAGAAAAAAATTTCAAATCAGATCGAGGCATGATGCAAAACGTAAAAGAAACCACGAGTTGGCCAGGTGGATAGAACCAGCGGTTTAGCGAGCAAATGGCAATCCTTACCTGCAGTAAGCGATGGAGGGGTCGCAATTAAGGCGATTAAGATTTGAGGATGGAAGGCTGACTGGGATTATTAATGGCGAGTTCGATGGAATGCGATTATTTATTCTTTACTTTTTTCTGTGCTTCTAGAACATCCTTATCTTTTATTTTCTTTTTCTTCTTTCTTCCTGTTGACTGACGTCGGTTGTTTGATTCTTTTGGCTGCATCCCTTTCCAGCTGCTTTTCTGCATTTCTCTTGGAGTTTCACCCTTGATACAATTGCTTGACTTTAATCCTTCTCTACCTTTTATATATCTGAGATCGACAGGAACAATGACTGGTCACTCTGATTCTTCTCCCGCCATGAACGGTTCCGCTCCGCGCAAGGCTTTCGGCACGCTGGCCGTCCACGCCGGTGCGCCTCACGACCCCTCCACCGGCGCCGTCATCGCTCCGGTTCGTTGATCTCCTATCTAGTCCAGGTGATCGGGAGCTGTACTAACCTCGTGCGTCTGTAGATCTCCCTGTCTACTACCTTTGCGCAGACCACGGTCGGCAGCCCGGTCGGCCTCTACGAGTATACTCGGAGCTCCAACCCCAACCGGTGAGGAACGACGATCCCGCAGATCCTCCTATCGCATACTAACCGCACTCCGATAGGGATCACTTTGAGCAAGCCGTCGCCGCTCTGGAGAACGCCCGGTATGCCCTCGCTTTCGCCTCCGGTTCGGCCACCACCGCCATCATCCTCCAGTCGCTCGCCCCCGGTTCGCACGTCGTCTCCGTCTCCGATGTCTACGGCGGCACCCACCGCTACTTCACCAAGGTGGCCTCCGCCCACGGTGTCGATGTCACCTTCTCCCCCGCGCTGGAATGCGACGTGGAGAAGCTGATCCGGCCCGAGACCAAGCTGGTGTGGATCGAAACCCCGTCCAACCCGACCCTGGGTCTCGTGGATATTGAGAAGGTGGCCGCGGTGGCGCATAGCCATGGCATCCTTGTCGTGGTCGACAACACCTTTATGAGCCCGTACGTCCAGAACCCGCTCGACCACGGTGCCGATATTGTCGTGCACTCCGTGACCAAGTACATCAATGGACATTCGGTACGTTTCTCGCTCCTGACTTTTGCTGTCAAACTATAGGCTTGCGCACGTTAGAATACACGGCTAATTCAAATCTAGGACGTACTGATGGGCGTCGCCGCGTTCAACTCCGACTCCCTGAAAGAGCGCCTCACCTTCCTGCAAAACGCCATTGGAGCCGTCCCCTCGCCCTTCGACTGCTGGCTGGCCCACCGTGGTCTGAAGACGCTCCACCTGCGCGCCCGCGAGGCAACCACCAACGCCACGGCCGTCGCCAAGGCCCTCGAGGCCTCCCCCCACGTCACCTCCGTCAACTACCCCGGTATCGACTCGCACCCGCAGCGGGCGATCGCCATCAAGCAGCACCGCAACGGCATGGGCGGCGGCATGCTGAGCTTCCGCATCAAGGGCGGCCAAAAGGCGGCGCACCTCTTCTGCCAGTACACCAAGGTCTTCACGCTGGCGGAAAGCCTGGGCGGCGTCGAGAGTCTGTGCGAGGTCCCCGCGAGCATGACGCACGCGGGTATCCCCAAGGCCGAGCGCGAGGCCGCCGGCGTCTTCGACGACCTCGTCCGCATGAGCTGCGGTGTTGAGGACGTGGAGGATCTCACGGCCGATGCGCTGCAGGCGATTGAGAAGGTCGAGGCTGCTATCGAGGCGGGTGTGAACGGCTCGGCTTGAGTGGAAAGCGTGGGATACATTTGTTTAGATGCATAGAGTGTGATCTATTCTATAGTATAGATTCTTTTTTAACGATGTCATGGGTTGGCTGTCGGGTGGCTTCATTGGCCACACCGGGGTCTGCGATACATTACGACACATAATAGAATGGGGAATCTTTCTTCCTCACCATCTCAATTTACTCATTTTCCCCAATGATTCCTTTATAAATTGTAAGAGCCGTGATTCTTAAGACTGAACTGGCTATAGTTATAGTTAGGCACGCACCGATATGCTTAGTCATCAATCGATGCAGCGCAAATTTTAGACATGAAATGCGAACGGTCGATGAACATCGCGAGGAATCCTCACAACTGGCTCGACTCGTACTTATCACTTCAAGATTCGGAATAATAGGACTCACCTTGATTGAAAAGAGATATCCACAGGCACTGCCATCCTAAACGCACGGCTCCGTCAACAGATTCATCTATCAAGCCAACCCCACCTTACTTGATAGACATCGAAGATATCACTAGCGGGCAGATCAACATTCTCTGGCCTACCTTGGTGTTCGACAGTATTGTCTCGGCTCATTGATTATTCAATTTGATCGGCTATATCCAAGTCGTTGGAAAATTAGTCAGTCAGTCATGTTCAGCTTCGGCTTCTCCGGAGACGATATCGAGGCCGACGAGGCCGACTTGCAGAGCGGTCTTGATCAGGGAAGTGCGAGTTCGAACGTCAAGCAAGGGCAAGAGAATGTTTTGCCTGAGCTGGTGCCGGCTCAACGGCATGAGATTAGCGAATGGGTGAGTGTGTCTCTTTATGCGGGTTTATCTCCGATCCGAACCTATTCGCCGCTGTGCATGATGTATACATGTAATTTCCGGAGGGCATAGCATGGGATACTTCTTCTTCGTCATGGGGGATTTCGTAAACCAACCTGATCTGACTATTGCAGATCTCAACTCTCCCATCTCAAATATCGTACAACACTCTCACGATCAACACCGCTGGAGATGACACCAAACCCACCCCCGGCGCAGCACTCACCATCGCGCGTCGGGAGATCTTCGACATCCGCACGCAGCTAATGGCCGAAGACTCAGCCGACCACGAAAACGAGGAACTGATCTCCGGCCTAGAGCAAGGCGACCTCAAGCCTAATTTCTATGAAGGCGGGTTCAAGACGTGGGAGTGCGCTCTCGATCTGGCCAAGGTGGTCATCGCCGAGAATGCTCTCTCCGGTGATGGGGATCAGCATGTTATTGAGGTGGACTTTCTCTCTTTTCTTCGCGAGAATGTTGTATGCTGATACGTGTATAGCTCGGCGCAGGAACAGCCGTGCCCTCGCTGGCTCTGTTTGCGCAGCTTCTGTCTAGACCGGCTTCGTCGGACAGCAACAGCAAGAAGATCCGCCTTACCTTTGCGGATTACAATGATGTCGTGTTGCGTCTGGTCACGCTGCCTAACCTGCTCCTAACGTGGAACCACATCATCAATTCTCCTTCTCACCGCACTGACGCCGAGCAAGGCGCGGACGCACCAGCACCAGCAGAATCAGAGCCAGCGGCATCATCAGAAGAAGAAGAACTCGACATAACCCCCGACCTCCTAGCAGCCTTCCAACAAGACCTCGCCACCAGAAACATAACCATAGACTTCATCTCCGGCGCATGGTCACCCGCCTTCGTGGACCTAATCACCACCAGCCAAAATCAACACAGTTACAAGCAAACACTCATCCTCGCCAGCGAAACGATCTACGCGCCCGCGTCACTAAACCCCTTCTCCGAAACGCTGCTGCAGCTGCTGCGCCGTGAGGAGCATCAGGGGCAGAGGAGGGCGCTGATCGCGGCCAAGAAGGTCTATTTTGGGGTCGGCGGCGGTGTGGATGAGTTTTTGGCGGTGTTGGGCCGGATTGGCGGTGACGGGGTGGAGGTCGTGCAGAGGTTGGATGTGCAGTCTGGGGGGGTTGGGAGGGTGGTTTTGGGGGTGGGTTTGGTTTGAGTGTATCCGTCGTGATCTATCTATTCATGATGTCTATCTTTGGTATATGGTACATGCTGTAGGTACGGATACCTGGTGAGGCTGGAGTTTGATATCGGCCTGCCTACTACCTACCTGGTTGGTACAGATGGACCAATTACGGATACTTCTCGACGGAAATATCCACCGAAGCTACGGATACATGTAGCTTCGTGAGAACAAAAATAGAAGATCCTTAGCTTCCGCATCCTATGTACACCATGCCAGCCATCAATTCCTCCGGCATCTATCCATTGCATCCCGTCCACTGAGAACGATACAACACAGCAAGATCATAAAAAAGAAAGATACATATGATTTTAATCTAATCGTACAAGCTCACAGCCTTGCCATCCTTAGCCCTCAGAGCACGAGCTTCCTCCTTGGTCTTGTGCTCCTGCTCGTAGTGGGCCCGGACGTGGCTCAAGTCGGGGGCGCCGCCGGCGATGTTGTTATAGGGAGGGCCGGGGTGGAAGCTGACTCTGTTGATAAATTGACGTTAGCCATTGCACTCTTCTTCTTCTTCTTCTTTTCATTCGTTCTTTCTCGTCTTCTAGGAATGGGCGAATAACGCACTCGTGCTGCTTCAGATCGTAGGATTCACGGGGACCCTGGCTGCCAAACAGGTGACGGTCATTGGCGGCCTTCTCCATGGCGACGGTGTGGATGGCGTTGCGGTGCTCGAACAGCTGCTCCGAGGGAGTCCACTTCTCGATCAGGTTGGTGATCCATGAGGGGGAGTCGGACTGGCTGAGGCGGTAGAGGACGAGGCCGGATGCGATGCTACCGATGGTTACGTAGAAGCTGCGCTGTTATGATCAATTGCGTTAGTCAATTGAACTGGTTGTTCTTTATTTATTTGCATTGAAGGTGGAATGGATCAATCGAGTGGGATATGCATGACGTCGTGTTGATAGGCAGATATGGGATGGAGGTTCAACGTACACCGACGCCCTCGTTCACGGGCTCAGCATGGGCGGCATGGGAACCCAATCGACGGGGTTGCTGATTCCGCAGCAACAGGCGCGTAGACGCCACGGATCGCCGGGCAAGAAACATGTTCTGTAATTGGGGAAGAAGGAGGGGGGAGGGGAGAGTAAGAGGGGGTCGTGAGAACTGAGTAATAATCGGCCGTCGCCGGTTGGAGGATTGAGATGGTTCGCGGTCCATTCGAGGTCGGAGTGCACGTGATCTGGACCCTCATGAATCAGGCCCCAAAGTCACTGGATCAAGGATGACCTGATTAGGCATAGCGTGGTGAGGCGGTAGTTCCCACTAGGCTAAACCCTTTTCGTCTTCCTTCATCCTTCATCCATCCATCATGACAGCCCAACGACTCCCCTCTCTCATTGTCAGTTAGATCCCTGCAAGGATCATGGAATCGATTCAATGCTCGAATCACAAGGAAGAAATGACATATTCTCAGTCGAGTCCGGCGGGTCGCTGTGTTGGCCTTCATCTACAAAACTAACGTAGTCGGAGTTAGTCACTGACACACCGCATCTCCTACTGGTCCGCATGCATGGCCAACTATCTCAGATCCAAGGATGTGTTGATGACTCCAACTGCCCCCCACTGGGCTCCATCGTCCTATCCTGCTATTGGTGTTGCGTCCGATGCCAATTCATGCAGGCGGTCGAATCTCTGGATATCCATGGCGACATGTCATCCTCTTAATATAGCTCTGGTCCCCACATCTCCCTGCCTCTCATTTTCGAGGCCTCCGGTCATGTCCATCTACCTATGATGGTTCGTCATTTTCATGGTATTCTGGCATGCTGTTCATGATAATGGCCATGGTCATTTCCATGCCTCTCCGTATTCCTACAGGTCCGATTGCGCCTCCTTTTTTTAGACAATAAGAACATTTCCTGCTTCGGTTTCTGCCCGCCGTGATATCCCCTGCCACCTTGGGAACTATCGTTGATGCCCAATGCCGATTAGCATTGGATAGGGCCAGGAGCCTTTGGCCTGGTTGGAGATCGAGCGGATGGTGATCCACAGTCAACGCATGTCCAACTTTCTACTTGCCCCGTCTGGCTCCATGATGAATGGGTATCAATCAGTTGCTGAGCTTCGATCCGCTTTTCGCCTCACCCAGCCCCCTTGGGGCTGGCCGCAGTGCTTCCTGTGTTTGTTGGCTGTTTCGGTGTGATTTTTTGGCGGAGGATAGGTTATTAGTTGACCTTTTTTTCCTTCTTCCGCCGCTTCTCTTCTCCCATTCCATTCTCTAGAAACCCAATGAACGGTCTTGGTGCCTAGTGGTTGACTTCAATTCCTGGCATTCCGGAACCATATGCTTGCTGTCTTGACGGGCATTTGACGCCGGGTTATTTGCACGCGTGCTATTATTTTCCCCCTCCACCTGCACCTGCCCACTCTTCTCTTTTCTTTGCATTTTCTCTTTCTTTTTTTCCTAAAAGGAAATAATAATTCTGATTTAACTATTTTATTTATCTTTTCTTTTTTTAAATCTTACCTGTGCTGCTCGTTGCCCTGTTTGGTCACCCGACCCGCCGACTTTCTATCCTTCTACGCTTCTTCAGTCCTCCCACTTCGAGGACCTTGCTTTATCGCCTCGAAATATATCTTCTGACGTTGTCAAAAGGTGCCCGCAGATGTACTATTCTGAGCCATCCACTATCCAATCGAGTCTCTGCTGACGGTTTAATCAGACCATTGGAAACACGTCTTTTCGCCTCTCTTGCACTTGGGCACGCATAACCACCCACGATGGCGAAATCAGGCAAGAAGAGCAAGACCAAGTCAGATAACAAGCAAAAGAATAAGAAGGGAAAGGGTCAGGATGCGCCAGATAACCAGACACCTCCACCCGCACCTGCCTCACAGGAACCAGAAGAGCAGCAGCCAGAGCAGCCACGGCAGTCGGACGCAGAGCCCGAGACGCAAGTCAATTCTCCGTCGTCAGAAACAGCTCCCGCCACTGGCTCACTGCCGGAACCAACGCAAGAACCAGAGGTAGTACCAGAGCCAGACGTGCAGCAAGAACACTCATTGCCTGAAGAACACTTGCAGCCTGAGGAGCAAGTGCAGCCCGAGGAACAGCTACAGCAACAGTCGGAAGAGCAGTGGCATCTCGAAGGGCAATCACAACCCCAGGAGCAGCTCCAGTCGGAAGACCAGTTGCAGCCAGAACATCAATTACACTCCGACGAGCAGATCCAACCTGCAGAGCAGCTACCACTCGACGAGCAATTACAATTCGAGAACCAGATACAGCCTGCAGAACAGCTATCTGACGAGCAATTTCAGCCTGCAGAACAGCTACCGCTTGAAGAGCACTTGCAGCCGGAGCAGTTCCAACCCGAAGAGCAGTTTCAGCCCGAAGGACAGTTTCAGCCTGAAGAGGAGTTTCAGCGTGTCGAGCAGCTACTGTCGGAAGAACCGCTACAGTCTGTTGCCGAAAATACCCCACCTTCGTGGGCAGACGCCGACCACAGTGTTCCACTCGACAATCCTGAGATGTCCATAGACCAGCAGCAGGACGCGGACGATGTCCAACTCGCCTTCACAACCCCTCGAGAATCCCACTTCAACGAATTTGATAACGACCCATTCGTCGACGAGACCGGGCCTAGTAACGGAGAACATACCTACCACGAAACAAACGGTGGTCCTCTGGAACCACCAGAGCAGGCGCCGGTGACAGCACCGCAGACCCCCACGTGCCTCCAGGAACCTGCCTCGGGTGCTTTGCCGTCGCCCTCTGAGACAGAACGCCAGTTCATCCCGGGTTCTCCTCGGTCTAACACTGGTCCTCTCGAGGTCGATACACATGCAGAGAATATGTCGAACCCTTTCGTTTCGTCAGCGGTTGCGTCGCCAGCTCCTCACGCCTCTTCACCGGTGCATCAGACAACTCCACCCGCGTCCAAGCCTGCAACTCCCGTGCCAGAGGCCACTTCAGCGACCCCAGAGCCCATCTCACCGTCAGTCAAACCGGCTTCGCCCAACGTGCAGGTGGCCCCTACACCCCCAATCACGTCTCCCATGCCGCAACTTGCTTCGCCAGTCCCGCAGCCGGTTTCATCTTCCCCTCGGGCTTCTCCCATGGCCCAACCTGCTTCACCATTGTCAGAGGCTGCTGGTCCTGTTCAAAAGCCTGCTTCCCCGGCACCGCCGCCGTATTCTACAAACCATGCCCCTTCGCCCGTTCTACACTCTCCGTCCCCCAAAACCGCTTCTCCTGTGCGCAAGTCCAGCTCCTCGGCTGCCAAGACCGCGTCTCCTGGACAGAGGAGGGCCTCTCCGGTTCCAAAATCCGCCTCCCCCTTACCCAAAGCCAGCAGTCCCCTGGCCCGCCCATATATGTCTCCGATGATGGCCCCCCACGTGACGCATATGCCGCACTCCATGGGATCTATGCCTCCCCCAACTGCCCCCGTCACCATGGCGCCCAATTATGCTGCCGCTTACCAGTCTCCGGTGATGAGCTCCGCGGGGTTCTTGCCGCCGTACCACCCATACTACCACGCCTCTCCCACCATCCATCACGCCGCGCCCCAGCAGACTCCCAACACCGCGTCTTTCCAAGCCTTGCGCGAACTAGGGTTTGGGGGCGCACCTGGGATCAATGGCAAGGGGACCATGTCGCCCCCGGAGCACCATGACGAGCCTATCGAGCTTCTGCAAAGGATCCAGGATGCTATTCCCGACATCAGCCGCCTGATGGGCAGTTATAGAAACACCAAGAGCAAGCTGCACAATCGCGAGATTGAGTTCAAGCAATTGGAGACGCAGCATGAGCAGGCCATCATGTCCAAGGACTTCTACATTGAAGCCCTGCAGAGCCAGATGCGGAAAGCGGCTAATGAGAGCGCAGAGGAGTCGAGGAACCTCAAGAACTCGATCAACGAACTGCGCATGGAGCTGGGGAATCTGGAAGAGAAGTGGAAAGACCTGGAGGAGAGATTCGAGGACTCGGAGAAAGCCAACGTGGAGTTGTCGCATTCGAAATCCGAGCTCGAGACGCAAGTCCGAAACCTCAACCACGACCTGGAGGAAACCCGCGACAACCACGCGAAGGAGCTGGAGCGGCGGACGGAAGAGCAAGAGCAAGCCCTGACGACTCAGAAGCAGGAGTTGACCGAGTTTTTCGAGGAGATCAAGGCGGAAGACGAGAAGGCGGCGGCCGAGACCTTGGCCGCACGCGAGAAGGAGCTCCTCGACGACCAGGAAGCGATGAAGGCGGACTATGAGAAGCAGAAGGAGGAGATGCAGGCTTCGCGTGACGCGCTCCAGTCCGAGTTTGACTCCACGGTGGCGGAGCTTAATACGACCAAGACGCAGCTTGAAGACAAACACAACGAGTTGGAGCAGACGAAGGAGCAGCACGCCAAGGAGGTTGCAGATATGCAGCAGTCGCATACCGAGGAGGTGGATTCTCTCAAGGCCAGCCACGCCGAGGTGGTGGCCGGGCTGGAGAAGGAGATTGCGGAACGACTGGAACAGATCGCCAAGCTGGAGGAGGAGGGCGCTTTTAAGGAACGGCAGCTTCAAGGCGCCACGGAAGGAATGCGCCTGACGATTGATAATCTGGGCAATGACTGTGACCGGCTGCGGAAGACCCTGACCAGCCTCGGAGAAGCCACTGACTTGAAGAGCACGAAGGGTGATTCTTTCTTGTAAGTGCCCTAGTGCATTTAGACTGCATCGCAGTCGAAGACCTTTTGCTTTTCATTTTCTTTTCATTTTTTTTTTTTTTTTTTTTTTTTTCTGTCTTTCGATCTTCTGTCTCTGAATGCATTGACATGCCTCTCCTTTACAACTTTCATTTGTATCCTTTCTTTGGGTTTTTCTTTCTCTTTCCCAAAACAGAACCAGACCACATTGCATATCTCGGTCTTTCGCTTCTTGTTCATGTCTTTTTCTCTTTCTGTCTTTGTTTTTTTGGATAGAACTTTATGATTATGAGTATGATGAGGATATATGGATAATGTTATAAATGTACCTTCTCTGATTAAAAATTTGAATATCTAGCGTCGACTGCTTCGACCAGCTTTCCCAACAGATTGTCTCCTTGTCCGAGGAGTACTTTGCGTACCTTCCCATTGCTCCCCCCAAGGACGTCTTGGACAAGTTACCCTCGGAGCTGCCGTCGTTCCTGGACAACACCCGGGCGTCGCGCGAGCTGCGATCGGCGTATGTGCAGCACGTCCTGTCGAAAACCCTGACCTACCGGATCTTCCAACCGTTCCTGTTCACGCTCGGACGGCGATACGACAAGGCCGATACGTTCTTCCAGATGCTCTCGATGGACATCCGGCGCAAGTCCGTCCGGCGCGAGACATTCTGGCGCCAGCAGACGCTCAAAGCGGCATACACGACCTCGGACGCCAAAGAATCAATCAACGTGGCGGCGGCGGTAATCGTGGACGAGATCGTGGGACAGCTGAAGCCATTCGTGGACCAAACGCGCCTGGACGCGCTGCTCACGGCGGTACGACGGATCGTCAAGCTTGCAGCAGAGACATGGCGACTGGCGCGGGTCGAGCGCGAGCTCATTCTGGCGTCTCTGCCATCCCCCAACGCAGACGCGGTCAGCAACGACGCATGGGACGAACACGGGACGCCCAAGGAAGGATGCGTCGGGTCAAAGGGGGATCCCACGCGGCATGTGATCCTGCGGACGTTCCCCCGGATCGTGCGGGAGGCGGCGCACGAGGACTTTGCGGAGGACGAGGGCCGCGAGAGCCCGTGTACGTATGCCCCCGGGCGGGTGCTCTTCTCGGACTCGCCGGTGGTGATGGCGCGACGGCAGGAGCTGGCGCAGAGGTCGAGCGAGGGGTTGGTGGGTGGGGAGGATATGTCGAGACGGGGGTCGAGGGATACGATCCAGACGCGACGGGGGCGGGGGAGTCCGGATAGTTTGCGGATTGAGACGTATAATTAGGGGGTGTTGACTGAGAAGCTTGTGTAAGGTTTTTTTGTTTTTCTTTCTTTTCTGCGATTTCGATGTGATTGTTTATTTCCCTCTGATGTTTTGCTTTGATGATGATTATGTGTGCTGCATTTGAGCGATGGATTCAACCTGTATCAACCCACGAGTGTAATGCATGGGGATGGGGATAGTTTAGCATTGTCCTTGTACATACTATATAGTATTGATGATCTTCCTATCTATGATCTTCCTATCTATGGATTTTCCTCTGTGGATATCGGATTAAGAAGATGATGTCAGAACCGATAGGGCTGAGACAGAGTTGGAGCTTATTCAGTGGAGAGACTGAGACTGATCTATGGATTGGAGAGTAGTGTACTTTGTTGTTCAGGTTTCCTTGATTGAATTGATTGATTTATTTTAGTCTATTTCAACGGTTATATTAGACTTTCTAAATATAAATCGTTAGTTACATGGAGGGGAAATAGATAGAGAAGGGGTGGAGAGAGGAGGGGTTAGTTTGATGCATTGCAGATGCACCGCCTCACAAGGCTGACTGTGGACTGCTTGGGTTCTTGTAGGGAGATACATAGTACTCGGTAGATAATGTGAATTGTATAGTATTAGAGTTGGAGAAGAAAGAACCCTACTCAGTATTGTCTACTATAGTATTGTCTGAATGGGATTGTGTAAGTAGAGAGAAAGAATAGATAGGATAAATAGGATAAAGGATAAAGGATAAAGAATAAAGGATAATGGATAAGGATGGATAAAGTGGAGTTATGAGGAGAAAGGAACCAACGGGACTGCCCGGGCGGGTCCAGTTCGTTCCATGTTTTATCTTTGTGAAGTAATTAGATCTAAATATATATATATGTATACTTTCTATTTATGTAGATATAAATATCGATAATATATAGATGGTGGAGAAAAGAAAGAAGAAGAAAAGAAGAAAGATACACTCCGCCACGTTGGATCTAGAGATGGGATGGAGTTATGCAGGGGATTACGTTATTGCAGCAGAGCCTCTTCTTCCCTACTTCTCTCTCTTCTTCTTCTCTTCTTCTTCTTCTTCTCTCCACTTCTCTTCTTCTCATCTTTCACTTCTCTTTTTCTTCACTTCACTTTCTCTCGCTTCATCTTTCTGTCGCTCCTCTGGCTATCATATGGATGTCTCCTCCACTTGAACCCCATCATTAATACTCCCCATCTCTCTCGCTCTAGCTCTCTCTTGGCTTCTTCCTTCCTCCTGATCTGACTTGCACTCTCTTCTCTCTATCTTCCTCTTATTCTCTTCTCTCCTCCTACTCTCTCTCTCTCTTCTTCTTCTTCTATCTCCATCGCATCTCAATCTGTCCATCCATTCAATCCTCTGACACTCTGTCTGTCCACCTGTACTACCGGTTCCTTCGCTCTGCACCGCCGCAGTCCACCCACTCATCTTCCATTCCACTCCCTCCTACGACTCCTGTCCAACCTTCCCTCGTGGCCGTCCATGTTTCACTAGATCCCATACCACCCACTGGTGGCTTTTTTATCCTTTTTCTATTCCTTCTTTTACACCCCCGTTCCATCTAATCGGTCCCTCGAACCGAGCGCAACCCTCAGTCCCGTCCGCAATCCACCATCACATCAATGTCCACCCTATCCTCCAGTATGGCGCCGGATAACTCGTCCACCCCCGTCATCTTTCACGACCCGTGCTACTCGGATCCCTACCTCTCCGCTCCCTTGGACCCCGAGCAGGATTCCTTTGGCTCCTCCGCTATTCGACTGACCCCCAACCCGGATGATCGTCCTTCGTCGCGCAATCCCTCCCCGCCCCCTTTGAATCTCGACACCTCCCCCTCCAATCACGATGGCCACACCCCCTCCTACTCCGACTTTTTGAGTCCCTCCGACCTCTCCAGCGATTTCAGCAACCACACGCCCCCCAGTACCGACCATCTCTCCCCCCACATGTCGGTCGGCATGGCCTCCCCGCCCATGACCATGGATCCGCTCCAGCTCCTCTCCCCCAATCTGTCCCACAATCACACCCCCTCACCCGACCGGGCCCCGGTCAAGGGTCCGACCGGTGCTCCCGCCTTGCACTTCCCCCACCCCCTCTCCATGGCCCCCAGCCCCGCCAGCGACGGTCGCAGCGCGCACGATCCCCTCGCCGATGTCCGCGGCCGCAGTCCCATCGTCAAGGTCGAAAGTTATTCGCGCGGGGACTCGCCCGTCCGCGGCGACCGCCGACCCAGCCAGTCCTTCACCCACCTGTCCCCCCACGGTGGGTCCGCCGAGCTTGACGAGGACGAGGACGACAACGAAGATCACCACCACCACCACCACCCCCACCCTCATAACGACCGCCCCGCCCCCGGCGTGCGCTCGGTCTTCCGCGGACACGATGGCGCCTGGATCCCCAATGACACCACCGGACAAGCCGGTGTGGACCCCACCTGCCGTACCGACGACGCCGTCCTCAGCCCGAGTCAAATGGAGATGCAGCGCCAGCTGGAGCAAAAGAATGCCGACATCCAAATGTGGTCCGAATCCGTCAGCGAGGCCGGCGACGACCGGCCGCCCCTCGGCCGCGGCCGCCGTCGCCACTCGGGCGTCCGACCCCGGGCCAAAAGCACGGGCGATCGGACCCTACAGCAGGATTACTTCCAGCGGCACCCGCCTTATCAGGGCACGGCGGTCCCGGGGCCGGGGCTGCTGGTGCACGAGTCGGAGGGGGAAGAGGAGGACAGTGATGACGACGACTACTCGGAGTCGGAGAGCGGCAGCGCCGGGGTCGGCTCGCCGCCGGTGGCCGTCGACGAGGCCCGGTGGACCCAGGAACCCGAATCCATGGGGCCGGACGAGGCCGACGACGACGAGCCTTCGCCCCACCAATTCTTGGGGTCTACCCCGTGGAAGGATCCTGCGCACGACGCAACCCCCCGCGCCACGCGGGTCCAGCCGCCCACCTCCACCGCTGCCATGGTCGAGTGGGAGCGCCGCGCCCGGGAGACCGACACTGCCTCGCGCGCAGCGACGTGGGGCACAAAACGGATCAGCCAGTACGATGCGGCCAGTGTCATCGGGGCCGGGGCCTCCCTGGAGGGGCTGACGATCAGCAATGACCGGGATGGCAAACCCAGAGGACACATTCGGCGCAACAGCCTGCTGAAGTTCCTGCAGAAACGGCCCAGCGCCAGCCACCGGAACCTGTCCCTGAAGCGGCCCCTCTCCGACGTCTCCCTCGCGCGGACCAGCACCGACGCGACCGTTCGGCCCGAGGAGCCCCGGGGAACCCCGCCGCGCAAGGACAGCTTCCCCCACCGGTTGAGTATCAGTCGGTCGTCGCGATCGCCCAGTTTAAGCACCGGCGGGGCCGTCATGGCCATCGCCGGCCAGATGGCCGCCATCGGCGGCAAGGATACCCTCAAGGCCGTCTCCCCCAACTCCCCGCCCCCCGGCCCGTGGTCATCGATCCGCGCCCGTACGCGGAGCCACAGCGAGCTGCCCTCGGCCCCCGGTCTGATGGATCTGATGACCAGCCATGGTGGGCCTCCCGTGGGCGCCATCGCCTACTCCCCACTCCAACAACCCCCGCCCGCGCCCGCGGGACGGGGCCCGACGCGGACGAAGACGAGGACGAGGAGATGACGGATGACAAGGGACTGGTGATGGAATTGACCCCCCAGCCCCGCCTCCCGGTGCCGACCCTGGAGGGATTCCGCGCGCAGATCACCCACCTAAACCCCCGGCTCCCGCCGGTCTTGATCGAGCGATTCGCCACGGAGCAGGTCCGCCGGTACCGGAAGCTGGTCGAGAGCAAAGCCACCCACGCTCAGGCGGTTCGCCAAACGCGGTGCGCCGCGGGTCGCCACTGCTTCGCCCTCGGTGGTGGGGCCACCCTGCTGGCGCCGCGGGCGGGAGCCTCCGAGGCCCCCGACGCCGCGCACACGCAGTTCCAGATCCCCGGCCACGGCGGCGAGCCCGTGGAAGACCCTCAGATGATGGGGGAGGGCGCCGTGACGGCGGCGCAGTTCCCCCTCGGCGTGCCCCTGCCGCCCGTGCCGCGGCTGCCGGCCGAGTTCGAGTGCCCGGTCTGCTTCAGCGTGAAGAAGTTCCAGAAACCGTCCGACTGGACGAAACACGTCCACGAGGACGTCCAACCTTTCACGTGCACCTTCCCGCACTGCACCGAGCCCAAATCCTTCAAGCGCAAGGCGGACTGGGTCCGTCACGAGAGCGAGCGGCACCGCCAGTTGGAGTGGTGGACGTGCGAGGTGCCGGACTGCCAGCACACTTGCTACCGGAAGGACAACTTTGTGCAGCACCTGGTCCGCGAGCACAAGATGCCCGAGCCCAAGGTCAAGAAGACCAAGGGGCGGAAGGGAGCGGCGGCGGCGGCATCGCCCGCAGACGGACCGCGCGGGGGGGAGATCGAGCAGCTCTGGAACCTGGTCGAGCGGTGCCGGCACGACACGCCGCAGCGGCCCATGGACGAGCCGTGCCGGTTCTGCGGCAACGTTTGCAGCAGCTGGAAGAAGCTGACCGTGCATCTGGCGAAGCACATGGAGCAGATCGCCATGCCGGTGCTGCGGTTGGTGGACGAGCGCGACCTGTCCGGGGCGGGGCCGGTGGGGCAGCCCCACGACCGGTTCGCGCCGGCACTAGTCGGGGTCCCGACCACCACTCCCACTACCACTACGACCACCCCGACTGCCACGACTACGACCACCCCACTCGCGCCATACCACCCCGACCCCCTGCCCAACCACGGCCCCGACAACGGCCACGGGGGCGGGCCACACGCGGGAGGATCGGCGGCAGGGATGATGTCCCTGCATCCCACGTACGTGGTTCCCCACCTGGCGACCCCGTCCGGCAGCCTGTTCTCCGCCGAACCGGGCACGATGGACGCGTACGACGGGGTCGGGAGCGGCGGCCCCTTTGACGGTTCGGGGCCGCTGTCAGGGACAACGATGCTGGAATCGCCCGGGGGGTACGTCGCGTCCGCGCCGGGGGCGTCGGCGTCATACCCGCCGCCGTTCAACGCGGGACCACGACCGCGGGCGTCACAGTCCGAGCTGGGGGTGTTACCCGAGACGTCGGAATACACGACGCCTCCGTCCGACCTGCCGGGGGTGTGTGACCCACGTGCCGGTGCGACGTATGTCTCGGAGCACGACCCGTCGCATTATGCTTATCCGGGAGGACTGGCAGGGATGGCAGGGGGGATGACGTATCCCCCAGCTACGGGGTATTAACCTACCTCTTTTACTCTTTTTTTTTTTTTTTTTTTTTTTTTTTTTCTCTTTCTTCTATAGAGTATTATATACTTAGAGAGCCAAGGAGATCCAGGGAGATGAGAGTCAAGGAGATGAGGACCAGGAGATGAGAGCCAGGAGATGAGAGGAGTGGCTGTGGAGGGAGAAGAAAACAGGACGGCTGAGACCAGCCCCTTGATTGCGAAGTGCATGTGGCATGTTGACGTTTCCTGTCTTGGAATGGTTTTATTTTCTTTTATTTTCTGTTTTTTTCTTTTTACTTCTTTTCTTTTTTTGATTGCAGTTATCTTATTAATTTTGGCTGAGTGAATGGCGTGGATGGATCGGCATGAGATATACCCAGAAATCTGATTCCTCTTTTTCTTTTTTTTTTTCTCTTATTTCATTCCGGAATGATGGATCAGAATATCAGAATATTTACTCTCCAGAAGGACAAGATGATATCCAAGTAATATAACCAGAAAAGAACTAAGAATAGAGCAGCCGTACAACGGGGTGACGAAGCCAGCGCAAAAGAAAAGGAATTAATTCAATTTCCGCTGCAGGAAATCATTGGGATGTTCATCCTGCATCTGCATCTTTCTTGTCTTTTCCTCTTTCCCTCCTGACTCCTGTCTTCTCTCCCTTTCATCTGTCTTTGCTCTTCGTCACTTCTTTCCTTTCTTCTTCTCTCTTGTCATCATGGACCGTGCGGTACATCTGATCGCGTGGGGTTTCACTGACAAGTGATCTCTCCATCTTCTTCTCGAGCTTCATCTACAGCCTCATTTCTGACTTCCTTTCTCTTCTCATCCCTTGTCGTCTATAATCCATTCATTCCCTTCTCCTTCGCTCCTTCTTTATCTCCCTTCCCCCTGTTGATTCCATTCCATTCCAGAGTCTATTGGCGTGTCTTGGTCGGTGACACAGCCCCAATACCCCTGATATATTATATATATTTATTTATATATACAACTCATCCCGACTAGTCTGTCCAACGGATGGCTGGTTGATCCTCTTGCTGTCTGTCCCCTTCTATTCTGGTTCTTGTTCGATCGTCGTGCCGGGTGATCTGCAGATCGGTCGGGATGAATGTATGTTCCCTTTCTTCCTTTCCTTGTTTTTGAACTTACAATAAGAAATGCGAAGGGAAAAGTATAAGAGAAGACGAGGAAACTAACTAAGATAGACACCCTGGGAAAACTCGGGCGATATCCTGCAAGGTATCATGGCCACTCGCATCCCCCCATCGCACACCCCCGTCGATAACCCCCCCGACAATTTGATGACCCCGTCCGACCTCACCCTCGGTGATCCGGCTTCCTTCTTGGGCTTCCAGTTTGCTTCTTCGTCCGCCTCCTCCGCAGCTCCCTCGTCAGACCCCGCCGTGCTCCCCCATCGTCCAGCCTCCCTACTCAGCCCCTGGTGGCCCCATCACTACCAACCGTCCTCCTCGTCGTCCTCGCCCTCGCGCGATTACGCCCACTATCAATTCCCTCGCCGCGCCCACGACCAAGACGCCTGGAATCCCCTCCAGGTGACAGGCGTGCCCACAAACGCCGCCGCCTTCCCCATCCTCCCCTCGCGAACGACGGCCTATTCGACAGACGGCCTAGCCCGGCGCTGCTCCACCGGCCAACGCAGCGACTTTTCGGAGAATGGCAGTCACCTGAACGGCATCCACCCGTCGGACTCGGGCTACAGCAGCCAGAGTTGCACCACCCGCTCGGTGACGTCCTACGCCATCGACTCGGCCTGTAGCCCCTACCTGGGTCCCGCGGAGCAGGAACCCGAGGAGAAACCCGTTCTGGACTTGAACGTCGTGCCGCCTAGAGATGCTCCCTTGATTCGCATGAATCATCTGGGTTCGCCGTCCTTTTTCTGCCAGGACACCATTCGATGTGATTATCCCGGGTGTACGTGGACGGGAAAGTGTCCGTCGGACAAGAGGTGAGATTCCTAGTTTGAACATCTCACGCCATTTTTCAGGCTAAACGAAGATAGGAAACATGAAGCCCGACACAAAAAGTCCTTCAAATGCGACGAGCCCAACTGCTCTCGCAAAGAAGGCTTCGGAACCATCAACGACCTCGCTCGCCACAAGAAGTGCGTTCACAAGCAGGAGCCAGAACGCGGTCCCAAGGTCCTCTACCTGTGTTTTGGCGAGGACTGCCCCCGACGGAATAAGCGCTGGCCTCGTCTCGACAATTTCCGTCAGCATCTGGCTCGTATGCATCATGAGGAAGATGCTGATGCGCTGTTGAAGAGGTAAACTCACCCTCATCTCTTATGAGTCCCGACGGCGGGTGGTGGTGCATGCTGACGACAACATAGGTCGCTCGACTGGTACGAGACCTGCGTGAAACCGCAAGAGCTGGCCCAATCCCTGGCCGGACGCTTCGGAGACGACGCGTCGACGGTCCCTCCAACACAATTGGACCCCGGAGACCAGCCGGGAGACCCAGACCCAAACCGCGGCGATTCCTCCCCGGAGCAACAGGGCGTATGTCCAGTGGAAGAAACCACCGAGTCCAGCGGAGATTCAACCCCCACCCAACCGCCGCTGGCAGACCTCGAGCCAATGGAACTGCCCGCCCTAAACGCCCTCCACCTAGGCACAATGTCAGACCGCAAGAGTTCCATCTCCTCCCAAGAGAGCGGCGTCCGAACGGAGCGGATGGACGATATGATCTCCGAAGCCGCCACCAACATGATCAACGCCATGACCAAGATCATCAACAACGGCCACCGCCGCCGCAGCCACCAACCCGACGGCGATAACGAACAGGACTCCTCTCCGCTGTCAGACCCCAAACGGGAGATGCTGCAGCGGATTTTGACGGTGGCGTTGGATCGTCTGTCGGGGTCTGCCGGCAGCCGTCGTCCTAGTGCTGTTGACCCGGGGAAGAAGGAGTGGATTCAGTGTGAGTTTTGCACGAAGCGGACGCGGTTACGGTGTGAGATGAAGTATGTTGTTTTTTTCTTCCTTTTCCTATCTCCAGTCAGAACCAACCACTCATTATATGTGTCAAACAATAGAAAACACAAAAAACGCCACGAACGCCCCTACGGCTGCACCTTCCCCAACTGCCCCAAAACCTTCGGCAGCAAAGCCGACTGGAAGCGCCACGAGAATTCCCAGCACTACCACCTCGAAAGCTGGCGCTGCCCACTACCGGACTGCTCCCCAGGGGGTCAGCCATGCGCGCGCGTCTTCCACCGCCAAGAGATATACGCGCAACATCTCAAGAAACACCACGCGTGTACCGACGAAACAGCCGTGCAGACGGCTATTGCCCGAGACCGGATGGGTCGTGAGGGCGGAAACCCCCAGTTCCAAGCTATGACGCAGTTCTGGTGCGGGTTCTGTGGGGATGTCGTCCCGTTGAGGAGTGAGGGGGGTATTGGAGCGTGGAATGAGAGGTTTAATCATATTGATAGAGAGCATTTTCGGAGGGGGGAGAGGATTGAGGAGTGGAGATCGGTTGGGGGGGAGGGGGTACATCAAGAGGGTAGTCATGAGGACGAGGAGGAGGAGGATGGTGATGAAGAGGAGGAGGATGATGAAGAGGATGGCAGTGAAAGCGACAGCGACAGCGATGGGCACGACGACAACATCATGATAGATGAGGAGGGTCCGTCCATGGCGCCGCCTCCGTCTCTTAAGCGCAAGCGGTGCCCTGCTTCTCCGGTGAATGTGTGCCTAGGTGGGGAGGAGAAACGGGCCAAGATGGCTGGTGGGGTGGATTATATGCGGACGTCGGGGTTTGCAGTGCATCCTCATCCTCATCCTCATCCTGTAGGGGATGTTTACCAGGGATGACGTGACTTTCCTGATGAAGATGGAAGAGTGCATGGGTAGACTCAAGCTGTTGCAGTGAAGAACCTAGACGAAGAACGCCCAATGGAGGATTCAAAAAAGAGAAAAATAACTCTCCATATCAGATAGAATATAAACACTCAATCGATGAAAAGACCAATGAAAAAATATATATGAAATCAATACACAACAAGGAACTCCACAGATCCATTGGGTATATATAACATTAGAAATACAGAATATCTTCCCCTAGACAGCGAAGTAGAGAACACAATGATAATCTATCTCAAGAAGAGGAAGAAAAGGAAAAAGAAAGAAGGAAGATTACTTCTGCTCAGCAGTCAACTCCCTCGCCTCTTTCTCCAGGGCAGTAGCTTCTTCTGTCCTCACAAATTAGATCGGCGATTCCCCTTACATTGCAAGAATAAAAGAACCGAAAGGAGGATAGAAGGGGGGAGACGTACGATGCTTCTCCCACTTGGACTCATCCATCTCCAGCTTGAGCCACGTCCAGTAGATGACCTGGTAGGTGAAGATGCCGCCGAGGAAGACTTTGGCAAAGGGGCTGGCGAAGAGGCGGTAGCGGGAGGCCTGTCTTTATTAGTATTTTCTTGTGTATGTATATATGTATATATGTATATTGAGAAAGGTAAGTATAGATACGTACGGTCTGCTTGAAGGTGCTGGGGTTGGAGTCTGGGGTGGGTTGGGGATGGTTGAGGCGGATGGGGGAGGTGGAGAGGGATCTAGATAGAGGCCTAGAGAGGGAGAGAATTCTGGGGAACATCATGATGTGTTAATTGTTGATCAATTGATTGATGGTTGGAGAAGGGTTTTCTTGAAGGCGTGTAGAGAGAGTGTACGGAGTAGAATGTAAAGAAGAGATGAGTGGATGTTGGATCGGTGCTGAATAAGCATCACATGACCGTGCCTGGCCAAGAAGGCGGGGAGGAGTCAAAGGGCGATAAGCTTCCCCGGATTGTCTATTTATCTGCTTTCATATTTGCCTACGGCGGTCTTCCTTCTCCTCTTCTTTCCTCGTCTTTCCCCCTCTTTTTCTGGTGCTTTTCACCCCCGCCCTTCCACGGTGTTTGGGGTCTCCCATATCCCTCAATGGGTGGGATTACTCTCCAGTTCGACACCTATCCGTTCTCGCAGATATCTCCCGTGAAGATGATGGAAATCGGAGATGGAGATGGAAGGATAAACACGGTTGCCAGTCATCCACAATGGAGAAGATGCTGTTGTTTCTGCCGTGCCTGAGGATCCCCCCAATCGAGGGTGAAATCGCGACGGAGGCACGGGAGCTATTCCCGATCGGGTAAGCGGTGAGGCAGACTCAACCATTGGGGCTGAATCTCTCGCTTTCTTTCTTCTTCGCCCTTTGATCTTCTCCCTCTGTCTCTCTCTATCTCTTACTTTCACTTCACTTTCTCTCTCTCTCTCTCTCCCTCTGGCAACGTCTAATACTCCTTCAGATATTATCCTGATAGACTCCATCATCTGAAAGATTGTCTCTTTCGTATCCCTCACTACTTCCTCATCCAGTGACCCATCGTCCCTGTCTCCATCCATCTCCATCCATCTCCATCTCCCGTCGATCCACCACCCTCCGATCTCCCTACTGCTTGCGACTTGCTTTCCCTCTTTTCGCTAGTCGCCTGTGCCATTCCTCGAACTATCGATTGATTCATTGATTCGTTCGTTCATCTTTCGACTCCTCCCCGATTGACCTCCGCGCCAACTCCCATACCAAACAACGCGCGCGACGAGTTGTCTCTGCGATTCTCCATACAACAGACAGCTCCATCCCCCATCGACGATCGCGATCCACTCTCCACCGCTCCTCCGTCTATTTTCTCTAGCCCTACTTTAACCCCCCTCAGGGTTCTACATGAAGGTCTAACCGGTCCAACTTTCGCGTTGTTGTGGGAGGTCCTTTGTTTGGGTGGTGGTAAATATACCGGGCCTGTTCCTCGAGCTCATCAGTATGTCCCCTCTCTTTTCATTCATACTCAACTCGTTCCGTCACCATCGCGGATCAATCACGTCCACACTTGATCCTCGAGCGTCATCCACCTCCCTGCCCATCGTCAAAACACCCCCAATGGACCACTAACGTCACGCTCCAAGTATCCAACCTGCATCATGCCTCGCTTCAAACGCCCCATCGAAGATCTCGCCAACAAGTCCGACTCGGATGACGACGATTACAGCGACCACCCCGTCCGCGCCCCCCCACGCCCCAAATCCAAAAAGAAGGCCAAGCCCGCCAAGAAGAAAGCCCGCCGCGCCTCCGACGACGACCTTTCCGACGAAGACCTCTTCGACGAGGCCGACGAACTCTCCTACGAGGAGTCCGACGAGGATGAGGACGACCAAAACGCCCAGAGGAACGCCCGCGGCCTCGTCGCCCGACGCGCCGCCACCAAGCGCCCCGCCTACAACGAGGACGAGACCAGCAGCATCGAGGACGATCCCGACGAGGACGCCGACGGCGACAGCGAGCCCGTCCCGTCCCCCCGGAAACGAAAAAGCGCCGTCGTCACCCTCAAGGTCGGCGACGCCCTCAAGCGCCAACCGCCCGTGGACCATCAACTCGCCCATCGCCGCATCACCCGCCGGACGCGCGGCGCCTCCGAGGACATCTACGCCCTGACCAACTCGGGTCGCCATATGGAGACGGTCGAGCGCGCCACCCTCAGCCCCGACGCGGACATGTCGCGCCGGGGCCGGCGCGGGTCCCGAGCCGCGAAGCGCACCCCGGGGTTCGCCGCCAAGCCCGACGACCTCGACGTGATCGACGAGACCACCATGGAGATCAAGGGCTCCCAACCCGAGATCATGGAGAGCGACGTACCCGTCAGCTTCGACGAGAGTCTCACGGCGGCCGCCCCGCCGGCCACCCAGGGCGACCCCTCCGTCGTCCCCGAATCGGAAAACGGAGACGTCAAGCACGGGGTGGACGGTGCGGATGATGACGACGAGGACGACGAGGACGAGGGCCCCGTGGCCCGGCGGAGAACCCGACGCGGTCGCTCCCAGCCGGCCGCGGACCCCGACGAGGAGGACGCCGGGGCGCCGCGTCGGTCCAGCCGCAAGAAGCCCCGGAGCTCCCAGCGCCAAAACGACGAAGGCAGTGACTTCGAGCCCGAGGAGGAAGAATCCAACGACGAGGATGAGGACGAGCTGGGGAAGTCGCAGGCGTCCCCCCGCAAAGTGAGTCAGGTACCAGACGAGGACGAGGTGGACAGCACCGCCGGCCGTCGACCGGGCCTGCGCAAACGGGCGTCGCGCTCCCGCGGCCATTCGGAAGCCACAGGCGACATCGCCGAAGAGCTGGCCGAGGAGTTGCACGACCTCCGTGGCGGGCGGCCGCGCCGACGAGTGCAGACCGACATCGTTTACGAGAAGCCCCGCCGCACCCGCAAGGACGTCGATTACCGGATCATCCGCCCCGACCTGATCCTCCCCATCGAGGAGGCCGAGAACGAGGTCAACGAGTCGCCATCGCGTCGCGGCGGCCGCGGCGGGGGTGGTGGCGGCGGCGGCGCCTGGCAGCGCTCGCTCTTCCCCACCTTTGGGCCCTTCGGCGGCAGCGGGCCGTCGGCGATCTTGGGACCCCCCGGGGCACCGGCCACCATCGGTGGCGCCGACAGCGACAGCAGCGACGACGAGGCCACGCCGCACGCGCGGGGGTCCGCGTCGGGCCCCGCGTTACCCGGTGCCGGGCTGCTCCCGGCCCAGACCAACACCAACGAGGCAGCACCCGGTCTGTCGGGGACGCCCGCGAATCTTGGCAAGCTCAAAGACCGGCAGACGCTGGCCGATGCAGACCCGCTCGGTGTCGACACCACGGTCAACTTTGACAGCGTCGGCGGCCTGCAGGGCCACATTGACCAGCTCAAGGAGATGGTCTCCCTCCCCCTGCTGTACCCGGAGATCTTCCAGCGCTTCCACATTGTGCCCCCGCGGGGCGTGCTCTTCCACGGGCCGCCGGGCACGGGTAAAACCCTCCTCGCCCGCGCGTTGGCCAACAGCGTCAGCTCCGAGGGCCGGAAGGTGACCTTCTACATGCGCAAGGGTGCCGATGCCTTGAGCAAATGGGTCGGCGAGGCGGAGCGGCAGCTGCGGTTGCTCTTCGATGAGGCTCGCAAGACGCAGCCCAGTATTATCTTCTTTGACGAAATCGATGGTGTGTTCCTTTTTTTTTTTTTCCAACTTTTATTCAATGAGGGGGAAATGCTAACTCTCGCCAGGTCTCGCCCCCGTCCGTTCCAGCAAGCAGGAACAGATCCACGCCTCCATTGTGTCGACTTTACTAGCACTGATGGACGGCATGGATGGCCGCGGACAGGTGATCGTCATCGGCGCGACTAACCGCCCCGATTCCATCGATCCGGCCCTCCGCCGGCCCGGTCGATTTGACCGCGAATTCTACTTCCCCCTCCCCAACACCGTGGGCCGGCGTGCGATCCTCGACATCCACACCAAAGGGTGGGATCCCCCACTGCCGGGCCCCATCAAGGATGAGCTGGCGGAGATCACCAAGGGCTACGGGGGTGCCGACCTCCGCGCGCTCTGCACCGAAGCCGCCCTGAACGCCGTCCAGCGGCGGTACCCGCAGATCTACAAGTCGGATCAGAAGCTCATCATCGACCCGAAGCAGATCGACGTCACCCCGAAGGATTTTATGATCGCCGTCAAGAAGATGGTGCCGTCGTCGGAGCGGTCCACGTCGTCGGGCGCATCCCCGTTACCCAAAGAGATGGAGCCCCTCCTGCGGCAGCCGCTGGCCGAGATCCAGGACGTGCTGTCCGAGCTGCTCCCGCAGCGGAAGCGGCTCACGGCCCTGGAAGAAGCGCAGTTCGAGGAGCCCGAGGGGTCGGGGAGCTTCCAGCGGGAGCAGATGCAGCAAGAATTCGACCGATCCCGCGTCTTCCGTCCCCGGTTGTTGCTGCGCGGGTCGCTCGGCATGGGCCAGCAGTACCTCGCCGGCGCGGTCCTCCACCGCTTCGAGGGACTGCACGTCCAGTCGTTCGACCTCCCCACTCTTCTCAGCGACTCCACGCGGTCCCCCGAAGCCGCCGTCATCCAGCTCTTTGCCGAAGTCAAGCGGCACAAGCCCAGCGTGATCTACATCCCCAACCTCCACAGCTGGTCCGAGACCGTGGGGCCGTCCGTCATCTCCACGTTCCTGGGCCTCCTTCGGTCCGTGCCTCCAACCGACCCCGTCCTGCTGTTCGGCGTCCTCGAATCGGCCGGCGAGGTCGATGCCACGCTGGTGCGCCATCTGTTTGGGTACTCGCGGCGGAATCTCTTCGACCTGCCGGCGCCGGGCCACGAGGCGCGCTACGAGTATTTCACCAAGGTCGTCGACTACGTCCAGACCTCTCCCGCGCACTTCCCTGACCCGGAACACCGCAAGCGGAGGGAACTGGAGACGCTGGAGGTGGCGCCACCGCCGCCGCCGCCCGCGCCCCTCCCGCCGAACAAGGAGCAACTCAAGGCCCAGAAGAAGAAGGACCACCAGACGCTCAACCTGCTGAAGATCCGGATCCAGCCCATCATGGACCAGATCAAGAAGTACAAGCGGTTCCGGACGGGGGTGATCGACGAGAGTCAAATTCGCTATCTGTGGGAGGAGGAAAATCCGAACATCGTGACGAGCGATCTCCCGATCGAGCAGCGCACCACCTTCCGTCCCTTCGAGAAGGCGTACGACAAGCACGCGACGCCGGGACTGCGCGAGACCGTGTCGGGCAAGTTCTTCTACAACATGGAGATCGTCACCATCGAAAAACGCCTGTCCAATGGGTATTACAAGCGGCCCAAGGACTTTTTGGCGGACATCAAGCGCATGGCCAAGGATGCGCGGCAGCTTGGCGACCAGGAACGGATCCTGCGGGCCAACGAGCTGCTCTCCAACGTGGAGGTGGACATCGCCACGATCGAGCAGGCCGAACCGCAGCTGGTGGCCGAGTGCGAGCACGTCTACGAGCGGGAGCTCGAGCGCGAGCGGATCGCGTTGGAGAAGGCCCGGCGCGCCGAGGCGGAGAACGGGCTGATCGGTCGGGAACCCCCCCACCTGGTCCCGCACGGAAACACCGAGTCGGATCCCTCCAGCGGGCCCGTGCACCTGGGGCAATCCTTCCCCGACAGCCCGTCGAAAGAAGGACGGGCGCGACCGGTCACGCCAACGCGGCCGTCGTCGGTGAGCTTCCTGACCAACGGCTACCACGGGGGCGGCGGGTCCGACCTCAACGATCTCAGCCACGAGTCGCACACGTCGCGACCCGACGGCGACGGGGACACCTACATGACCAATTCCGAGGAGCATTCAGGGGATCGCGACACGCAGGGGAGCTCGTTCGGCCCGTCGGCCCAGCCGCGCCCGGCCTACTCGCACACGGCGCCGTCGCAGCAGACGCGGCGGGAGTCGGGGCTCTCGAGTTTCTCACAGAAGGGTCCAGTGACGCCCATGGCGCCGGGGTCGCAGCCGCACGAGTACGCCAACGAGGCCTCGACGACGCAGACGACGTCCGACAAGAAGTCTGAGCAGTCGTCGGTGCCACATCCCGCGCCCGTGAGCCCCGGGGCCATCCACGGACGGCACGAGTACCCGGACTTGACGGAGTATCCGGACCGGGTGTCGCAGGAGGAGCATCTGCCCGACACACAGCAAGGGGACAGCAGCCAGCCGTCGCCGCGACCGCGCGAATCGGACGTGGGTCCGGCGAACAAGGCCCAGCCGCCGGTGCCCCTGTTCGACGGCTCACACCAGCAGTCGACCCAACCCCCGCCGGCCACGCTTCAGTCGCTGCTGAACGACGAGGACCAGTCCCCCAAGCTGATCCTGGAACCGGGGTACATCAAGACGCTGCACGAGCAGCTCACACAGCGGACCAGCGGATGCTCAGTGGAGCAGCTGGAGCAGATCACCTCGTGTCTCATGGACTACCTATGGCAGACACGGGGCGAATGGAACCGCACCAAGGTGGCGTGCGGAGTGGGAGATGTGTTCAACGCGGTGTTGGAGGATATGCAGTCGATGCAGGAGATAGGACCGATCAGTCAGAAGACGAAGGAGCAGTTGTCGTCTGTGTATGCTGAGTAGTCTTTTTCCTTCTTTTTTTTTTATTATGCTTTGTTTTTACGTTTCTTATACCTCATCTCGTGTGTCATGTGTTTTCTGGCTATCTAGACCGAGTCGACATAGCCTGTCTGGATGATTTGTTTACTTCTTTTTTTTTTTATTGCGGGTGGATGTTATGATTATCTTACAGCGTGGAATGTGGATTGGCCTGGATATAGGTGTAGATAGAATAACTTGGTTGTACCTCTACTAAGAGTCTCTATACTTATACTAGTAAATGTAGTATATTTGTATGGCAATGTCATGTGACGGGCGACCAGAGTGGCCTTTCCCCAAAACGAGTCTAGTCCATACATCCACTCACAGCCATCGTCATCTCTACACCTTTCCTTTTCTTACCTCTCTTTCTTAACATACGACTATACCCATTCGAAGTGACCAAACGGGGGAAAGAATATAACGACCATGGTAAACTGGCTCAGTCTCGCCATCCCGTTCGCCTACCTCGGCGTCCTGGTAGGCTCTCTCGCGACGTTCTCGAGTTTATACAGGAAGCGCAAAGCGCGTATGTCTCTCTCTACCCTCCTCTCCCATCTCATCACCCCAATTCTCCCTCACAAGATTGTTCCTCAAACCCCCCAAGGAAAATAATGCTAACCCAAAAAACGATACAGAAAAAGCCACCTCCCTCGAACCCTGGTTCCCCGCCCACCTCCAACGCGACATCTACTTCTCCCTCCTGCACCTCGAACAGCCCTCCTCCGGAAAGGAAAAGAAAAGCACAGCCGTGCCGGAATCAGTGCTAAAGGCGGCTCTCCTCCGCCGCGCGACGGAAGACATCCGCCGCGTGATGGCGCTGCGCAGCCAGAAACCCGCGCTGGCGATGTTGTTGCAGCGGGGGAGTGTGGGCGATGATCTTTGGCAGAGGTTTCAGCGGGCGGAGAAGGAGATGGAGGATGAGGTTAAGGATGTTGTTGCTGAGGTATTTATCTTCTTCTTTTCTTCATTTTCTACCTTTTGATTGCTTCCCCTGGGGCAATGAAAGAAGTGGCTGGGTGAATCAAAGACAAAGAGAACGACAATGCTAATGAGAATACGGCATAGGCAAACGCATACTCCCCAAACTGGGGCCAAACAATCTTCCAATCCGCCAACGAAATGACCAACAACACGCTCTACCGCGAACGCATGGACATCCACCAGTCGAAGCTGGAGGAGGAGAAGTCGTGGTGGGAGAAGAAGAAGGCTGATGTTTCCGAGGAATTTATGAAGGAGTTGGATGCTGAGAAGAGTACTTCTACTGGTGCTGCAGCGGCTGCGGAGCAGAGGAAGGCGTCGGGGTCGGTTTCGTCTGCTGCTGGGGCTGCTACGGCTGCGGCTGGCGGTGTGCCATCTGTGAACGGAAGCGATGATGATGCGGTCCTTGTTGAGGCGGATGCTTCGGGGAATAATAGTCCTGGGGGTGGGGGGAAGAAGAAGAAGAAGGGGGGAAGAAATAGAGGGGTGGATAGATTGGGGTTTCGTTCTATATCGATCGGTTCATATGCATTTTCTATTTCGTATATGCGGTTTTCACTCTCTTTCTGGTTTTGGTGTTTGGGTGGTAAGGTGGTCAGGTGGTATGTGTAGCTTTTTGTAGGATGTGTTTGTGATATTATTATACTTGGTTGATGTGTAGGTTGGGGGACAAGGAGTGAGATTGGAGGTATGAGAGTGAGATTGGACTGGGTCCTGGTGTGATGTAGACGTTTATGTTCATTGAATTGTATGGATATGACTTGGATATGAATATGGATATAGATGTAGATGTAGAGTAGATAGAAAGATCGATATAGACAGACAGGTATAGATATAATAGCGAAGGGGAAGTGATCCACCACCAAATTTCAATAGAAAAATCAACGCCAATAATGCACACAATAAATATAATACAATCAAACCGCTAGAAACCCAACTATAACCCCAAATCCCCGTCGACAGACCCCCCAAATCCACCCCCTCAACACCCATCTCCCCCGCAGCAGCCTCAATCTGCCCCTCCACCGCATCAGCCCCCTCAACCGTCCGACCCATCACGATACGCAGCAAATCGCCCATTATCTCCAGCTGATACTGCTCTTTCTCGGCGGGATCAAGCGAGTCGTACTTCAAGCCCCGCGCCTCCAGCGCAGCGACCTTGCGCTGGCCGAGGATCTGCACCAGCCGGTTGACGTGCGCGATGTTCTCCTTGCTGCGGGGCGTGCTGGACAGACGGCGGAGACGGCGCGATGGCGTTTGAGCCGGGACGGCCGCGTGACGCGCAACCTGCAGCGTGATAAGCCGCGCGGTGGTATCGTCGGGAGCGAAGCCGAACGCAGCGCGCAGGGCGTACAGCGCGACGAGCGTACCCGCTACATCCTTCGACAGACAGAAGCAGCGGATGATCTGGTCGTAGAGGTCTTTAGAGAATTCAGCTGCGGTGGTATCCTGCGCGCGGCGCGGGAGACGGCCGTACCAGGCGATCATTTCAGCGAAGAGGCCGCGCGCGGATGGGAAGGAGGGCGCGGCGTGGGCGGTTGTGCGGCCGAGGTCGTATTGCAGCTTGCCGCTGTCCCAGAGGCAGGCGAAGGTTTCGAGGTCCGGGGCGGTCGTGCTGCTTAGGGTTTGGTATTTGTGCCAGAGGGTGCCGATGGCTTGTTTGCGGAGCTCGGCGTAGAGGAGGTGGTTCATGAAGTAGGAGTTGGGGCGGATGTGGGCGTCTTCGAGGCATTTGATAAGGTAGTCGATCATGCTTTCGTCGACGCGGCGCGTGTAGTGGAGGAGGAGGACGGAGAAGGTCTCGATATTGGCGGGGGGGGTCTCGCGGTTCATCCATTCCGGGATGCGGACCGCTGTGTCGGGGTCGGCGTCGGTGTCGGGCGGTTGCAGTCGGGGGGAAGAGCCGGTGTTGTGGCGCGCCCAGACGTTGTCGATGCGTCGCTGGATCATGGCCCAGCCGAGTCGCTCGGCTTTTTCACGCGCGCCCGCGTTTCCTTGCCGGAGCCAGCCTGCAATGAGCCCGTTGAGGTGTTTGGCGTCCGGCTTGACGCCGCGTTCGTACATGAGCTCGACGACCATGGCGGCGGAGTCGACCTCGCCCATGCCGATCAGCTTCTTCATCCAGCTGGCGTAGAAGAAGCGGTTTTCGAACCGTCGCGGGAGGACCGTCAGCGTTGCCAAAGAGATCTTGTTCACGTCTTGTTCGGAGACGCTGGACGCCTGGAGGTTGCCGGCGAGGCCGACGGCGGCTTTGTAGAGGAAGGTCGAGTCGTGCGTGGGGTCTTGGCCTGTCACCATCATGTCTTTGAACACCGCGATAGCGAGGTTGAGTTTGCCGGCTTTGAGAAAGCCAATGCTAATGCGATCGTAGTCTTCCATGGTCATGTTCTGTGCAAGGAACGCCTTGAGCTGCAGGTACAAGGCCCAGGCCTTGACCTCGGCTTCCTTGCCGGTCTGGCGCGCCCACGCTGTCATCACGGGTATGAGTACACGCGGCTGGCGGGACTTGTCGTTGGCGAGGAAGGCCAGTGCGATATCCTGCGCGCGCTGCGGGTTGTCTTCCGCCGCGAAAAGCCGCACGCCGAGCGTCCAATAGGCCTCCAGGTCTTCCTTGCCCTCAGACAGACCGATTTGATGAGCCTCCCATTGATCCAAGGCTTCCTTGATCTTCCCTGTTTCCCGCAGGGACTCAATGTACGAGAGGATATGTGGAGTCGGAAGGGATCTGCTAACGGAAAATGCGTCCTCCGCGAGAGTCTGGAGGTGGGTGGTGCGCGCGGCCCTTGTCGAACTCTCTGCCTGGGATTTCCACAGTAGCTCCATCGCCTCATCCGGTATGGATTCCAAGAACCCGGGAACCATCTGTCTGCACCGGCGGTACCATCTCCACAATTCGGGTTTCCAGCGCTCATTGGAGCTATCCTGCGCGAACTTTGTGAGGCATTCGTTGAATTTCGCGACGTACGCCTGGGACTCCGAGTCCTCTGGCACCATCACCTCGTAAGGCTTCGGTGCAACCGTTTTGCGGGAGTCCTTGTCCTTTTTCCTTGGTTCCCAATTTTCCTGCGCTGTCGCCATCCCCTCAAACTGCTTTCTTATCATCTCGTCCAGCTCATCATCAAAAACGTCGTCCAGATCGGCCCCGAGATTATTGATCCCCTTCTCCTCCTTATATTTCCGGATAGCCTCCAAGGCAATAGCCTTTTCCTTCTCGGGGAGTTTTTTGATGAACTCGCTATTGGGTCCAAACGGCCCTTCCTTCAGCAGTTCGAGCTCGCTGTCGATTTTGGAAATTTCCCCTGCCAGCTCTTCCCGCTCGGCGTGATGCACCGCTTCGGGGTCAACCCTCCTCCTCGTCTTACTATCCTGCGTATCTTGTTCGTAGAAGCGTATCTTGCTCTGCGGATCATCGTAGTTGGTGGAGCGGGGGGCTATGCCGGAGAAAGCACGCAGCGAGGCGAGCGGCGAAGTCGACGGGCCTCTGCGGGCGACATGCTGATATCCCCACCGAGCTCCCTGGATGGCTTGGCGGAGCATGGAAGTAAGCAGGGTGAGGTCATCGGAGGGTGAGAATAATCTGGGGTATCAAGCCAAGGCGAGTCGAGTCTGTTTCGTTGAGTCTTGTCTAGATAGTTCGTATGGAGAGGAAAAAAAGCTCCGCGGCGGAGTTGAACAAATCCCGGCCCGATCGGGTTTAGCGTCGACGCGAGAGGCGATTCATGAATAATCAGTCTTATCGAACTGTCGCTCATCACGATTCAATTCTCTGTCTGTCGATCGGGTCAACGAGGATTGACACGGAGCTGAGGTGGTCACAGTCTTTCTCTGCGGTCGATATTACCCCATTGACTCTCGCCATGGACCCTGAAATGGCCGACGCGGATGCGCCTAAGGATGGCTCCAACACCCAGGTACATCTATCCCCGACTGATCCATTCAATCACAAAACACCGATCATATGCTAAATATATTTGAAGGGTGTATATCTGTACCATCCAGCGAATGTCACCAAAGCTCCCGGCGAGCGACCCTCGAAGCGTCGGAAGGTCCTTCCAGAGAAGCAGGCCGATAACACCACCCACCCTTTCGTGCCCCTTCTAGACGGTGATGAAACCGCAGCATCGGTTGAATCCAGATACAACTTTTATCAGACATTATGGTCGGAGCAGGAAACGAAGATTCAGGTTAGTTGGACTATACTGGACAAATCTGCGCGACAAGCGGACAGCGCCTAACGATGCCATTCCGGGCAGGGGATCTTAAACGAAGCGGACTCAGGCGTTCTCGAGGAGGTCCTGTCTTTTGTCAGGTCGACTTCGCCTCAGACGTGAGTATTTCACTGATATATTCTTCAATGGGGGTCTGACCGGTATAGCTACGGCAATTGCATTCCCACGGCATTGGTCACTGTCGGGTCCAACGTGTCTTCCCTCGGGCGACTGTTGGCGAGGCTGAATGACCGACTGACAACTGCGGGCGAGGGGGGTGTCGTTGCGCTGGAGTCGGGAGATGCGCCGAACCTTAAGACCACCCTGAAGAATATCATCCGCGCCGCGATTACGAATACAGAGGGCAATGAAGGGTATCAGAGCTTCCTTACGGATCGAGATGTGTGTTCTATCTTCGTTAGAACGGAGGATACGGTGTGCTAATTGATACAGGGCCCGAGACTGCTCGGTTATGACCTTGACGTACTTGGCGACTACGTCAAACGAAAGGGTGTCACCAAGTTGGTTATCGCCTTTCAAGACAGCGAAGCTGTCGATCCGAACATGTTGACGGATCTTTTGTCCTTGCTAAGGTGAGCCATTGGTTCAGAACACGATGCGGTGCTCAAGCTGATCTCGTAGTTCCTGGGTTGATCGGATACCATTCACTTTGCTATTCGGCATCTCGACTTCAGTCGAACTGTTCGAAGGCAGACTTCTCCGCTCAAGCGTTGCCTTGCTCCGGGGTAGATACTTCAAGATCCACGGCGCAAGCAATTGCGTCGACCGTATCTACGAGAATCTACAGGCAGATGAAAATGGCCAGTTCTGGTTGGGTCGCAATATAACGGCAACTCTGTTTGAGAAATCAACCGACGCTTTCCAAACACCCGAGGCGTTCAGCCAGACTGTCAAGGTAATTACTACCCCCTTTGTCCGTTGGCGCAACTCTGACGATCCTAGTATGCATACATGTCCCACTTCTTTGCCAATCCATTGGCAACTCTCCTAGCAAGCGATGCTTCTCCCTCGCTGCGACAAAACAAGCTCTGCGAAGCGATTCGAAATGTTCCGTCTTTTCGAAGGTAGGCACTTCACCGTCTCGCATAAATGACAATATGACTAAACCTTGCAGCTTCTGCGAAGATCACCTAGATGCAGGGTCATCCAAGTACGTACGCCAATTGCTAGAAGACGACGAGTATCTCTATTCGCAAAGTTTGGAGCACCTCCGCGTAGGGCAACAAAAGATGCGCTATCTTTTCCAGGCCGCGAGAACGATCCACATATGCCTCAAACACCTCGGCATCGCAAAAGACACCAGCATATCGGACGTATCAACCCGTGCACTTTCCGGCGAACTGGTAGATTCTCCATGGGTGGAGGAAATCTTGACGGGCCTGAAAATGCTAGACTCCACCAAACTCCAGGAGTTGATCGCCATCCTCCCAGGATCTCTGGCGGCGCATCCAGATCTTGGAGCGATCCACGAGGATCTCGAGTACCTTTTGCAGGAGTATAAAGATGTTACACCGCTGCGGAGCGAGTACGACAACCACCACTCTGTACTGACATCGACCGTTCTTCGGCAAAGTGTCAAGCTCAGCAGGCGCAAAGCCAAACTGCCCGATCAGGATGTAGATTATACCAGGATTATCGACCGTTTCCATGCGTTAACAGGAGCTTTTTTTGCGGAAGCCTTGCTGAATCCGCAAGATCTGTTCTTACACGAGGCCTTCATCATCGATATGAAGAATCCGCTGAAAGAGATCTTCTCGCCCCGACCCCGCTATGCCATCGAGCGAGCGTTGGCGAGACCATTTGATTATCTCATCTCGACGTCGAACACTTCCGAGGCCAGGGTCTCGGCGAAACAACCGGCAACGGCGATTTTGTATCAGCTTATCCTTGAGTCCGGAGCCCTTGTGAACGTGCATGACCTTTGGCAGGCATTCAATGCCGTGTTCGAAAGTGATGGTGACGCTGATTGTGATGAGCGGATGGTCTTGACCCTGTTTTATCGAGCTCTATCTGAGCTTAAATCATTCGGCATGGTCAAAAGCAGCCGGAAAAAGCTTGATCATATTGCCAAGACGTCATGGGTTGGGCTGTAATTTGGAGTCGTCTTGTATATTAATATTGCAATTCTTATCCGAAAAGGGTATCATCGTACACAATGGCTGCACTACCATCGTAACTCTGTACGCATAAACCGCCCGGTAATGACCTCCGACTCTAGGTCTGTGGTTCCGCGGCGGCCAGCAACAGGTTGGAAGCATAGGAAACGAGCAGGAGAAAGCCATCATCATTCCGAGATAGGTAATTGGATAATGTCGTCATTACCCAGTGGGCGTCCGCCATCACTCAAGACCATGGCTTCTCTCCTTCGTCTCCGCACGACCTGTTCCTCAGCCGTACGATCCCGAGGTCTTCGAGCTGAAATGTGTCTCGAGCCAGCGGTATCTTCTCCATCGACCATCCATACGTCACTATCCGTTTCGTCCTGGTCATTCTCCTCCATCATGCTGCCCATGAGACCGTATTTGCGGAGCTGTTTGGCGCCGTCGGGGTGGGTCGAGAGCGTGTTGAAGATAGCGCTCATGACTGCGTCGTCGGACCACCACGTCCTCATAAGGATGACAACATCCTGTCGCCGAGATGGCTCGGAAAGGGCGCATGGAAATGGGTAGTGCGCAAGCCATCGAGTAATTACACCCGCCTCCAAGGCTGCGGGGATATTCTCTTGCAGTATGATGTTTAACACACTCAGCGCTTTCTTTTCTCCAAGCGGTCTCGTTTTCGGAAGAATGGGCGACACCGTGGTCGAGGTCTCTTCGACATGCTCCTCGAGGAAGAAGCAGAGGCAGTTGACAATAGCGGTATAGGCGGGGGTGTCTTTTAATCGGGTGCATACGGATGTCCGGGCGACTGGCCTATGGTTAGTAGATGTAGACCAAAGGGAAAGCAGTAGGCAGGCTTCGTACGCGCTCGGTTGGAGACAAGGAAGTACATGGCACTGAGGGCTTTGTTACGCCGCTCGCCATCCTTGCTCGCAAGGTCTGCGAGGAGCAAATCGCGGGTCTCTCCTTTGGTTGATCGTTCTGCAATAATACGCAAAGATCTATAGAGCTTGTGTTAGCTCTGAAGTTGGAAAATTTCAGGGTATCATACGCTGCTCGGAGGTCATAGCTCGTGCTCTCGGAGAGCTTCAGTAGGGTATCTAATTTCAAAGCTAGACGAGTCAGCCGGTCTGGTCAGTAACTACATCGCAGTCGGTAGAATATGCGGCGTACCATCCTCTGTGCCTTCACTTATCATCTTATCTTCCTTCTCATCGACATGCTTAATCTCCGTCAAATCGCGTACTTGTCGGAGATCCGTCGCAATGCCGCGGACGGCGAAGAATAGAGAAACGCCTGTCAACGGATCGCGTCAGTCACACATGTATCATAGTAAAGGGACCAATGACCATACCAAGACATATCCACAGCAATCTATCATTCAAGTGAGAAGCCATGGTTTGGCTCATGGTCAACCTGATCGAGCTGACTGCTTGATGTCAGGTTGGATCGACCATCCAAAGGCGGAGACAGCACAACGCACGGGCAGAATGCTGCGGGCGGTGAACCAACTTTTTTTCTTCCCTGCAGCCAAAAATTTCGGAGTCCCGACAAGCGTCGCTTTCTTTGGCTCGTCCTTCCCACGCACCGAAAAATGCCGCCTTCACAGTTAAAGCAGCTCAAGTCCTCGCTGCGTGACAGCGGGGTCGTCGCGCCGCAGAAGTCGAAAAAGCAAAAACGTGAGAATGCGAAATCCGGCGCCGGCGGGCAGGAACGAATCCGCCGCAATGCCGCCTTGGAGGCTATTCGCGACCGCTTCAATCCGTTTGAGATCAAGACTACGGCCTCGCGGTCTAAATTCGACGTGACCACGCGAGATGGAGGCTCGAAATCTGCCGACAAGAACCATAGACCCGGTGTCACAAAATCGCTGGGCGAAGTGAGGGTGAGTTTCAATAGGACGCTTCTTTCTTTAAGATCTAGATTACTGACGATTTCGCTCGTTGTAGAGACGCGAAACACTGCTTCGGGAAATGAACCGCAAGAACAAGGTGGGCGGTGTCATCGATCGCCGTATTGGTGAAAACGATCCGACCATGACGCCCGAGGAGAGAGCTGCCGAACGATTCGCCCGAGAAAGTGAACGACGATTGCGGAAAGAATCAATGTTCAATCTAGAGGAGGATGATGACGACGAGGAATTCCAACTTACCCACAAAGGGCAGTCTCTGTCTTTCGAGGATGGCGTGAACCTGGAAGATTACAACGACAAGGACGCGGACCTGGATGAAGAGGATTCGGACTCAGAACTTCCCCACAAGAGGAAGCGAGTATTCGAGGACGAGGATGATATGGGCGGCGCTGCAGATGGGGAGGACGAGGAGGAGGAAGAGCTGCCGGAGCGGAAGAAATCAAAGCATGAAGTCATGAAGGAGGTGATCGCCAAGTCAAAGTTCCACAAATTGGAACGACAACAAGCCAAAGAGGACGACGATGACCTGCGGGAGGAACTCGATAAGGAGCTCCCTGACTTGTTCGGTATGCTGAGAGGTGTGAAGCCTCCGCCAAAGCCCGAGCCTCCGAAAGACGACATGGGGGCGATGAACCCGGAGCGTGCGGCCTGGATTGAAGGAGGCCCTGGAAAGGATACCGAGAAAGAATACGATCAACGCTTGAGGCAGATGACTTTCGAACAACGGTCTAAGCCCACCGATCGCACGAAGACCGAAGAGGAGAAGATTGAGGAGGAGGCTCAGCGATTGAAGAAACTGGAAGAGGACCGCCTGCGAAGAATGCGGGGTGAGGAGTCGAGTGAGGATGAAGAGAGTGCGAAAGAAGACGCAAGCGATGTTGATGATATGGGGGATTCTGATAACGAATCGGTATTTGACGATGCGAAAGCATTTGGTTTCCAAATGTCGGCGGATCAGACTACCTCACGCCCGGAACTGGCGGTTGAGGATGAAGATGATTTCATTATTGATGACGATTTGGTGGAGACGAGGTCTGATGTCGATTTGTCGCTTGATGGCAGCGATGATGAGGCATCCTTTGTCGAGGATTCTGAGGGCGAGGAAGAAGACGCACAGGAGGACGAGCACATCAACGGCCTCACTATCCCAGAGGGCGAGTCTGCTGCCACAGCTGACGGAGTGCAAATCGCCGCTGATGGACTCGCATACACCTATCCCTGCCCCCGCGACCATGAGGAGTTCCTCAACATAATTAAAAATGTGGCCGTTGAAGATCTGCCCACTGTGGTCCAGAGAATTCGAGCATTGCACCACCCTCGTCTTGCCAGTGCCAATAAATCGAAACTGGGCCGGTTCTCCGCGATCCTCGTCGAACACGTTGCATATATGGCTAATCAACCGGAACATCCGCCGTTTGCAGTCCTGGAGAATATCCTCCGACACGTTCACTCTCTCGCCAAATCGCATCCTGAGGAAGTGTCGCAGGCATTTAGACGCCATCTCCGCCAGATGTCCGCGGAACGACCGCTCAACCCGCTTCCCGGCGATCTGGTTATCTTGACCGGCGTTTCTGTCATCTTCCCGACCTCAGACCACTTCCACGCCATTGCGACACCGGCGCACCTTACGCTTGCCCGGTATCTGGGGCAAAGCACCGTCAACTCGCTGGCTGAGATCTCCACAGGCACCTACGCCGCCAGTCTCTTCCTGCAATACCAGGAGATCTCGAAGCGGTACATGCCCGAATTCATCAACTACGTCCTGAACGCTTTGTGTCATCTCTGCCCTAAGGAACCGACAACCAGTCTCGGGGCTTTCCCAACACGCAGCCCGGAGGTATCTCTCAGACTGAGAGCCACGAAGTCCATCGCCCCCCGAACGCTCCAATTCTGGGACATGTCAGGTCCTGCCGCAGGAGCAGAAGAAGAGCTCAAGCTCTCCCTGATCACCACGCTCGTCAAGCTCCTCGACACAGCGTCCGATCTCTGGTCCGACAAGTCCGCCTTCACCGAGATCTTCACCCCCGCGCACGCAGTGCTCACCCACCTCGTGAAAACCTGGCCCGCCAAGCTCTCCAAGGCCACCGTCCAAGCCACCCTCACCAAGGTATCGACACACCTCTCCCAAGCCCACCTACACCGCCGGCCCCTCGAACTCCACCACCACAAACCCCTCGCCATCAAATCCGCGATCCCCAAATTCGAAGAGTCCTTCAACCCGGACAAGCACTACGACCCGAACCGCGAGCGCGCGGAGCTCAACAAGGTCAAGGCGGAGTACAAGCGCGAGAAGAAGGGCGCGATGCGCGAGCTGCGCAAGGACGCCAACTTCGTGGCGCGCGAGCAGCTCCGGGAGAAGAAGGAGCGCGACTCCGAGTACGAGCGCAAGTACAAGCGGCTTGTGGCAGAGGTGCAGAACGAGGAGGGTCGCGAGGCGAATGCTTACGAGAGGGAGAAGAGGTTGCGGAAGGGGCAGCGGTGATTCTTCTCCTCCTTTTTTACTATTATATTCTCTTGCTTTCTTTTTTTACTTTCCCTTTATTGTTGTTGTTTTATGCAGGTTGTGGTTGTTTTATTTCACAGGGATGGGGTACAAAATGTATATACCATACAATCAATCATTCAATCATTCAAGTTCAAATCTCAGATCTTAGAGTAATAACCCCATACATACATTCATCATTATACTAGTTCTATATATACACACATGTATGTACGTACATGTACATGTACATGTAAATAAAAATACACAACAACCCACATCTATCCATCATGATCATCATCTGACCACCCCAGCATGCATGCAAGATGCGTCATGTCCCACATGGGCAGATACTATTTATTTCCATCTAGGCTGCACTGTACTACAGGCCTAACCAACCAACTAAATTTAACCGACTTTTTGACTACGTGGGCGATGCTCTTGCAAGAATGGTATTTATCTTTCTAATATACGTACAGATAAAGAGGTAGGTAGGTTTAGATGAGTAGATATAGATAAATGGAAAAATCATATCGAGATTTTGTATTGTTCGGAGGACTGTGCTGTGCATACAGGCTGCTGTCGACAATGATTAATGATGATAAGGGAAAAAAGATAGGGAAAAGAAGAAAAGGGAAAAAAAAAGTATGTACAAAGCATGGTCAACGTGGGATGGAGGGTTCAACTCAGCAGAGGGAACTTCTCCGCTCTTGTTAATATGCGCATGAAGGTAAACAATAATCAATAAAAAGTAAAGAATAGAAGAGTAGTCGAAACGATAAAGAAGAGAAATGATGACAAAAACGAAAATTAGCAAATAAAATCATAATATGATCGTCCGAGATAAGCATAATACAGAATGGGATATCCATTGCACATCAAACAAGCAATGCAAGCCAGAAAACAAGGCAAAATCGAAGAAATAAATAGAACCCAGGGGGAAAAAGCAGTGAGAAACCTATGATTCAGGTTCATGACTCGCCCAAGGAATCCATCAACAGCTCCAACGAGCGATTCGGACTCTTCTGCAGCGTCTGATAACACCCCACACAAATCCGCAAGCAGCAGAACACGCAGCGATGACGGACCTCCCGGTCGAACTTCTGACAGGTCATGCAGGGCAGCGCGTGCCAGCGGTTTGCGGCGGGGGGCATGGCGCGGTGGTCCTGGTAGCAGACGTAGTGGAGCTTGTTTAGGGGAGCCGCGACGGGTTCGAAGTCTGGGGGCGTCCAGGGGCCGTTGTTTTCCTCGCTGGAGGCTTCTTCGATGGCGCTGCCGGGGCCGTCGAGGACGGGTTCAATTTCGTGGCCGTGTTCGGGGTGGGGATGCTCGCGGTCTGCTTCGGGGTCGGGGATGAAGTCTTCGAGGGGGTCTTCTTCTTCTTCTTGGGGTTGTTGATGTTGTTGTTGCTGTTGTTGTTGCTGTTGTTGTTGTTGTTCTGCGGCGCTGGACTGTCTGCGCGATGGCTCGTCAATGTCGTGGTTGATGCTGGAGGGTGGGGTTGGTCGTTGCACGGGCAGCGGAGGTTTTTCGGATTTTGGGACAGGCACGCGGGGGATGCTGGGGACGCGCTTGACGGGGGGAGAGTTGGGGGAGAAGCCGGTGTGATTGGGGGGCGAGTTGGGGGAGGAGTCAAAGCGGTTTGACGGAGAGAAGCCGTTATGATTAGGAGGAGAGGTAGGCGAAAAGTTCGCGTGCGAATTCACCGCAAACCCCGGCGTAGAACTCGGCGGCGACGCAGCCGGCGACAGCGACAGATTCCGCGGGGAGAGATCCCGGTCCTGCGGGGGCAGCGGGGGCAGCGGCGGAAGCGGCGGGCCCTGACTGCGATATCCAGACGGCGAGCTGGCCGACGCAGCAGGGAACGGCGGAGGCGACGGCAACGGATTCGGCGGCAGCTCCTTCTCGTGCGGTCTGGGAGGACGAACGGGCACGGAGTCGGTACGCGCGGGATAGCCTGGGAAGAGGGAGATCTCTGGGGGGAGCTCGGTGGGAGGAGAGTCCGGGGGACTTTGGTGGTTGTTCTTTTTGAATTTGATGGCGGAGAGGGAGGGCATGCGGAGGCCACGCGGGCGGTTTTCTTTTTCTTTATCGCGGATGGCCATTTTCTTTCTTCTTTTGTTGACTATAGATGAGGATAAGAAGATAGAGAGATGACGAAGTGGGGGCGCGGAATGATCAGCGATCCGGATCGCCAGGAGCGATGAAGTGGGAGTTGGAAGTTGACTTGACAATCAAGAGGAAGATAGTGAGAGAAGAGAGAAGAGAGAGAAGAGAGGAGGTCAGAGAGGTGAGAAGAGGGAGAGAGTAAGAAGAGAAGAGAGAAAAATCAATTAAACCTGTAACAAGCCAAACAAGATACTAAAAACGGGGCGATGGAACCATGGATGGAGCTGGACTGACTTATGTACCGTTCCTCCCATTGCTTTACTTTGATTATTATTTTGATCTCCTCTATTTTGTTTATTTTGCTTTATGGTTTACTGTTGAACTACTTCTACTAAACTAGAAACTAAGAATGATTTGTTGTCCCAGTCAGATTGGTCCCATGCACGAAGCTCTCCAAACGAGACTGATCCAATCCATCACACTCTCGTCACCGTCACCGCTCACTACTTCCTCTAGTCAGTTCTCAAACAGGCTAGAGGGATACCGATCGATCGAGAAATCAGTAGACCCGAAAAAAGAAAAAATCAAGAAAGAAAGGACCGTCAAATCAAACCACACAGCGACTCGATACATCGTGTAATAATGATCAACATACAAGAAAGTAGAGTCACTACTCGCTAGTCGCTCTAGTTCCTGCTTTCTCACCCAATGGGATCCCCACGGACTGACTTTCCTTCTATCATTCCCAGTTTTCTCTCCAAAAGAATGAGGTCAGACATGAGGGTCACTCTTGACTGAGTCTTCAGTCCTGATAATGCAGACCACGTGATACCCCCAGCCCTCATCATCCCCCATCTATGGAGAAGACAACATCGATCAATATAATCCAAACAAAACAACGCGATGTCTCCCCATTCCCTGCTGCATTGCATAATTTACATCTGTGGATACCATCCAACTAGGTAACAATCAAAAGCCAGGCTACATCCCCTCCAATCACTCAGCCCAGTCAATCAATCCATTGGATACCATCCAGGATCGGAGCGGGGTGGAGACCACCACCGCGTGGCTGAAACCAGATCCGAAACCCTTCAGGCGGGTTTAATGGGTTTAATCTGGACGGGCTGCGCCACGCCCTGTCATCTTCATTTCAATCTCCGATTTATTTAGATTTAGCATAGCAGGGAGGTGGGGGGGGGAAGGGGCTCATCTCGATTGGATTAATGAGGATTTTCCTAAGAAAGAGTGGGTGGTCGTTTCATCAACAGTCAGCCGCAATGGATGCAATGATCAATGGTGCATGCAATTGATGACCCTCAAATGACTACTCCATAGTAGCCGATATAAGATATATAAGCAGTAGGAGATTACACCATTTCACTAAAATGAGGAATATAGGCAATACATATTCACTTTCATTTTTCAGAATGATCAATTAATCAAGATAGAAATTGAATACGCAAGATTGAGAAGAATGAATTCTATGCTACTAATGTATATAAACAAACGAGACTCCTACCCTCATAATGCAATCAGTCAACCAGTCAGCATATACCATATCCGAGCCGGACCCCGAAGGGAATGAAATCAACAAGTGATAGAATGTAAAAAAAAAAAAAAAAAAGAAATTGAAAATGAAAAGAAAAGAAAAAATGATAAAAAAAAAACCTGTGCATCATCATCGCTTTTCCATTGATACGCAGTCATGAGAGAATGAAGTTAAAAGTAAAAAGGTAAAGGAAAGGTAGAATGAGGGGGAAAGAATATCAAGTCTGTGCATTCCCGGGCGGATGATGAATCTCCACCGATCGCGTCTCCAGTTCCTGCGGTTTCAGGCAGTCCCGATGCTCGGGCAGGCTCACATCGTCTTCTCCCAAACCGGTAGATCCTGCGACCACCGGGCCGTGAGATGCGGGATGGTCGGCGGACGTGGGGCCCGGGGGGGAGCCCAAGTGGTGCGCTTGTGGCGACGCATCTTCGACGTGTTCGGTCGACTCCGGCTTGTCGTCGTCGTCCCCGATAACCTCGGCGAGACTGCGGAAGTTGAACATGGGCTCGTTGGACGAACTGGTGCCCTCGACCGGCGGGAACGGTCCCGGGTGGTCCTCCGCCATGGAGTCCACCACGGAGGAGAAGGACGACGACGCGCTCGAGACATGTCGCAAGTGCGACGGTCGGGCCGATTCGCGGCCAGGCGGCGGAGAGGTGTCTGCGGGGCCCGCCATGCCGGTGCCGGCAGGGCTCGCGCGATCGACCTCTTTGCCCTTGCTCGCGGCGGTGGTGTCCTCCCCCGTAACAGAGGACGAGCTGCTGACTACCCGCCCCAGTCCCGTCGGGACATCCAGGGTGGAGCGGCTAGCGTTGCTGCTGTAGAGTCCCGACTTCCGGGCCATCTTCTCCGCCTTCTTGGCCTCCTTCTCCCGCTTCTTGGCCTCTTTCTTGGCTTCCTTGTCCTCGCGTTTGCGCCGCTCATCTTCGCTGGCCAGACTCAACCGGATCGCCTCCATCATCATCATGTCCTCCAGATCGTCCACCCGCGTCCGTCTCGAGCCACTGCGCGCGGGCGTGCCGCCACCTTCCTCGGCCGAATCGGTCTCGTTCCCGGCCCCCCGGCGATCCGTTAAAAACGCCAGCGCTTGCAAAGCTGGCGAGCCCCGGCCAGGGCTGCCTTGGCCTTCCGGCGCCCCGGACCGTCGCATGACGCCCCTTCTGCCGATGCCAAAATTGCGTGATTCGCTTGCGGAGGGGTTGCTGTTCATCATGTAGGCCGCCGTGTGCAGGGCGGTGGCCGCGGCGGACCGTCGCGCCGCGTGCGCGCGTGCGTTGGCCAACTTCTGGGCCCAGTCCGGTCGAATCCGGTCGGTTGTGATCACCGCCGGGTCCGCGGCCGACAACGACGTTGCGCGCCGGCGACCTGTGAAGCTGGCGACATTTCCCGAGGACAGGGAGGATGTGGATGAGACGGGCGAGGCGAGATTGAGACGAGATCCCGGGTCGGCGGGGTAGGTCAATCCCCGGCGGAACGGCGGCGTCAGGTACGTCACACCGAACTCCGGCTGGACGCAAAACGGGCAGGCGGCAGGCTCTGATACGAGCTGACCGTCCTGGTTGTCGGGAGGCGCCGCCTCGGACGCTGGAGCTGGGGCTGGGGCAGTTGGGTCCGCATCGCCATGCTCTGGCGGGTGGGGCTCGGGTCGTTTGATCTGCACGAAACACTCGGAGCAGATGGGCTGGTCGCAGCACCGCGTGCGGTTCAAGTAAGGGGGGTAGTATAGGAAACAGATCGGGCACTCGGACGCCGCTTTGTAAAGGTAGGCCTCCATGGGCTGGCCGTTGACGAAGGGGTCGTGCGGGAGCTGCAACTCCCGGGGGCCGGGGTCAGCCACGTTGGCGTTTCTCGACGTCGTCAGGGAGGCGAGAGTTTTTGCCCGAGTTCGAAACAGAGGCGTACTGGACGTGCCCTGGGAGATGGGGGAGGTGGAGGGCAGCGACTGCGCCGGCGTGGAGGACTGGGACACATCCGAGCCATCGGATTGCGACCTCGACGTGATCGGGACCGTCAGGTGTTGAATGGACCTTGGATCGGACGACTCCTTGGCATCCTCTGTAACCCTTGGTGGATTTCGATACTCCAGTTCCGGGGGGATCTCGTCAGGGGCGGGAATGGGGAGGCCCCGCGCGGCGGCCATCAGCTGATGCTCGGTCCATGCATCGGAGAAGTCGTTCAGACCCCGCCAAAACGGGGCAAGGCGTCGTTCAATCTGCACGAGACAATAAATCAGCAAGGGCTATAACAAGAACGTGTGGCAAGTCCACTCACCATCAACTGTCGGACGACCGCTTTACTAAAGTCCTCGGTCCCCGTGTAGACGCCCTGCGTAACGAGATATCCCCCATCGACATGTTCGTCTCGCATGCTACGCGCCCGTTCCTTGAGCCGGGCGACCCGTTCTTTCTCCTGACGTCGGGCTTCGCGCTGTTGTTTCGTCTCGCGACGATGCTCGAGGGAGGCCACATCCCTTTCGTGGCTCCCAGTTATTCCCAGGATGGAGAGGTCGGGACGACTGCCACGCGTCGATCGGGACGCTTCCGCATGATGCCGGTCATCGTAGGGCGACCTTCCGTGGCCTCCGTAGCTTCGGCGATTCGAGTGAGGGAGAGACGATCTGGATTCTTTGGTCTGCGAATTCCCCATCTCCACCGGGTGTGGGAATATTCAGATGACAGGAATAAGTGGACGAATGAAAGACAACCAGATTGGTAATCCAAGGTGGGTTGTCGTGGTCAAGGGCAGTAGTAGTACCTTGTCAGATTAGTTGGGGGGGGAGCCGCGAAGTGCCAGATAAGAAAGGCGGAGAGGCGGAGTCGACGCCAGCTTAGGTCGGGAAGAAAGTGGAACGAACGGGGGGCTAGAATCCAGTCTAACAACAGATGTTGTTAACCCAGATGGTTGACAGAGGTCGACAAGAGGTCGACAGTGGAGAGATGCTTAGTTCTCAAAGCCCAGATGAGAGAAAAGAGAAGAAGAGGAGGATAAAGACAAAAAAGCCGATGGGGCCATGTGAGCGACCAAGAGCTTAGTGGACTAGACTGGGTTTAAGACAGGCTAAGACGGGGCGATGAGATCAGACGTGCGGGATTCGGTGAACCGCAGGAAGAGGAAACCGCCGAATTAGGGGTTAATAACTTAATCAGAAGATGGCGATGGGAGGAGAAGGGAGAAGTGGGGAATTGGCAAGGGAAGGGCCGACGTTGTACGGATGATGGAGTGAAGAATCCAGTCTTAATAATAAGAGTCCATGGTCAATTCACATGATGCTTCTACTTACTGGACATACAGTATACAGTCTACGTACCCACTGTTACCACACTCCGACCGGCCAATGTGACGCTCAGTATTCGTATTACATGATCCATCCATTCTGGATATCTTTACAGGAGAGTCAATATAGATATAGAGGAAATACATACTAATACCTTTTAAATAGATAGTATACATGATCTATTATACATCCCAATACCAGACTTGACTCTATCAAAGTCATACCTACTTACTCTCATCCGTATTCGCCAACCGGCTACTATGGCTAAAGTCCACGCGCAACCGCCGCCCATGCGGCCGTCTCTGGCGCAACATTTCCAACCCAATCTTAGCGCTCTCGACATCAAGAAAGTCAGCATGCGCGAAGCCCTTCGCCAGCCCCGTCCGGCGATCAATCGCGACTCTCACGTCCACCACGTTGGCAATACCCTCGAAGAGCTCGCCGATGTCCTTATCCGTCGCGTCGAACGGCACGTTGCCGAGATACAGCGTTCTCGACGGATTCCGGATTCCCATATGAGTGTTGACGTTGTTCTGCGCAAACTCGACCGTCGCGCGCCGGCCCTCAAAGACCTTCAAGTGCATGCCTTGGATAGCGCGGGCGGCAGCCTCGACGGTATCAAACTGGACGTAGCCGAATCTGTCAACACCATTAGCATTCCATTCCCCGTAATCACGCCAAAAAAAAAAGAAAAGAAAAGAAAAGAAAAAGAAAGAAAAAGAAATACCCACCCCTTGCTAATCCCCCGATTATCACGAACGATATAAACCTGCTCCACAACCCCAAACTTCTGCATCCGGTGCTGCACATCCTCCGCCGTAACGTCGAAGAAAATATTCCCCACAAACACCGTCTCCTTCGGCTCCGTCATCCGCTTCAGCTTGCGGAACATCTCCATGTGTCGCGAATTCCTTGGGTACACCTCGTCGTCGAGGGTTTCATCCTCGTGGGACGCCTCGAAGCTCACCGCATCGTAGTAAGGGTCGCCGGAGGAAGAGCGGTCTCGCGGGTCTAGTCCGTCTCGGGATTTCTCTTCGGGTTGGATCTCGCGATGTGTCTCTGCGGTAGTGGTAGTCGCGCGCGCATCCTCCGCTTGTCGCGCGGTAGAGTCTTCGTTGCTATCGGGGAGAGGAGTAGTAGACTGCGCCGGCGCCGCCGGCCGTTGCGCGTCCTGGCTGTTCCATCGGCTCTGGATTATGGAGGGGTTCGTTCGTCGGGGCACGGCGAAGCGAGTCGTGTGCTGGACGGCGCTGGTGCTGCCCCTGGTCCATGTTGATCGCACCGGCGCTGAAGCCGTCGAGGCCAGCAGGCGGCATGCGGCCTGTCGGATGGAATGCCTAGGCAGGGAATAAGTCAGCTCTCTGTTGCTATCTAGGTCGCCGTGTAGATCTTTTTCTTTCTGCGCCTTACATTTTGAATCAGAAATTCGACAGCCACTTGAAAGTGAAAAGACTGTAGAGCTAAGACGGGATTTTCCCTCCGATGTTTTTCGAGACCAGGAAAAAGAGCCAATCGGCTTCCGATAAGATCACGTGATCATGGCATGGTGTCTGATAAGACCACTATGGGGACTATACAATAACCCACTAGTCCTTCAACATCTACGGTATGCCACAATCTTGCTGTTGGGTATTGATTATAGTAATACATTCTGCAGGAGGTGAAATAGCCTCCAGGCCGGGATAAGGAAAGCACAATCACATCAAACCGCCAAATACAGGCTGACAATATCATCATAGGAGGGTAATGTACCAAGTAAATCGTAATATGCTCAAGAACAAGACATCAACATCGCAGGCTCTTCCAAAATTCGTTATCCACCTCTTTACACCAACCAATAGAGGAAATGGGCTATCATGGAGCACTTTGGCCAGGAGCTCCCTGATTCGGCTGCTGCGGAGAGCCGTTACTGTAAGACCCCGGCATCGGCGGACCGTTACCATAGTTATTGCTATCGAGAAAGAAGAGGTTGGGGTGGCGGGGGAGGGGGCGGTTCCGGTCCGCAACACCACCAGGAGTACTCTGGGCTGGGACTGGGGACGGAGATATACCCGTTTGCGCCTGCTGCTGTTGCAGCTGCTGTTGTTGCGCGTCCGGCCCCGGCCACCATTGGCCCGAGAAGTCGAGCGCCGGGTTTTGCATGTATGTGTCCCAGGCGTCCTAATTACCGTTAGTGAATATCTCGATAGATTGGTGCAGATTGAAGAAGGTCAGGCCATACCCAGTCCAGATTGAGCTCCATGTCAGGCATCTGGCCAAACATGCTGCCAAAGGGCGAGGGAGCACCTCCCAAGTCGGCGGAAGCACCGAAGGAACCCTGTGCTGCCAGCGGCGCGTCGGCCATTTTCACCGATGCGTCGCTGAAGCCCGGGGGTGCCGTGTTCATGGGGCTCATCCCACTGCTCAGCAGACCCAACGTGATGGCAGCATTCTGCTTCTCGTCTTGCGGCTCGAAGGCCGGTGCCGGCGCATTGCTGCTGTCGGTGAGGCCCATGTTCAGACGGGCCAGCATCACCTCGAGAGCCCCCACTGCTTTGGAAGCCTCCATGGTCTCTTCGCGCTTTTCGTGCCAGATGTCCTTGGAGCGCTGCAGCGCTGCCATCATTTCGTCTCGACGTTCTCGGCCCCATGCACAGGCGTCGTTGGAGGCGCGACCCCCGGCTTGTAATCGATCGCCGTGGTAAAGATCGAGCACAACGATGGTGGCGGCAAGTAGGAAATCAGTCGAAGAGAATGAGGTGACTCCATTTCGGAGAGCCCGCAAGCGACCTGTGGGGCTCATTTCGGTATGGAATATGGACTGGAAGCGCAACAGCTCCATGGCGGAGTCGATGCATGTTCTTCGGGAGTAGGTAAAGCGGGGATTCTCGCGCGCGCGAACAATGTATGGCCTGTGTAGCACGCACTGGGCTCTGTGGTATATGCTCATTATCTGAAAGGGGGGAGTTGCGTTAGATAGAATAGTAGTTAGGGATTGAGAAACCTACGGAGTATCGAGACATGATGACATTTGCCGGGTCAAGCTGGGATTCTTCCATCGGACGGAGCATCAAATGCTCGGGAATCATGTCTCTTGCTCGACGGAGCTCCGCGTCGAGCTCCATCACCTTATCATAGGATCCACTTTCAAGGGAAGTATCGTGCTCGGTAACTCGGCCGAACGCGTATACTAGACGCGATTTCGTGATGAGATAGGAGATCGGGGTGGGTTCGCTGGGTGGGCGCGAGGCCGGAAGTGCCTTGCAGTCCTCCTCAAAGTCGTCGTCGTATAGGTTTTGGGGAATCTCGGTGTCACAATCGGACGTGCGGAGCATGCCGGGCAAGCCGACTTGGAAGGAGAACAGCAAGTCACACACCCGTACTAATGTCCAGACGCGCCGCCGCATCTCCCCTTGGAACGGCGTGATGTTGGGAAACACCTTTGAGTCCCGGTGATAACCCATCCTCATGGCTAGCCTCGCGATCACGCCGACGAGCACCCAGACAGACACGTCCGCCTCTCTGGTCTGGGAGAAGTCCCCATGGAGGTGGAACATTAGGGCTTCGATCAAGTATGGCCACGGTTTGGTATAATCTGCCAGGGTCAAACATTGCGCCATGAGATTCCGAAACGTGCCTGCCATGTCCAGAGACTTGCCCCGGAACTCCGGCGGCTCGTCCTCTTCGCGATGATACGAGAGCATGGCTAATCGCATGATCGATAATAGCATGCCAACCCAAACGATACATGTCTGTGACGGGTCTTCCCAGTGTTTATTGTACTAAAACGGTCAGCGCCACTTCTATTGCCAACGGTCCAGGAGTCGCTGCTTACCTGCGCCTGAAAAGTAGGGCCATGAAGAATTACTGGGTCGGAGGTTAGCATGGTAAAAGAACACGACAAGCGGGTGCAATCTGACTTACGAGTGCAAGGGTCGTAGCTATTGAAATATCGCGCAACTAATATATCTGTCGTGTATTTTGAGGGAAACGAGGACATGATTTCTGCACGGCTGGCGGGCTTCGTGGCGCCGAAAAGTAAAGCAGAGCCGGGGACATCGGTTGGAAGTCGAGTGGCATCGAGCCTTTCCGCTTGTTCCTCGTACTGCTTTTTATGGGTGCTGAAATAGTTTCGCACTTCGGCAATCTACAAACACAGTCAGTCTGGGATCCCACGCATTCGGCAATCTTAAGTCTCACATCGCTTAGAACCGACGCCCAGTGCGCCTCGCTGACATAGTAAGACTTGTTGTGGTTGTCGACTTTCATGATACCAAAAGACTTGGTAACCTGTTCGGTATCGCTTTCCTCTGCGTCGGGAATCTCGTCATCCAGCTTCAAATCCGACCCAATCTGGGCGGAGCAGATACTGCTACCACTGCCCGAGATAGCGGACACAGCTGCGGCGGGGCCCGCTGATTGAGATCCGTTGGTCATCAACGACAACACCAAGCCTTCCAATCGGTCGATCCGGTTCTGCATATCGTCTGGAGAGCTCGAGCTATTCTGTTGGGACACGTTTTTCTTTCGGGTATTCGGTTGAGCGTAGCTACATGACGAAGCATCACCGCGCTTGACGCAGTTTTCACACGGATTGGTGCGGTTGCATTTCAGCCTACAACGCACAGCGTCAGACAATCGTCGGACGTTGGACATGTACAGAGTGCGGGGGAGCATCTTACTTTCTTTGGCGACAAGGTCCGCAAGAAAGAGGCACCCGATTCCTCTTTCGAACCACCCTATAGTGTCCTTCGGGGGAGAATGCGCCAGCGCTGGAGGATGTGGTGGATGGTGGAGTGGGTGACATTGTTCTTCTCGTGTTTGGGAAGTCACTGCGCTTGTCTTGAGGATGAGCCTCGGAGGCGATAGCACGGACACGCAATATCACACCCTACAAGCGCACGATCGCTGTCCCAGATGATCTTTATCTTTCAGGAAGCACCGTTGCTCTGTGTATGGCTGCGAGAGGCTGGACCGCACCGATATCTTCAATCCTAGCCTCGTGCGGCAGTCCGTATCGGGTCACTTATATTCGGACACAAGGCGAGAGCGTCTCCGTCACGGATTTGTTTCCGGGTGCGCGTAGATCCAGCGCTCAGCATGCGGTGGTTGCGACTCTATCGACGTGGCTTCGGGGGTCAATTCGGGGGTACCAGGGGTGCGGGGCGGTGATTCGGAGCGAGTGGTTGGGAGGTGGCTGTAGTCCGCGCAACAAACTGAGCGGGGAGCTTGAGGTCGAGGCGCGATGAAATCAAGAGACTCGTATAGGCTTCTCACTGTTCGCTTTGGATCTTCACGCGGGGCACGGGGGCGAATAAGGTGCAGCAAAGGGGAAATATTGGCTTGGTCAGATATGGAGGGGCGAGCAAGCATTCGTGAGTCTGCCGTATGTAACCTCGTGCAGATTGACAGGCCGGCAGATATGGGCGAGAACGTCTCTTGAGCCTAAGAGGCACGATCGCGAGGACGAAAGAGATGGATGCGGATAGAAGGATATTTATAATGAAGGATCGAGGAGAAGAGGAGACAGGGTAAGTACGGTCTCTTTGTCTGGCCCTCTTATCGGCGACGCAATTAAGCTCTGGTGAGCCAACAACTGTAGCTAGCCTCAGGCAGGATCGAGGCGCGGGAAGGAAAAAATAAAAAAGATCCGACAGCTGCAGGATTCGAACCTGCGCTCACGAATGAACGGGATAGCAGATATGATACATATATAGCAGTCCCGCGCCTTAACCACTCGGCCAAACTGTCAATTGGTTGACTAATACGGCTCCTTGGAGATAGACGACCAGACTATGGTATCTATCTGTCTATATTCTGACAGGAAGTAGTCGATTCCTAAAGTAGACCACTCATAAATCCTTCTCTATTGTATTAGAGGTGGTAGTCTCTCGGGGCTACATTCTCTTGTCATGGTGGTTACTAGGTTGGAGCTTAGTCTTGTGACCCTTTCTTGATAGGAAATTCCGCCGTCTGGTTCACGAGCGGAGCCATCTCCACGGGACTGGCCTTTGCAGGTACTATAGACATCAAGCTTCCGCTTGTTCTCTATGTCTTATGGTTAATTATACGAGTTACCTTCAAGGTCGGTATCGAGCTTACTCTAAGTTATCTATAAGTACGATTAGTTGCAGGGTTAGTTTGATTTGTAATCTCTTACTTCTTTGCTAGTAGTTACGACATGCCATTGCAGCGGCTCATTAACATTTGAGATTTTGCCATGTCGTATACATTGCTGTGTTTTCTTCTTCTTTTTTTTATTTCAGTTTCTTTTTTTACTTGCTTCTTCCTTCAACCTGCACGGTGGTTGGTATAGACTACTCCTGGCGTGAGTATGGGATTGTGTGGTCACGGCACCGGGAGTTGAGAAATATATAGTTCCACCACCTAAGTACGAATATTCAAGGGTGCAAGGCCTTACCTACCACAACAACAAACAAGGATCAAGATCCCATGAGATTTCCAACAATGAGTCATAGCCCCACCTACCCCAAATCATCAAGTTTACCAACAAAACAATGAGCAGATGAGATAGGAGGACATAACATGCCAAGATAATACCGTTGTGGCAAAGTAGCATCAAATAGAACCAAATGCAATGAGGTTACATTTCTCGCACTGCACTGATGTATGGCTAATAATCAGCAGTATATAAATAAGGACAGTTTGGCCGAGTGGTTAAGGCGCGGGACTGCTATATACCATATCTGTCATCCCGTTCATTCGTGAGCGCAGGTTCGAATCCTGCAGCTGTCGTCCTATTTTTTTTATATTTCTTTTATATAGAGCTCTATTCATCCCCACTTCCACCCGTTGTGGATCGAGGATGTAGTGGTCTTACTGGTCTGAGATGGTACGGAGTAGAGCTGTCAACGGTCCCAATCCTATCTGTCGGTTGTATCCCCCTGGTCACCGGTGCGAATGATTGGTTGGGCGTTGATCTGTTGTAGTGGGGCACTTGTATTTGTTGATAGATAGAAGTACTTGACGACAAGCAAAAGGAATTGTAGACAGAACCCGTAAATGAATATAAAACTCCGATGTATCGGAGCTTCTTTTGGTGGTAGGTTTGAACCAGCATCGGAATAAGCCTAGTAGAATTTTCCCTGGCTACGGTACTTAGTGGGCAGATCATTTAGCCCAATACATACATACATATTCGACTCAATGACAGAGAGCACTGTATCAGTGGGCTGGGGTAGATATATTCAGCCACAGATACTTAGCTATAGTATAGTAGGAGATAAAATGGACATGTCATACATCAATATACCCCGGGTGAACCAAGCAACACAAAGCAATCCACAGATTCTCAGTGTCTGGTTCTCTGCATCTTCCATTCGCCAGAGGGTTCAGTGATACTACTGGGATTGGAGAGTGAATGCACCACAGACAATGAACCACCACCAGTCCTCCTCACTGCCACAGTCCTTGTCGGTTTGTCTGTTTGTCCACTGCGGGGCGACCTATAGCAGTCCAATTCACTCCTTCCTGCATACCCACTCTGTCGCTCTTCTGCTTTTTATATCTTTGCTTTCTCTCCCTTCCATCTTTCTTTCTTCCTCTCTTCATCTTTCCATCTCCCTCCCCTACACATTTATCCCACTTCCATTTTTAACATAAACCAGTTGAGTGCTCATCATCCATAAACCTCCTGCATCAACCGTCATGTCCGCTCCGAGGGGACGTGGTAGAGGCGGCGGCCGTGGCTCAACCGTGGATCTTCCCTTCCGTCAGTCGGGCCCACCCGGCGATAATCGCGGTCGAGGACGCGGCAGAGGTGATTTTGGCGATAGAGGCGGCCGTGGAAGAAGTGACTTTGGCGATCGTGGAGGTCGGGGCAGAGGAAATTTTGGTGATCGTGGACGCGGGGGACGTGGGGGAGGCGGAGGCCGTGGTGGTCGCGGTGGCTTTGATCAGGGTCCACGCATCTATTCGTACGCTCTTCCTTTCCCTCCACCACGCATATTGATCGGGTCGATTGTCCCCAGCTCGTGTGGACCCTGTTGATTGTTGATTATTAGTCCGGAAGGAGGGGTCGTTGCTCCAAGCGCCGAGGTCGAAAAGACTGAAAACGCCGTGGTCACTGCCTTGGCGGCTAAGAAGAGAGAGCCTGGCTTCCCCGAGCGCCCGGCCTACGGTACCCAGGGACAGGCGGTTACGCTGTTTGCCAATTACCTGGACTTGAAGTCGGTGGGGAACCAGCTCTTCCGCTACAATGTGAACATCCTGGGCAACTCGGCCACCAAGAACCCCCCGGCGGGGAGGAAGGCCCGCCAGATCATTAGCCTGCTGCTGGAAGAGCATTTCTCAGAACACCGCAGCCACATCGTCACGGATCACCGGTCTACCCTGGTGTCGAGCCTCAAAATCCTCGACAGCGAGGACACCCCGCGTGACTATGACGTGCGCTACAAGGACGAACACGACGACGACTACGCGGAAGAGCCGAGGGTTTACCGTGTTAAGGTCCAGTTTACTGGCAGACTCAGCCCGTCCGACTTGTTGAGCTACTTGACCTCGACCAATGCGGGCGCCATGTTCGAGTCTAAACAGGAAGTCATACAGGCTATGAACATCCTCCTGGGCTACCATGCCAAGACAAATCCGGACGTGGGCTCCGTGGGCGCGAACAAGCATTTTGCTCTCCGCGGGCCTGGCCGGGAGAAATGGGACCTGGGTGCTGGGCTCGAAGTGTTTAGAGGATACATCGTGAGCGCTCGGGCTGCAACTTCGCGTCTACTGGTCAACGTCCAGGTCAAGTACGTCGCCTGTTACCAGGAAGGCCCGCTGGCAGCGGTCATCGGCAGCTTCCAGCAAACGCGCTCGCGTGATATCAACGAGTTGAGGCGTTTCCTAAGCAAGCTCAGAGTCCGAGTGACGCACATCCAGAGGAAGAACAGACGTGGAGAGATCATCCCACGGTTCAAGACCATTGTAGGCCCGGCCACCAAAGCTGATGGTTCCGGGTTGCCCAACCGCCCCAAGATAGACCGTCACGGAGCCGGCCCCAGAGACGTCCAATTCTTCCTGGATGCACCCGGTCAGCCGTCCGCTCAGAAGGGTGGCAAGGGCAAAAAGGCTGCTAAGGCAGGCCCCGCACCAGCTGGGAATTATGTCTCCGTGGCGGACTTCTTTAGACAGCGTAAGTACCCCTTCGTCTCAAGTCTCATCCGTGGACGTGCTGACAGATCGACCCAAAGAATACAACATGAATGTCGATCTCAGAATGCCCGTTGTCAACGTGGGGACACGGGAGAACCCTAGCTATCTGCCCGTCGAAGCCTGCGAGGTTGTCGCCGGCCAGCCCGCCAAAACCAAGTTGACCCCCAATCAGACCAGGGGCATGCTGAACTTCGCGGTTCGCCCCCCGCCGCAGAATGCCCAATCCATCGCGACCAACGGCACAGGTATCCTAGGCCTTGGGGCTCCCCCCAGTCAGACCCTCCAGGAATTCGGCGTCCAGCCAAACCCAAAGCTAATCACCGTCCCCGGACGAGTGCTCCCGGTGCCCAACATCTACTACAGGGACGAGAAGTCGGGCCAGAAGCAAGTCAGACCGAACTTTGGCAGCTGGAACATGCGGTCGATCCGATTCTCCACGCCCAGCAAGATGACCAGCTGGACCTATCTCGTGGTCGACTTCGAGGGACGCCGGCCCTTCTTCGACAGCCCCGCGGCACTGGCTGAACCCCTGAAGAGATTCACAGACAAGCTAAACGAAGTGGGCGTGATCTCTGCGCCCTCCAAACCCGGAATCCGCGTCGAGGTCAACGAAATGAACTACGAAGCGGTCGTGGACAGCGCAATCGCGAGACTTATCGCCGGCCACCGCCCGCAGGTCATCCTCACCATCCTCCCCTCCGTGGACACCGGACTTTACAACTGCATCAAGCAGACCTGCGACATCAAGCACGGCGTGCGCAACGTCAACGTTCTGGGCGATAAATTCGCCAAGTGCGACGACCAGTACTTTGCCAACGTCGGCCTGAAATTCAACCTCAAGCTCGGCGGCAACAACCAAGTCCTGCGCGCGTCCGACCTCGGCCTCATCGGCGAGGGCAAGACCATGCTCGTCGGCATCGACGTGACGCACCCTTCTCCCGGCTCCTCCGACAACGCCCCTAGCGTCGCCGGCATGGTCGCCTCCGTCGACGCCCTCCTCGGCCAGTGGCCCGCCGAAATCCGCGTGCAGCGCGAGAAGCGCAACGAGATGGTCGAGGACCTCAACGCGATGCTCAAAGCGCACCTCCATCGCTGGCAGCGGGGCCACAAGAACCAACTCCCCGAGAACATCATCGTATACCGCGACGGCGTCTCCGAAGGCCAATACGACACAGTCGTCGAAAAGGAACTGCCCCTCCTCAAAGCTGCCTGCAAAGAGACCTACCCAGCGACCGACACAGCCAAACAACTCCCCCGAATCTCCATCGTCGTGGTCGGCAAGCGCCACCACACGCGCTTCTACCCCACGAGCGACCCAACCGCCGACCGCTCCGGCAACCCCAGCAACGGCACCGTCGTCGACCGCGGCGTGACCGAAGCCCGCAACTGGGACTTTTTCCTGCAGGCGCACACAGCGCTGAAGGGCACCGCCCGGCCGGCCCACTACTACACCGTCTGGGACGAGATCTTCCTGCGCCAGAAGCCCTCGCATCCCAACCAGAACACGGCCGATATCCTAGAAGGCCTGACCCACCGGCTCTGCTACCTGTTCGGGCGTGCGACTAAAGCAGTCAGCATCTGCCCGCCGGCCTACTACGCGGATCTGGTCTGCACGCGCGCGAGATGCTATCTCAGCTCGGCGTTTGATCCGACCCCGTCGGGGAGTATTGTTACGGGGAGTGGGGGGGCGGATATGCTGGTTGATGATGCCAGTGTTAGGATCCATGCGAATGTCAAGGATACCATGTTTTACATTTGAGGATTCTGACACTTGGCACACCGACCTGGCTCCCAATTGGAGAATGGCAATTGGGTTGAAAGGGCAACCGATGGAACACTGGAAAGACTCGTGGATTACTGTTGCTTTGATCCTGCTTTATCTTGGTTGGGTTAGCTGGATAAACGTTGGGTTCTGTCATGCCCTGTCATGTTTCTTTCTATTTGCAAATTGGAATTGTTTATCTTGTTTTTGCACGCGTTATCACGGCCAAACTGGAATGGAATGGAAACGAGAATGAATATGATATGTTATTGATCAGTTAGTTTGAAGACTCATTGGCTATGTATCTAGTGTATCTAGTCTAGTTATTTACCTAGGTAGATAGATAGATAGGAAGATGGATCTTATCCCAAAATGCAACAAAATACCCTTTCTACCTACCTGCCTACCTATATCCTACTGCTTGAGAAATCCCAGTCAGATGTAAACTTGACTACCTAGATCTAATTGATATACTGTAGCAGCATAGTAAGTAAGATACTTTATTATCATCTATCTTTACTAAATCAACTATCAATCAACAATAATAATCAATAATCAATAATAATAAAAAGTAAATAAACAGTAATCAATCATACAAAGACCACACCACGAATAACAACCAGGGATTGTATTGGATAGATATTTAGTTGTTGGTAAGTAAACAAGTGGATCAAAACAGAACGCGCAGTTGGGAAATCACAGTTGTAGATAAGAATAATAACATCAACACTGACAAGGAAAGGTAGAAAGACAGAAGGAGGTAAAGTAAAGTAAGTAAAATCAAGTACAGTCAAGTAAGTAACTAAAGGTAAACCGAGTAAAGATGGAAGGAAAGAAGAAAGAAAGCGAGGAAGAATAGAGGTAGAAAGTACAAGGAGAAAATGATACAGGCCCGCGAGCTTAGATAGATAGATAGGGGCATAATGAATGAGGTCAGTACCTAGCCGGCCATGCCGGTTGCTGGCTGGCATGGAAGGGGATGTTGGTTATTGTCTGGTCGGTTGATCAGCCGATATTGACATAAGGAACTAGTTCTGTGTTCTGTGTCTGTTTTTGTATTTATCTTTCATCATGGTTGTCGTTTCGCTCGTGGCGCATTTCGCGTCCAAGGGTCGTCGTACTGTATTCCATAGCAGGACATGTCTTTTTAAGATTCCACATCACGAGTGGCATCTATCAATCAATCAATCGACTGAATGGATGAAAACAATCAAATCATTCATCACCGTAGATGTTGTTCCAGCTCCGATCATTGGTGGCTTTGCCCGCGCGACGCCCGGGGACAACATTGACGAACTTTCTGGGCTGGGGCGACTCATCATACAGACCCCACGAGGGCTCCATCATGCGCACGGCTGTCTGTCTAATCGAGCTAGCAGGCTTCTCGTTCTCGGCGCTGGCCTCAGGCGCAACGGGGGGAGCATCGTCCGTGACGTCCCAGTGGTTCTCGAAGTCGTTGCGACGGTTGGGCCCGCGGTTGACGGTAGACAGCGGACGCTGCTGTTTCTTCTGCTTGGACACGTCCTGCAGAGCCGGCTCGTCGTCGTCGTCGTCCTCGCTGTAAAGCGGGTTCTTGTAAAGGCCCATGCCCTTATTCTGGAACGAGCTGATGATGCGCGCGCCGTTGCCCTCGTCGTTGGGGTCCCCCATGTGGATCTGGGTCTTTGCGTCCGGACGCGGGTGCGGGCGGGCTGGCGGGGTCTCCTGGGCCTCGTCGTCGCTCCAGCCGAAGTGGCGCACTTCCTCGGGACGGATCTGGCGGTGGGCCTTCTCGGGGGTGCCGAAGTCCTCGAAGTTCCACTGGGGGCGGGCGTAGGAGAGCGGGCGGGCCTCGGCGTGCTTGATCTCGCGCTCGCTGTTGTCGGCGCCGAGCTCGAAGTGCTGGTAGCGCTTGGGGTTCGCGCGGTAGGCGATCTGCTGCGGGCCGTCGTGCTCGCGGACGGTGTCGTCGTCGTCGAAGATGCGCGCGCGCTGGAAGTTCTTGTTGGAGCCGGCCTTGGGCGCGATCGTGGACTTGGTGGGGGTCGCGTCGGGCGCGTCTTGGACGTTGTCGTCGCGGACGAAGAGGTCGTCGAGGTTGCGCGAGGGGGGCTGGGCTGAGGCGGGGGCGCGAGGGGGGCGCACGGGGTCCGCGCGGCCGGAGTCAGGGGACAGCAGGTGGAAGAGGGACTCCGCTGCGTAGGGGTCCTTGATGTATTTCTTGCCGGGGGAGGCTCGCTTGGACTCGGGATCGTCCGATCGGGACGTCGGTCGAGAGGAGGCACTGTCGTCCGTGGCGGGCGCTGGAGTCGCCGAGCTGGCTGCTTTGATCATGCGAAACTGCTCCTTTGCGTCGCGGATGGGCCAGCCGCGACTGCGGGCGCCGATGACCTCGACCTGCTTCAGCAGCGACGCCTGGTCCCAGTAGATGCGGACGCTGTGGATTTGATTCTGCGCATTGAAGCGCACGATGTGAATCTGAAGGGTGACACGACGTCAGTCGGTATCAGGAGGGGGGGTGGGGTATCTATGTACATACCGTGGGGAAGGTCGCGACGCGGTCGGACAGGAAATTATCATCGAGCGTCGGGAGATAGGGGCCGCCTCCAGATACAAACTCTACCGTGGTCTCGACATCGACGCAGATACTGGCATTCCCTTCGACGGCGTCCAGGATAGTCTCGGACCTGATCTTGATAACGTGGTCCTGGCGGGTGAGGTGGTGGAGCACGGCATCTGCGCCTTCGACCTTGATGGTAGTGGGGATATAGTTCAACGCGACATCGGCCGCTAACGACGCGGTCCTGGGGCTGGCCAGGTATCGCTGGTATAGATCCTTGAAAATCATGGTCGCTGAGAAGTGGAATCCACCAAAGACAGGACTTGAGGCGGAGACAGAGGTAAGGGACAAATTGATTACAAGAGAAGTTCGGAGATGGAGAGAGGGAGGGAGAGAGGAGTGGACGGGGAAGGGGAAATTAAATTAAATGAGCCAAGAGATGGATTAGGATTCTTGACAGGGACAGAAAGGTCGAAAAGGTCAGAAAGGTCAACACAGGGAAAAACGCGAACCAAAGTTTGGATCGTTCCGGGGGGGAAGTCAATTGTCAACAAATAAGAATTATCTCCCTCCAGACGACATGTCAATATTAATCTTGAAAGGGGCAATCATGAAAGAAAGTAAGAATAGAAAAGAGAGAGAAAGAATGAACGAATGAAGAATGTGGATGGAACACTCGCAAATGAGACCGAATAATCAAGGATACTGGAGAATTCGGATCATCTTCAGGAGGCGCAACATCGTAATATCAGATTCTCCCCCGACCTTCCCTGGTTATCCAGATGTTTGACATTTTCACGATTGTTTAAGGCCTAGATCAGCGTCGGTCAACGCCGGGTCAAGCCGCGTGGAAGACACCAAGGACGGCACCAGTGTTTCACCAGTCTAAGCCCCTCCCGCTTGGTCTCTCAGGCAACTTGTTGGCTACGATACGCGATATTATGATACGGATAGTGGCATGAGAGGGAGAGGGAGAGCGAGAGAGGGAGGGACTGGGAGGAGGGATACTGGGTCGTTCCCAGTCTTGAATACAGTACTGCCTTCTTTCTGTCTGTCCATCTGTCCGTCTGTCGACCGCATCGGTCTTTTCTCTAGTATTATTCCTTCTAGTTTGTCATCTCATCGTACAGTGTTGATCTCGGTGACCATCGTAGTCGGGGTAATGGTAGCGACCCTCTCCTTATCCAGACTGCCGAACCTGGGGAGCGGTGCTTGTCGCAGCAAACAGTCCTGTGCGCCAGCGAGGGCACGGTCCAACAATGTGCCCGTCACCAGATCCACCGGTCATAGTCACGCCATCCTACTTCCGTCCTGGCCAACCGGACCGCTTGTGTTGTTCTATCGGGGCAATGGAAACAGAAGAGAAGTAGGGTCGAGTAAAGTTGGGTATATCGGTGTCGGTTGTGAGAAGATGGCGGTCCTCTCGTTCGTCAGGGTTATAGATGTTACAGTGGTCTGCAGAGAATAATCCGTTAGCCTTGTCCATCGCCTACCGTTATAAGAGTAAAACATAGGGGAGCGCAACGTACCCGAGATAGTCCTCCTTGATGGTCCCAATGGCGTTGATCGCCGCCACGTCCGGCTTCACACCGAGAATCTTTAGTCGCAGACTGGTGCCCTTTTCGATCACCTGGTCCGCATGGTCTGTATATTGTGGGGGCACCGTGTTTGGCTCCCACCGGATATCGGATGGGATGTTCTGTCAGTCGGTCAGTACCAAAGACGCCCGTTGCTGTCTCGCTCCCTTTTTCTCTCTCGGTCACCTACTTTGCGCGCAATAAAGACGGACAGTGGCCCGGCCAGTGTGAAGATTCCCGTAGGTTTGACGGAAGTCACGATAGCATCGACCTGCGTGATATAATCAGCATCCCGAATCCATCCTCCGTTGCCTAGAGATAAAGACAAAACGTACAGTCTCCCCGCGGAACGGCTTCCAGATGATCGCGCGGTATTTGATCGTGTACTCGGCCTGTCCCCCACTGGGCAGCACCCGTCCTTCGCCAATATCCACCATGTCCATCACACAGATCACAAAATGGTCACCGGTACAGCGGCCCTCCTCCTCCTCGTTGAGCCGGTTGATCAGATACTCGCGCACATTGGGCCCGAAGTAGGACGGGTGCAACGTGATGACCTTGGTCTCCTCCTTGAGAAAAAACATTCTGCCGGGATGTCGAGGTCGGCGCGACTCAGATCGTTAGTCGGTTGGTGAATTCGCGACGGCGGGGACCGGCGGTGGGAGAGGTCAGCGAGAGTCGAGTTCAGACCGTCCCAAGGACGTTGTATCGACCTGGGTGTTGATCTAGAAGAGATACGGTTCCGTGAGGCGACACGTATTTGGATAGTCCTTTTCTAATCCGGAAAGACAACGGATCTTGAAAGGTTGGTAGGAGGTAATCAGTAGCTCATGGCCAGCAACAAAACCCAGGAACTGCCCCAGCAAAGCCAATCGCCGAACGATCGCGACACTCCAAGAAAGAATGAGACTGCGCGGTGAGTATTTGGTGATGCGCCTGCCCTCGATGTAGGCAGATGCCAAAAGATAGCTAGTATTATATCACGAAGACGAGGCCGTCAATAATCCTCATGTCTGCCGCGCTGGATCGCACATGGCAGGCAGCAGCTGGGTGATCACGTGGCATAGACTCTGTGTGACGGTATCTTACATGCAACCACCACAAGAGCAAGGTAGAATCAGGTGTACCTGGGTAACTAACGGTAATACCGTTACACATGACGGCATCGATGCAAATACACACCTAAAGGACTCCGTAATGCTCCACCTCTTGGCGAGGTTACAATCAGGCAATAATAGTCTTAGCCTGTCTGTGTGATGAGGCGGACTATCTGACCACCACTAACGGGTCACTAACAGGGGAAATCAAGACTAGTCTGCAGTGTTATCTGGCTTTTTTTGTGACTTGCCTTGGCTCTCCGAAAGGGGGAAGAAGAAGCAGCAGCAGAAGACGTTTGAAATCTATAGTCCCATCCTCTCAGGGCTGAACCATTATCACGGACCATCATGGCTTTGAACTTGGAGAAGCAACTGCTCTTTGTGAGTCTCCCACAGATTTGGACGCAATATGATTTGGAGGGCGACCGACTGACTGCTATATCTCTAGTATGGAGCCTATCACAATAACCCGGTATAGATGCCTCCCCTCCCGTCTCGTCTTGGTCTTTTCCTTCCCCGTCCAGCCTGGACACTCATCGCTCATCGCTCATCGTTCAACAGGTGAACGTCGCCATCCACATCACCTGTGTGCCTGTCCTCCTGTTCACAGGTATCGCCCTGGTACGTTGTCCTCCCTGTCGTCCACCCCGCTAGCCCCCGGCCAACGATCCTAACTGCAAACCCCCCCAGGCCGCCAACTCCCCGACGCTGTTCCCCGTCCCCGAAGCCATCCAGTATGAGAACCTGCCGCCGAATCTGGGGACCATCGGCGCCCTGATCTATGCGTCGTTCTACGTCTTACTCGAGCCCGTCGCGGGGGCCCTGATCGCCCCGTTGCTGGTCGGCGGCGCCGCCTTCGCCAACCACCTCCTCCTCACGTACGGGTCGGACATGAACTACTGGTTTGGCGGCATCCACGTGGTGACGTGGTTGCTCCAGTTCGTCGGCCACGGCGCCTTTGAGCGCCGTGCGCCTGCGCTGCTGGATAACCTGGTCCAGGCGCTGCTGCTCGCGCCGCTGTTTGTCTGGATGGAGATTCTGTTCTTCTTTGGCTATCGGCCGGAATTGAAGGCTCGCTACGATGAGAGTGTGGAGAAGGCGGTTGCTACGTTCCGGGCGCAGAAGGACAAGCAGAAGGCTGCGAAATGATTCTTCATCGCCTTCTGGTAGGATGGACGTCTTGTACTGGATGCAGCGCTCGCACAGTCGCTGTCGTGATCTTGCCCCGAGTGGGTTTGTATCTGGGTTGTTGTTGACCTGGGGAGTTAGGTTAGGTAGTTGGAAGCTATGCTAACTATCGTTGGGAGAGTCGGAGCTGTGGTTGTTTTTCCATTCCCATGTTCATTTTCTTTCTTTCCCTGTTTTTATATTTTGCTTGTTTGCTTGTTTTCTTGTTTTTGCCATTCGCAGCACCATGTTTGAATTGAGCGATTGAATATTGTAATCAAGAGATTGGTATGCCTTGTATAGTTTATAGAGACGAGGATGCACCGGGATAACCCTGCTGGGCCTACACGTGACGCTGCAGGAAAGGGGTGAGGGGGCGGTTAGGTTATGTAACCGAAAAGAGGAGTTCCAGGGAGTTGAACGCATTAGGATGGAATTTGAAACCAGTTGTCCCGTGTAGGGTACCAACCAGGTATCATGGACTTACGGTGAGGTTGACTGAAAAGTAAACAAAAATTGATGTTTCTATAGTTACTACACAGAATACTATAGATACGAATCTACGGTGTAGCGATAGACCGATCCATTGACAGTAAAAAGAATGGAGTGGACGGACTAGAATCTACGCACCACTGAGGGTACAGCAGTCGGATCCATGGACGGTTGCTGTGACGAAAATGAGTGACTGACTCAGCCGTACCGATCCGTACCAGCCCGTCTTTCACACTACCCAGTATTAAGTATGTAAAGTGATCCGCAGATCCGAGAGTGTGTAAAGAAAGAGGAAAATTACCAGGAGCGGTTCCAGTATTAAGAGAAAATGAGAGAGAAAAATGAGAGGCCAAGGTGGCCCGCAGAGAAAAAAAGTAAGAAAAAAAAAGAGAAAATTACCAAGACGGATTACCCGGTCTACCGGTCTCTCCACTCTTCCTCCCGACCGTAGGCACTACCACACCAGAAAGAATTTGGAAAAGTATAGTCGGTTGTATAGAATTAATAGTATCAATAAAAATTATAAAGGAATAAAAATGTAGGATGGTTGTGGTAAACAGATAGTTACCACCTTTGGATTGATTAGTTGGTTGGGATGAAATCAAACGAGTCCCGTGAACGCACTAGGGCGGCTTCGGAGGTTACTGAGAGGCTCGGCAAACTGGGTTTAGTGCCAGACCTGAGAATCCTCCCAGCCCCGACGACAAAGCTCTCCCTCCCATCTCATCCACAATCTCCTCCTCTCCTCTTCTTCCTCCCCCCCCCTCCACCTCCCCCCCAATTATATCTCTCCTTCAGAGTATCAACTCCAACTTCCTCTGAACCCCCATCACAATGTTCAGAAACGCTCTGCGGCAGTCCAGCCGCGCCGTCGCGGCCGCCTCGACCACTGGCCGCATCGCCTCGGTGAGTCCTTTTCCCTTCTCGATCCATCCCTTCCGAGGGTCGACGACTATCCTCCTCGACCTCAAGATATCGAATTCCATCTCAGAAGTCATCTCAATGGGATGGTCGATCGGTCCTTTGCATGTCGCGAGGCTTGGGTTTCCCATTGCTCGCTTTTTTCTCCCTCGTCCATGACGTTAACAAATTTTGCGTTCGCTGCCAATTAGACTCGCGCGGCTGTCTCCGGCCCTCTCGCTGGTGCCTCCAAGCAGGTCCGTACCTACGCTGCCGAGGCCAAGGCCTCGCCCACCGAGGTCTCCTCCATCCTGGAGCAGAGAATCCGTGGTGTTCAGGAGGAAGCTGGTCTTGCCGAGACTGGACGTGTCCTTTCCGTCGGGTACGTAGGCCTAGAGGGTTCCCGAAAAAATTCGAACTCGGGACGGTGATGGCGGTGAAACGAATGACACCTGTCACGAATTCACCCTGCCATTGTTTTATCTCTTCTGATGCAATGGAAAACTAATTTGAATCGGTTGATAGTGACGGTATCGCTCGTGTCCATGGCATGACCAATGTCCAGGCTGAGGAGCTGGTCGAGTATGTATCCCTTGGTATCAAATTTTTTTTTTTCTTTTGGAATTATATCACTAACGGACTATTAGGTTCGCCTCTGGCGTCAAGGGCATGTGCATGAACTTGGAAGCCGGCCAGGTCGGTGTTGTGCTGTTCGGTTCCGATCGTCTGGTCAAGGAGGGCGAGACCGTCAAGCGTACCGGAGAGATTGTATGTTATCTCCTTGCCTGTTTTAACAGGTTGAAAGGCAAAAGAAAGAAAAAGACAATGCTAATAATATCTTTCAGGTCGATGTCCCCGTCGGCCCTGAGATGCTCGGCCGTGTCGTCGACGCTCTGGGTAACCCCATCGATGGCAAGGGCCCCATCAACACCACCGTCAAGAGCCGTGCTCAGCTCAAGGCCCCTGGTATCCTGCCCCGTCGCTCCGTCAACCAGCCCGTGCAGACTGGTATGAAGTGTGTCGACTCCATGGTGCCCATCGGCCGTGGTCAGCGTGAGTTGATCATTGGTGACCGTCAGACCGGTAAGACCGCTGTCGCCCTCGACGCCATGCTCAACCAGCGCCGTTGGAACAACACCAGCGACGAGAGCAAGAAGCTGTACTGTATCTACGTTGCCGTCGGCCAGAAGCGTTCCACCGTCGCTCAGCTCGTCAAGACCCTTGAGGAGCAGAACGCCATGCAGTACTCCATCGTCGTCGCCGCCACCGCCTCCGAGGCTGCTCCCCTGCAGTACCTGGCCCCCTTCACCGGTTGCGCCATGGGTGAGTGGTTCCGTGACAACGGCCGCCACGCCGTCATCATCTACGACGATCTGTCCAAGCAGGCCGTCGCCTACCGTCAGATGTCGCTGCTGCTCCGTCGTCCCCCCGGTCGTGAGGCCTACCCCGGTGACGTCTTCTACCTGCACTCGCGTCTGCTCGAGCGTTCCGCCAAGATGAACGACAAGCACGGTGGTGGCTCCCTCACCGCTCTGCCCGTCATCGAGACCCAGGGTGGTGATGTCTCTGCCTACATTCCCACCAACGTCATCTCCATCACCGACGGCCAGATCTTCCTCGAGGCCGAGCTGTTCTACAAGGGTGTCCGTCCCGCCATCAACGTCGGTCTGTCCGTGTCCCGTGTCGGTTCCGCCGCCCAGGTCAAGGCCATGAAGCAGGTCGCCGGTTCCCTGAAGCTGTTCTTGGCTCAGTACCGTGAGGTTGCTGCCTTCGCCCAGTTCGGTTCCGATCTCGATGCCTCCACCAAGCAGACCCTGGCCCGTGGTCAGCGTCTGACCGAGCTGCTCAAGCAGAAGCAGTACTCCCCCATGGCTGTCTCCGACATGGTCCCTCTGATCTTCGCCGGTGTCAACGGTCTGCTCGACACCATCCCCGTCAACAAGGTCCTCGACTGGGAGACCGACTTCCTGGCTCACCTCAAGAGCACCCACCCCGAGATCCAGGAGACCATCGAGAAGGAGGGTCAGGTCTCCAAGGAGATGGAGAAGAAGCTCAAGGAGGTCACCGTTGCCTTCAACAAGGCTTTCAACGCATAGGTGAGCCATTTTTTTTTATCCAAAAAAAAAGGCACTTGGCTTTGATATCTGATTAGCCTACCTTGTACTGTTTTATTCCTGACATCTATGTGTATAGACAAGATAGCTTGTACAATTTGAGACCACTTTTGTTCGTTACTTAAAACCGCTGGAATCGGTTTTGGGCGGTGTATACCCTCAACCAGGTGTCACCTACCTACCGAGATCTCTGTAGCTTTCCTATCAAGGACAAAACGAGGTGGAATCGATGACAACAAAAAAGGGCAAGGCCAAGATACGATTTAATATCCTGTACGTTTAGAAATTTCGCGTAGCAGGGGGGGAGCAATCCCATGATCCTGGAAACTGGTTGTCAAAACCATGCAGGGAAACCTGCACCGAGATAATGGATTTTCTTTCCCCTTGCTTTCGCTTGCAACAGCCTGAATATGATTTCTTTTGTGTTTTATTTGCTTGCGTAGTAGCTTGATTGTATTACTGGTTGGTAACTATCTATCTATCTATTGAGTAACATAAGACGCTGGATATAGCCTGATGAAAGTCTGGTTGGGCTATATGGAATCTGCGTCTGGTGGTCCTGGACCGAGTGTGTATCTGTTTATCATCTTATTGTTTGATTGAGCTCAATGGACATACCTCGTGTTGACATCATTGCGCGAGGGGTCTGCATACCTGTTGAGATCAGTTGTTGCCTTTACTTTACACTCTACCTGACTTCTTACAACAACTTCGACAGGGCTACAATGGTGCCCAGTTGGACAGAAACCGCTACGGGCTACTCTGTAGACTAAAGTCTACTCCCAGACAACAGCAGCAAAGCAACCCAAAGCAAAGCACAAAACCGAAAGAAGTAACACAATTGGGTAATAGTAACCTAACAAATAAATAAGAGTAAAGATCAAACCAAATCCAGATAAGATCCATATCGCTTCCCAACACCATGGAATACCGCCGCCGCAGCAGCCCACCATCATCCCACTGTCATAAATCCCATTCCATCCCAACCCCAGCATCAATCACAATCACCTCTTCAAATCCTCCCCAGCCCCCCTCTTCTTCTCAATCTCCTTCAGCGCAAGCCTCAACACCTCAACCTCGCTCGCAAGCCACTGGTGCAGCGGACGCGCGTGGAACGTCCCGTCCGCGGCGAACCAGCCTGCGAAGGAGGTCTCAATCTCTTTGTTTTGGAGGGTCTTGCCGGCGGCAGATTTGTATTCGATGTGGAGCTTGTAGAGCGGGGAGTGCTTTTTGGAGGAGGTGCGGATGGAGATCTGTTTTGGTTTGTTAGTAGTTGGTTCTTTTTCTTTTTGGGGCGATTGAGAATGGTGGGGTGTATGTTGTATGTTGTATGTTGTATGTGTGACACGCGCGTGTGTACACACACACACACACACACACACACACACACACACATATATAATGTAAATCAGAAAAAAGAGGAGAGAAGACACATACCGTCTCGCCCGACGCGCGCTTCCCCCGGAAGACCTCACCCGCCTCGACAGCCCAAACCCAATACGTGAGGAAAGTGTTCAGAGCAAAGTACGTGCCCACAGCCGCAATAACCCATGGCGAGCGGGTAGCCTCCCAGCCGAGGTATCGGTCTGCGTAGAAGGTGAAGGCGCTGATGGCGACGGCCGTGTAGCCTACCAGGAAGTGGACATTGGTTTTGGTGTGGTCCTGGGTGAAGGTGTAGGGTTGCGGGAGGGAGGTGAGGAAGGGGGCGAGGGAGTCGTCTGTTGTTGATTTGAGGTCTGTGTTGCTATAAGATTAGCTTAATTGATTGGGAAAATGGAATTTGAAGGGGAGAGGCTGTCGTCGTGGGGTTGGAGTCGCGATAGGTTTGGTGAGTATAGTATAGATAGTGCTGGACTGACCGTTTGTGGAGTAGACGGGCACTTTGACCTGCTCTGTTGACGCCATTTCGAGGTTGAGAAGGCTGTAAATTATGCCTTTACACTCTCTCAAATTGATCAAATTCGGAACCGAAAGAAACAAGTTTGACTTGGGGAAGAAAGAGAGAAATCGATGTTGTAGAGCGCTGACGAGAGTTGCGGCGAGCTGTCCCTTTGACGGAGCTGAGCTAAAGCGGCGGGCGATTCGGCGCTAGTTGCGAACCCGCCGTGCTTCTCTCGTGGGGAAGAGAGAGACCTCACTTGGTCTTGCTTCCACTGCCACCCCAGCTCACTTATTTAATCTTAATCCACCACTGTCATCCACTCTGCCCACCATGGTGTCGCAGGGGCTGGAGCAGACGATCGTTCGGGATCCGGCTCTTTTGTGAGATTTTCCGTCTGCCCCCAGGAGGGCTGAATGCTAACGCGTTGAATGTCCAGCTACTGGATCCTGATTCCCATCTCCATTGTCATGGCATGTCTCCCCAGACAGCTTTGCCAATTCGAATATAGTCTAACACAAGTATAGATCCTGACCGGTATCCTCCGTCACTACGCAACCGTCCTGATGAACACCCCCCCGAAGCCGCCCTCAACGCTGGCCGAATCTCGCGAGCGCCTCTCCATCCTGCGCGGCGTCAACCTGCGCAACAATGCCTCTGCAGTCCTCACAAAGGAAGCCTTCGAGGCACGGAAGAACTACCTCGTCTCTGCGTACCAGAATGGCGAGTTTCTGAAAGACCCGGAGAACCGCGGCCAAGCGCCGGCCAACCCGATGACGGATCCCGCCGGCATGGAGGCCATGATGGGCATGATGAAGGGGAACATGATGATGATGATCCCGCAGACGCTGATCATGAGTTGGATTAATGCGTTCTTCTCGGGGTTTGTTATCTGTACGTCTGATTTGGTCTGTGGTTGAGTTTATTGGGCGCACATGCTGATATGGAAATAGTGAAATTGCCGTTCCCTCTGACCATCCGGTTCAAGTCGATGCTGCAGTCTGGTGTTATGACTCGTGACCTCGATGTGAGATGGGTGTCGAGCTTGTCGTGGTATTTCTTGAATCTGTTTGGCTTGCAGTCTGTCTTTGGTTTTATTCTGGGCAGCGACAATGGTGAGTCTTTTGATATTACTCACCTTTCCCAATCTCGTCCGTCCGTGGGCAGGATATTCTCACATATGCTAATCTATCTCTTATAGCCGCCAACCACATGTCTCAACAGATGTCCTCGATGAACCCTGCCGCTGGCGTTAACCCTTTCCAACCCGGCCAAGACCCCGACAAGCTGTATCAAAGCGAGGCCGAGAACCTGGAAGTCCTGGAGCATTTTTGCATCCTTGATGGGATTGAGGATCGGATCCTCCACAACATCGCCCCGAAGTATGGTTATACCTTCTAAGTAGCTTGCTACGGGTGCATCCACTTTTTGCTTTGATCTTGGAAGAAATGTATGGCTGAGCGATTGGTACGACATAAAATAAGAGAGAAAGGCGTCTAATATCATATTTCATTGTCCTGGTTACATACATTGTACTACTTGCTCAAGGCTTTATAATACAAGGATATATACCATATGCATATTGATCTGATATAGAATGAGCTTCATACTACTCTTTGTCTCCGCGCCTTGAACAAGGCCGTTGTCAGGATGAGGCTTGCTCCATTGTGCTCTGCCTCCCACAATGGATGATACAAAGGTTGACGAAGCTATCAAAGCTATTCGTCCGTTCTCTACATGAGTATAAAACTGTAGCAACACCCCTGCATCACCACACACCACCTATACAAACATCCCAAGCCTCAGTAACCCCAGGCAAGTATAACCCAACCCTAACCAACAACAACTCCAACAACAGCAACCATGACTTGACCCTTCGACTACTACCAAGACCAAGGCGAATCCATAACCTTTACAGCAGACACAGCCCTCCTCTACGGATGGTGCACCAGGAAGCCCCAAAAAACAACATCATCCCCGCTCCCCACCCCAGAAGACACACCCCTCCCCAAAGTCAAGCTCGCCCTCCAACCCAACCCCCAGCCCGAACCAGGATCCCTCAACCCGGACGCGCAGGAATTCACACCCTCCAGCGAATACCGCGACCGCAGCGCCAAACCATGGTGGTACTTCATCGACCTGCGCGGACGGACCGTCATCGGCGAGTGGGGCCTGCTGGAGGAGATATATAGTGAGATGACGCGCGGGAATGCGAGCCAGTACGAGGAGCCGCAGAGGACGATCCGGGGGGGCGTGTGGTACTGTGTTTTGGTTCCCGATGAGGTGCGCAATATTGGGAGTGCGTATATGCTGAGGTATACTAGGCTCGTTGTGAAGTGGTATGTGAGGCGGTTTGAGAGGATTGCGAAGCGGGTGGAGAGGGCGAGGGGGTTTGAGTCGTCTGAGGAGGAGGTGGGGGAGGTGTATTTGGGTTTGGATGAGGATTGGGATGGGGATGGGGGTGGGTTGAATGGTGGGGGGAAGGTAGGGAAGTGAATTGGTTTTGAGATTATGGGGAGAACGTTCGGTAAGTTGTCTCTTTCCTATTTTTATTGATCTATTGATACATATACCAATCGGAGTATGGGCTCTATCTCCATTCAACATTTGTATCTTGTAAAACCATGAATTGTCCTGTAGATTGATGTCGTAGAATTAGTAGCAGTGTATACTTGGATTATGATATAGTAAAAAACGTGATAATATTGCGTAAGGTCATCAATAATGTCAAAAGTCAAACCACAAGAAAGACAGACAAATATCATAAATCATAACTCGTCAAATACAGCCAATCAACGATAGTTGATGACACCATTAAGCGTCCACACCTCGCCGTTAGCGACTTGCTCCGCTACAGCATCAACCTCGACATTGCCGGGTTGGATCTGTAACGCACGTTAGCAAGAACCGATAAGAAAGAGAACGTAGACATACGTAAATTTTGTCCCCATCTTTCTTCCAGCTCAACTTCTCACCCGCAAGAGTCTTCGCCTCTTCACCCTCCTTCCAAGGACTGGTAGTGACGATGTGGGCTCCGACAAAGCGCTCCAGGTTCTTCCTGGCGCGGTCCTGGCCTGCCTGCCCCTCATACGCCTGCGCTTCCCCATACTGGTTATAGTCATCGGGGTTCTCCCAGGGCTTGCGAGGCAGGGCCTGAATGGCAGAGTTGCGAGGCGCAAGAACAGTGGCGTTCTTCGACGTATTGTTGAGGTGAGCTTCGATGGACTCGAAATCGCGGGTGAGCGAGGCAAAGATGTTGATGCCGCGGGTCTTGGGGAGGACGTCCGAGATGATCGGGTCGCGGGCGTTAGCGCCCTCGTTGTTGTTTGGACCAGGCATGACAATCTTGGGAAGAGCACCTCCCATCAAGGGTTGTTGTTTGCTGAGCCACTGCCTGACTTCGCTGTTGTCTGCGAGGGGACGTTCGTGGCGGAGGTGTGGTGAATCGACGAGGAAACCGGGTAGACGCTTGCGGAGGGAGAAAGCAGGAAGATCCCAAGCGCTGACAGTGCAGGTTATTGCAAGAAAGATAAATACCGAGATAGCCAACATGTGCCGCAACATGATGATACTGATGTATGACCGCGAGGGCCTAATAATCAAGAGCGACAGGCCAAGGAAGTGCTCGATGTGGTCATCGGGGGATGACGCAACAGGCCGGATTGCCAACGTCCCACACGTGATTTGCGGAGGGACGAGCGGCACGTGACGAGCGAGGGTTTATCGATAAGGGCCCATCGGCCACAAAAGGCGTCATTTCTTGAGGGGAAAAGAAGTCCATCCCACTCGTTTTCCCCGCTCATATCGCAATCATGTCCGCATTGCAGACGTTCCTGCTGGTCGCTGACCATGATAAGCAGGAGGCCAAGCAGATCGCGGAGCGAATTGCCCACGGTAAGGACGGAATGGTTCCCTGACAGCCGACTGAGTTCTAACAATTGGTGCAGATGTGGAGAACAAGAAGACGACTCTGATCGAGGTCGTGCAGTCCTTGGGAGAGTATATCAACGACGAAGACCCTATCCTGCGCGGCAAGGCGGTGTCCTACCTTACCGCTGTCATTAAAGCGCTCCCTCCGAAGTTCCTCACGAGGCAGCAAATCCAAGTCCTTACCGCATTCTTTTGTGACCGCATCGAGGATGGAGGGGCTGTTGCGGGGTTGGAGACACTGCAGAAATTGGACCGGTTCAACAAAGCATTGGCGGAGGAGGTCGCACAGGCGTAAGTTAGGGATTGCTGATTCTTCGATCTATATGATCGCATGAACAATGAGGAAACAAGAGTGCGAGGCAATGGCTGACAAGTGGATAGGATTTTCGGGCGCTTCCAGGAACTGCAGTCGAGGTCTCAGTCCCAACGTTTCCAAGTATATCAGCTGCTCAATGAGTTGATGCTGAACCACCGAGACGGTACGTACACCTGTATTTGACATTGGAGTTTTGATGTGTTGACCAAATGAATAGCTCTGCATGAGATGGGCGATGAATCTCTGGTGGGAATAGTGGACCTTATGACCGGCGAAAAGGACCCGCGGAACCTGATGCTCGTCTTCTCGATCCTAAAGGTTGTAATGGTGGAATGGGATATCTCCAATCACGCCGAGGTATGCATTTTCTGTCCCATGCTGTTTGACCGCTAGCTAACTGTCGAAGGTCTTGTTCGACTCTGTATATAACTACTTCCCCATTACCTTTAGACCACCTCCGAACGATCCCTACGGCATCACCGCGCAGGATTTGAAAGATCGTCTCCAGGACTGTATCGCTTCCAACAGCCAATTCGCGCCTCATTCCGTCCCGTCTTTGTTGGATAAACTTGACTCCACCTCCCCGAATGTGAAGGTGAGGAATGCCCTCTCCATCCAACACGCAGACACACTAACTTTTTACAGAAAGATGCTCTTAACGCGTTGATTGCCTGCATCCATGCCTACAATGCGGATGTTGTGTCCACCTACTCGATCACAATTTGGGATGCCTTGAAGTTCGAGATCCTCAACGCCCAGGAGGAGTTTCTCTCCGAGCTCTCTCTGCAGGTCCTGCGCGATATCGCTGCGCGCTTGTCGGAAGGTGTCACGGAAATCTCCGACCAATTGCCTCTGGCACAGTACTTGCGGCCAATTACAAGGGAATGTAACGATCAGTTGCGGGAGCCCCAGCAGAAGCAAGCGAAGCCCGCCCAGCAAATCCTCAGCTCGACATCTGCCGCCTCTGCTGTCTCGTTTACATTGGTCGTACGGACGATGGTTGCACCGCTCCTGACCTTCTATCAGGAAGCTGATGGCATCGCTAAACAGCGAGCTCTCCTGGAGACCCTAGTGGTTCTATTCGACTCGGCCATCAAGGTGTTTGGAGAGTGGAAATCCTCCGACCCGGAACCCACCATGGAGAATCCTTTGCTTGAATTCAAGGATCAATTCTCAGAGATCTTTGGCCAGGCTCTGATGGGTGTCATCAAAGAAGAGGTCTCTTTCCGGACATCTGCACTCAAGGGTCTTCTGCGCCTCTCGACCTTGCGCAACTACTTCCAAGATAACGAGATTGGCCTATTCGTGCAGTATCTCGATGAAATCCTCTTGAAAGAAGAATCAATTGGCCGGGACGACCTCAAAAAAGAAGCAATCAACGCTCTGGCCGTGATTTCGAAGCACACCCCCCGACTGATTATGGACATCACCTTCCCGGCGTTCGTGGCGACCCTCCCTGAAACCGACGATGGAAACGGCCCCAACTACATCACGACGCTGGAAAGCCTTGCCCAAATCAGTATCGAAAAGGACATCTTTGAGACACTGGTCCGACGTCTCTTGAGCAAGCTGACCGTTCTGCTGCAAAAGGAACAGCCTGGTAGTGCCGAGTACCCGCGGGCCCTGCTCTTGACAATCCTCTATGTGATGAACCAGCGAGACATGAGCAAAGACCCGAACCTGGATCTCTACTACGACCGCATCGTCGTCACTCTATGCCGCAGCGCCGCAGCGACCGCATCAGGCAAGGCAACCAACAACATCCTAGCCGATGCCACCGTCCTGGACATCCTCGGCAGACTGTCGAACCTGATCGTCCGGTCTCTCCCCAGGAGCAAACAAGACGAAGTCGCAGAGAACACCTACACGCTCTTCGCCAGCGCAGAAGACTTCTCCCCGGTGCCATTCGCCCCATCAACTAGCGACTCCCACGAGCGCACGATGATCCTCTCGACCTACCTCCTCGCAGGCCTCCCAGCCGACACCGCCAAGCTCCCCCACACGCACCCCAACATGTCGGCCCTCCTCACAGACATCACCAACCGCTCAATCACCTCGTCCGAGTCCGGCGAACCAGCAACGCACCTCGCCTTCCTCCGCCACAGCGCCCTTCTAGTGAACAAGTTCCTCCCGAAGGCAGACCTCAACCTCGCAACGGACACAGTCTTCACCCTCCTCCACCAGATCACCGAGCAACAAACCCCCCACACAACAGGAACCATCAAAGCCGCCTTCTGGCTCACCAAAGCCCTCGTCCTCCGCCTCGCCCCCAAAACAACCGACCTCCTAACATCCCTCCTCTCCCTCCTCTCCTCCCCCTCCCCCCAAACAAGCACAACAGCCTCCCGCAGCTTCTCCATCCTCCTCTCCGACGACGACATCCTCTCCCCCACAAACGGCGCCACAATCCGCCTCCTCTCAAAGCAACGCGTCTTCACAACCCTCGTCCCCCTAATCTCCACCCGCATCCGCGACGTCAACATCACCAACAACACCACCCCCAACCAGCAAAACCCAGACCACATCAAACCTGCCCACCTAACAGCCCTATCCGGCCTTCTCTCCACCATCTCCCCAAAACTCGTAACCCCCGAACTCCCCACCCTCCTCCCCCTCCTCCTCCAAAGTCTCGACCTCCGCACCGCAGACTCAGACTCGCTCGCCGTCCGCGCAGCAACCCTCGAGACCCTAGCCGTCATAATCCGCGACAACGGCGTCTCCGTGATCGAAGAGTGCGGACACGTGCAGAGCCTCGTCACGCGTCTGCTAAACACAACCACCACCAATAACAATAACAGCCCGCGTCTCCGCGCCGACGCAGTCAAATGTCTGGCGTTGCTGGCGGCGGGACAGCATTCTCACGCTGATGCGCCTGCTGTTGCGAGAGCCGGGAAGCTGTCTCCGCTTTTGCCGGTGAAGAATCAGGTGTTGCGGGCGTTGCGGTTTGTGTTGGATGATCCGAAGAGAGATGTGCGGAAGGCTGCTGTTGATGCTAGGGCGGCTTGGTTGAGAGGGGTGGATGATGCCCCTGAGGAGGAGGATTGATTAGATTATTGATCTAATGGTCGATTGATTGGTTGGATGATTGGATAAAATTCTGTTGTAGATTTTCTGGTTTTTAGATGTTACTTTTTTTCTATTATTGTTATGCTTTATGCTGTGTTATGCTATGCTTTACTTTTGGGGATGAGAGTGAATGATAACTGAGATATAGAAATCACTGGAGTTGCCTCTTAAGATTGAGACATAGTTTAGTTTGAATAGGTTTTGACAGTATAATGATCTTGGAATGGACAAATTTCAACACCTCTCATTGCTCATACTAGCTAACAATGGGTTCAATTCAACTTAGGCCTCCGGGCCATGAGCCTGCAGCTGAAGATGACGATTGCCCGGGGGTGAGCTACAAAACGACTATGCCATGGGTCTGATCTGTACCCCTCTCACCTCCAAGCTGAGCCCTACTACCACCGCACTTCCTCGTCATACAGCCACTCCCCCCAGCTCCGATAACACTTGATACCCACCACACCCTCTACTTCTTATCAATTCGAGGACAGTATGGCTCTGGGAGGCCGTGCTGGGGAGGAAGGGGTCCGGGTGATTGGTGCGGGGGGGAGGGACATGGGGCAAAGCACCGAAGCATAAAGAAACAATAAGCAAAGAAAACCACCACAAACAGAACATAATCACCAGTAATCCACAGGAACGGACGGCGCAGAAGACGCAAGCGTCATCTCTTGGTTGTAGGGGTTGTCGCTCTCTATCTCTTTGGGACTCTCGTGTCCAAATTCGGACATCTTGACGACTGCCTTCTGCTCCGCGGCCGAGTTCGTGACCTTGCCGCTCGAGATTATCGGGGTATTCAGAGACCCAGAAGCCCCCACTCGTGCAGCATCAATCCCTGGTCCGACATTCCAGTAGCCCACACCGTCGGTTTTCTCGACGACAGTCTTTGCAACACGCAAGAGGTCTCCGATCCCAGCGGTGCCGATGGCCACTGAGACCGGACTCGGGGTCTCGGTGATACCCAAAGATCTGTTCTCAAAAAGCGTGGCATCTCTTCCAAACAGATCAACACCTCTCCAGTCTTCGGTCGCCTCCCCGACTTCGATGTTGGCATTTTGTCTGAGGAGTTCTTCAATAGCAGGGCTGACGAGAGAGGCTTCATACCACAACCGTCCGTTCTTGAGCATATCTGGCAATGACGTGCACCGAGCTCTCAGGGCCTGCTTGCACGAGGAACCAACGCCGAGAAAAAGATCTTGCACCTCCGTAACTTGCAGAAAGACATCCTGGAATCCACTGTCACTGCTGGTGGCTACGCTTGCATGGTCCTTAACGTCTGTTTCGCTCGAAGCTCCCGTGTCCGCTGCCACCGCTGTTGCTGTGTTGGGGGATATGTTCGATGAAGCAGGACCGTTTGCTGCAGGGGGACTCACGGCAGGTTGACGCATATCCGTTGGGCGGATGTACCGATGGCGCGTCCAACGCTTCATGAATGCCTTCTCAATGACGATGTTGTTTCCCTCCGGGATCTTGGTGAAAATCCGAATCAGGCCCTTCTCAGACCGGATACATATGTGATCGACAAGATACTTGGCGGCTTCTTCGAATTCCGGGTGAGAGCCTGCTTCGTAGCAGAAGCTGCCACTTGTAACAGCTCTTGCATCCCAAATCTGGCCAGGGAAATGCAAATTCAATGCACCCAACTCTGCAGTTGTGTTGACGATTGTATATCCACCTTGTTCATCAACTGTAATAATCAGGCGTTGGTCGGATTTCGTTCGGCAGTGGAACTCATAAGTGACCTTGTAATCTGTGTATTCCTGCTCGAAGATGCGACGCTTTCCATCCTGCTTCGAAGTTTTCAGGTCCACAAGGTGGTCAACATCACACCCCGAGGATGTCAGTCGATTGAAGAACTTGGTAGTTGGAGGAACAAGACCGCTGCGAGGCTTGAAGATCCGTGTCCATTCATTGCAAGAAATCAAGCCTTCTTTGTACGACTTGGGTAGAAGAGGGATGAGGATGAGCCCAATCTGGACTTCCAGAGTTAGTTTACCCGGAAAACATTCCGCAACCTGCAAGATAGGCTCTATCGCTTCACGGAGACCTTTGACGTCGTCGACTATGCACGCCTCGGCTTGTGATCGCTGTGTGCCTTTGGCGGATCTCCCCTCCTTTTCGACGTGCGAATGGCTCTGTGATGTTTCTGGATGCTTTCTCACAGGCGTTTTGATAATCCCCCAGGCGTCCTCTAAAGTACCCTGTCTCTTTTGTTTCACTTGTTTGGCCGTCTTGTGGTACATGACTCGGTGGAACTTCCTCGAGCTCACTTCGTCTGACTGCCGTTGCTCGTCTGGCCTATGGACCCGCTCAAGTTCCATAAGCTTCTCCTTCGCCAGCTGTCTCGTTGCCTGACGCCGAGCCTCACGGATGCTAATGGGTGAAGTGTCTTGACTGGAATGGCCGACTTCTTCCGTCTGATCGCGCAAAACCTTCTTCAGATACAGAAGCCGCCGATTGTGATCGGTCAAATCTTCAAGAAACGAGCAGGGTTCTTCATCCACGAAAACAAGCTCATTGGAGCATAACCTTTGAGGAACAAGTGGGGGCTGTTCGAAAGAGATGAGTGGGAGCTGAGGATTGGAATCATAGGCCTCAGTAAAAACATCCAACAGCATGTTGTCCTTCCTCTGATTTGCAGCCTTGGAATCTCCATTCTTCCTCACAGGTGACAGACGTGATAGTCTGTTCAAACCATACTTGGTAACATCGAAGCTTGGCATGGGAGGGCCCAGTTGCCACCCAGGTGCTTTGGGAATGGATGGGCCACTTGAGTGATCACCGTTGTTTCCTGACCCAGAATCGCCAGTAGAGTCCGAAATGTTTGGTCTGTACTCCATCTTCCATCGTCGGCGAGGGGTTGGGAAATCTTCATCTGGAACGTCCTGCACTTTTTCGGCGAGAGGTTCCAATGAAGGTTTCGGAGGCGATGGAATCAATGCAGGCTGACCTGAAGCGACAGCCTTCCTTGCTTTGATACCAGGCGGTCTTTTGACTACTGTAACGGGGGTTACTGGGCATTCAGGCTCAGGCTCAAGGTCTGAATCGGTTGGTTCAATCCCAGCACGCTCGACAACCCATTGATTTACCTGCTTAGCTTTTTCCGCTGTCAGATAGGGGTGCGGAAGGGAGATCCCAGAGGCAAAAGCTTGCAGACTGCCAAGTCCCTTATCTTCAATGGTTTCTATGGCCAGGAACTCGTCCGCATCGCCTAGCTCTGCAAAAGAAAAATCATGCCAAATACGCGATGGCCCGGCTTCATTGGTCACATGAGGGGGATGGACGAGGTTGTCAGGCTTTTTATGCTCCTGTGCATCCTTGTCGAAAGAGTAAAGCACCGTCACAAACATTTGACCGAGTTGTAGATTTGCGCCCTCGGTGGAGTCCGTCAAGACACGACGCAGAGCCACATTGTTCAGGGAGCTGTAATTTTGGATACTGTAGCGAATGTGGTCGCCCGTTTCCGAAATACCCACGTGTGCCACCAGGGGGCTACTGTAGTACAACTGTTGGATATTGTCAGTGATGAACGCTGGCTAGAAGTTCGATGACGACGCCGACTCACCAACGGTTTCTCAACTCGTGTCAGTCTCTCCAATGCATCGTTGACGTCCCCCTCGCTTCTGCCCGAAACTTCGATACCCTTGGGGTCGGGCAACACCAGAAGCTTAGTACCTGTGATATCCCCAATCTGGCCGAGAATTTCTTGGAAGTCAACTGCAAAGCACCCCGCACCGCCAGTAGATGACTGCCAGCTCTTGATGACCGGATTTCCAGAAACCACACAGTTCTCGTCAGAGCTGTCATCCAAGTCGAGAAGACTCCCCGTTTCGTGCTTATCAGCAGTGGCCATCGGGGAACCATCCTCATCGGAAAGGCCGAGAGGGACATCCAGCTGATGGATTCGAGGCATCTGAGTAGAGAGGAGGGTGAGTACAGGATGGAATGAAGCCACGCAAAGTTTTGAGGTCGAAAGGTGACAGGACTTACGTCCAAGAGGTCTTTGTTTTGATGTTCATTGATGAAATCAGAGACAACGGCTGCAACCTTGATGGTGTGGTCTCCATCGTGTACTTTCACCGTAAGGACCTATATACAAGTGACATGTTAGTTGAAGGTGTCAGGTAGTTACAGTTGACTGCCACTCACCTCATCGGGTTTGAAATACTCGCAGTGGAACTTGGCGTCAGGGTACGTGGTGCTGAGATACCAAGATTAGTGGACTCGTTCTACCGACCGTTTCCAAAGACTCACTTGATCCGTTTTTCGAGCTCCTCAACCTATAGTGTCACTTCGTTAGAAGGGAAGAAGACGCGGTGGGATTTAAAGAGCTCACTCACCCCGATCTCCTCAAACCCCCACACGGAGCCGACCGTCAGTCGGAGCATAGGGTCCATCTCGAAGCAGTGTACTAGGGGTGTAAACCATCCAAGAAAGAGAAGGGAGAGCTCCAGAGCAGCTGTAGATATCAAGCTTGCATCTCAAAGGAACGATGCAAAGTACGAAACAGAGGGAAAGAAGGAGAGAAAAGAAAGAAAGATGGGGGAGCGACGGAGAGGCAAGAATTGGCAAAAAGGAAATTAATTCTGGAGGAAAAGAGAAGAGGGAAGTGAAGAAAGGAGATTCACTGGGCAACGTGATGTTGAATGAGCAGGTGCGATACAGCAAACACCAGACGGCCCAATGCAGCAGGTGAAGGGAAGACAGCCTGATCACTGACCCTCATGGGCAGTGACTGCCAATACCAGCTTCAGGTGTCAGTCCTCAAGTGATAACAATCAACTGTAGTAGTTACCTTGGGAAGTGAATTGGTCTGAATTAGGAAGGAGCGAAGGTCTTTCCGGTCCAGTCGAACGTAACTCTCAAATAATATGATTTCGCCTTTTGCAAGGTACCTAGCTTATTGTCTCTAGTAACAGATGGTAAATATGTAGGTAGTCTGTCATGTATTATGAACAGGCCAGACAATAACTATTAAGAATGGTAATTTGACACAGGGAATATGGCAGTCTATCTATATCTTCACCCTGGGTATCAAGCAATCCCGAACTCCAGCAACCTCTAGTGGCGATCGAATAGATGCAGTATAGATAGAAAGAAAGGAATAAAGAAATAAAAAGATCAAAAGAAAGAAGAAAGGGCACACGGTAGGTAAACGTGCGTCCTCCGAAGAACGGAAAAGAAGCTTCAGCTCGTCAGTCAACACAATCAGTATGGTGGTAGGAAGACACCGCATACCTGAGTATTTACGGTCAGGCGCGCACGACCCGCGTGTTTTGCCTTATGGGGGGGCATCGGGCCAGAGTGTAAAGGTTGTCGACGAGTAAGAAGGGAAAAGGGCCAGACAGAGTCGTTCTTCATTCCGCGCCCTTGACCTCGTCCTTAACGCGCATCACCCACTTCATCCGTCCTTCGGTCTCCTTCAACGAGGCGAGAGCAGAGTCCAAGGCAGCCTCCTTCTGACGGCTGTTCTCAATCAACATCCGCATCTCCTCGTCGTTGGCATTCCTATAAGACTCGTACGTCTGGAACAGCTGGTCGAACTTCGCCCGAGTGGCCTCAATCTCCCGGTCCTTCTCCGCCAAGAGCTCATCGTACCGCTGCAGATTGACATCCCTCGTATCGTGGGTCTTTTTGAGCGCCACGTAATCGTCCCGGATGGTCTTGAGCCGTTTCTGCTGATCCGCCCGTTCGCGCTGGCCCGATTTCGCCAGCACATCGTACTGTGCCTGGTAATGGTGCGCCGTCTCCTGCAACGTGGCGGTTTGGCGGTTGAAGTCCTCGCGGGTGTCGTTCATCAAGCGGTTGGCTTTGCTGGTTTCCCCCTCGGCGCGCAGTCGCCGGTCCTTCTCCGCCTGGGCCTCGGCGCGCAGTTCGTCGAGCTTCCGGTCCTTGCGCGCAATCGATTGCAGGTTCGTGTCGTTCGCTTGCTCCAAGTTCCGCAGACGCTCGGTCATATTCTGGACCTGGGTCTTGAAGACTTCGTTCATCCGCTGGGTCTCTTCCGCCCGCGAGCGGTAGACGCCGCACTCGCGGGTCAGACGGGCGATATCCTCCTGGAGGTTGTGAATGACCCGGCCCGACTTGCCCGTCGCCGCGTGCCCGACCGCCGAGGACCATTCCGTGCCGGGCGCATCGCCGTTGGAGTGGTTCGGCGAGCCATTGGTGTGGTGGGAGGAGGGGGGCGTCACGGGTTCTGTAGGAATGCGCATGTCGGGTGAGTGTTTGAGGTTCGAATCGGCTCGCTCCACGGTGGTCAACGACGCCGACGATGACGGAGACAACCAACCTGCAGAGGGCTCCACCATGGTAGGTTCCCGTTGTTGCTCTGGCGATTCGATCCCGAAGAGGCCGTTGTACTGATGCATGTTCAATTCGGTTTCCACATGGGGTAGGTTGACACGCGGGGGTTGAGGAAGGTCTGACGTAGGTGCCACGAGCAAATTCGAGTTAGCATCGTTGTTCGTCCTGGGGGACTTCTTGGCCCGACCGAATCGGGCCATAGTCGGCATGGTGAAGAAAAGGGGCAGGAATGTTGGCGGAGGAGTAGGAAGAAAAGAGAGAAGCCCGAAGAATGGAAATCAAAGGCCCGAAACGAGGGAAGGGGAAAATAGTCAGCGGGCAATGCGGCGGAGATACCATGAGGCTGCAGCAAGGAGCCAATTCAGGGATCAACGAGCTCCAAGACTGCACCCAAGCCAGCTGTTGCCTTTAACTTTTGGAAGCAAGATTTCAGACAACTTGTGATGACTAGCAAAAAGGTACTTGAAGAAGAAATAGACGGGAAAGAGGTGGGAGGAAATTGCAAGACATGGCGTGGAGGAGCGAGCAGGATGCGCGGGCATTGAAAGCAGTAAGGTACAACATACCAAGGAGTGGATCAAGGGCTTCAGTAGGTTGCAGATCTGTGACAGGCCTGTTGAGAATTAGTGCTGGATGAACATGAACTAACAATTAATATCAGAAAAGTAGAAACACAAATGAACGCGAGAAGAATATAGTGACTTGATGGATCCTTAATCTGGCCGCTAATTGTCGGTCCTTGGTTTGATTCTTGCAATTTGTTGACTCGTACGATGACGCTTATTCAGCGGCGAAACACGGTGGTAACGCGAGAGGATCAAAGGAAAGCACGGAGAGGAGATGGATCATGCATCAACTTACTTGTTAGACTGGATGTGTGGTTTCTTACAGGATTTGCAGCTGGTTAATCAATCGATGGGGAGAGGAGGGTCGATCGTGATGGTCTCAGGAGTAATATAGGCGAGAAAGGAGGTTAGTGGAACAGGGGATGATGCCTGTAAACTGATGTAATAACAATGATGGACAGGAATCTGCGAGTAAGAAAGAGAGACAAAAAAAAGAGAGAGAGAAAAAGAAAGAGAGAAAACGAGAGACAGAAGGAAACCGATATTATAATAAACCCCAAAGTATCTTTCCTTTCATGACTGGAGACAATCCCCCAGTCTGCGATTTTCGATGAAGAAGAACCAAACTTAGAAGCGGGCGCTAGAACCTATCCTGACGGTGGATCCGGGTGGGAAATCTCAACTGGCGCCTGAAACAAGTCACACTGGGGTCTATGGGACTGATGGAGGGTGGTCAGGTTGAAAATAAGAGGGTATAATTAATTAAAAAGATCCGCATGGATCCTGCAGACTGAACCTGGACTACCTATCACGATTGATTCTCTGTGTTGGGCACCACGCACCCAAAGAGGGGAGAAAGGGAACCAGATCAGAAATAATAACACGAAAAAAAAAAAAAAAAAAAAGAAAAGAAAAACAAACAAACAATGACCAATCCATACTTGCCACAGACCCCCCTGGAATCCTTCCAGAGGATTGATCCTCCCAGTCCGGGGCAGGATATAAGAGATACACCATTGGGTATAGAGACATAATGGAAACGGGACAACCACCCCCGCAAGACACCGTTCAGAGCACGTCCAACTGCAATCCCTGCTTGAACACCGCATGTCTCTCGTTCAGCAAACGACGGTTTTTCTTATAGTGTAGTATGACATCCTCTACACCCAGGAGAACATTCCAGCCTGGAGAGAATGTCACCATGTACAAGTTAGAGAGACCCAGTCGACAGGATACTCGATCGATTTAACGGGTGAAGCAGAAGATGACAACCGCCATGCCAAAGATCAAATTCAGCGAAAGGGCCTGGAAAGAGGCAGTACCAGTCTTCATCTCAGCGGGCACGGCACTTCTGCCGGACGTGCTATTGGCAGTATGAACGCTGGACATGTTGACATGACCGTTATTACCCTTGGCCACCGACGGCTCCGGAGAAGGAGGAGGAGGCGGTCCCTTGGAAGAGGGGGGGCCGTTGGGATGCTGCACGGAGATCAGCCCTGAATAATTGATCTCACCACCTTGCGTGATTCGAAAGGCGTAGTCATCGCCATCTTCGAGATCATCTGGCGGGGTCCATGTGAAGGTACCCCCTCGGGCATCGGTGATCAGGGTATCGACATGGTCGAGATTAACCGCAGAGCCTTTGCGGAGATCGATGGTGCTATCCTATCCGACCATCTTGGTTAGCAGGAAGGCGATACCAAGGTCAATACCCAGAAAGGTGCAGGATTTACCACAGCCAGGCCGCCTTCCCAGTTCACAGTGGCAGGCTCTCCGGGGTAAAGGGTTGATGGCCACTGGGTGAACTGGACTGCGTTCGAGACGCCGAGGTGGGCCAAGCACACGCAGGTGGCGAACAGGGATTTGGTGAAATACATGGTTGGATAGATGGACGCGAACGGGAGTTTAGTGATATGTTATATGCAATGCGCGATGAGTATGCAGAGATCGGATAGTGGAGATATCAAAAGTCTTGTCAGATCAGAGCACGTTGTACAGGGGAGCGACAGAGAACAAGATATGCAGTTGTTTTGATTCTCGTGGCCAAGGTCCCTTCCTGATTGAGACTTGGAACACGATAGGGAAGGAATTAACGCTGCTTGATGCTCAATGATGATCCAAACTCGAAAAGGGTCTACCTTCTAGAATCTTGGATATCCGATGCAGAGCAATATTTAAGAAGAATAGAGAGCGGAGTGAAAGAACTTGGGCCATGATAGCGAGATCCTGCGTATTTATCTCCCATTTCGCAGCATTCTCCTGGTTGTTGGCTTTATTCTGGCCTCGCGACATGGTATGTCGCGCCTTCTTCTTACATTCCAGCGATGTTTGGTTGGCGGCGACAACTTGGGGAATGTGCCCAGGGATCTTGAGGAAGAAGATAGACTCGGGACGCGACTAGACTTCTCGTACTATTTAGGGCTGATTATCACGGTGGTATCTTCCATGTTTGTCGGGTTCCTCCTTCGAGTTCGAAGAAGCAAGCGTATATCGTTAGTCATGGTAAACCCAGCAAAATATAAACAGACAGTCACATTATGAAACTCCTTCTGTATCAGCAACAGGTTATTGAGAATACCGCCTGTAAGCATTCACAGCGAGTCAGGGTGTCATGGCATATTAGAGAATAGAGAATGCTGTGGTTGCCCGGTGGAAGAGGGGTGCATCAATATTGACACAACACAGCATTGTTGGTCGTGCCTCCATTCAAGGGAGACATGCTCGCATCAACTAATTTCCACTGAGTCAGCTTGTCTATAACAAGTACCTTTGGCTGACATAGAATCTCCCCCTTGATTGACGCAAGGGGCTATCTACTCTTGAGGGACCTACATTAGGGCTGGGTAATGCCAACCAGGTGGAGGACAATCTTGGATAGGGTCACTTCTCTACTTCATACTTTCTATTGCTGATGCCAGCATGATACTATATATCTAATTACCATGCTTTTCATGGTTCATTCATCATATGTGGTGGATAACTTGACCACTGTCCTTTATCTAGCCCTAACAAGGGAGACTGGTGGCAGTCCACTATATACGTACTAGTACCTCAACAAGTACAAAGCGGTATAACCAAACCACAAACAAAAGAAGCAAAAATATGAACAACAATCAACAAGCTAACCCCTCTCAAAAGAATCCCCAATTCTAAAGTTAATAGCCCCAATCCCCCCGTTTTTGTGGGCAGCAAACAACGGTATCAATCGGTTTCGCACCCGTCGAGTCCAGGATTACCGGAAGCGGAAATGAGACGAACATGCACTCGACCGATGGCGGAGAAGCCACCATTGTCAACCAAACTAATCACATATTTACCATATTTAGCTATCGATTCCGGCTTCTTTCTTACTCTAGAGACTGGAACCCTGGTGGGTATCTCCGGTTTCATTGCACCATGTCAGCGTATCCCATTGTTCTTATAGCTGGACTGCCGCGCCTCCCCCCGGTTAAGGCGTTCCTTCCTACTGGGCACCACCGAGATCATATATCCTGAGACCCCTCCCCAGCCAACGTGAAGATGGTGGCCTGAGAATATCTTTTGCTCCTGTAGAGGAACTCTCGCCTTCGACGCTCGCTACTAGCAGTCCAGATATCGGTCGATTTTTATCATTTTTTATACCTATATATTCATGGCATAGTCTACCCAGCCGCTCGTTACGACTACACATTCGTTTAGCTACAAAATCCATTTCACACCCGCGAGATTGACAGGGAACAGCATCCAACCAGTCTACTCTATCGAGTTTATTCAACTGAAAATGTTGCGAACCGACCTCCCCATGGTGCCAAAATCCCGGGAAACATCCTCCCAGACAGGTAGCGAATCGACCTCAACAACAGAATCCACGTCCACACCGACAAGACTACAAGTCGTAACCCAGCCCCGCCGATTCTACAGCTCCATAGACGGCGGCACGCGAGCCAGCTCCCCAGGATCCATCCGCAGCGCAGCATCAGAGGACGAAGACTCGGAGTCAGACCTAGAGCTCACGCGCCGAGGCGCCGTCCAGACGCTGAACCTCTGCTCGCACGTCATCACCACACTCGAGCTAACTCGACTGCGCAAGTCGCGAACCGGCCTCTTCTACTGGACCGCCTTCTGGGAGCGTCTCTACGAGCGACAATTCGCACGCACGCTAGCCTCGCGCGTCAGCAGCGCTCTCGCAAAAGTCGACACCCTCTTCCGCGCAGTCTCCACAGACCTGCACCAGCTGACCCAGGGCATGATACACGCGGCGACAGTCGCCTCCTCCGACAAAGAAATTCTACACATCCTCGAGCAAATGGAAGACGAAGTCGGCGTGCGACGCCGCCGGCGCCGGCGCCGCGCACAGGCTATCCTCAACAAGATGCGCAGCAGCATCGAGACGATCCCCGTCAAAGTCAGCGACGACCTCTTCGACGACATGAAGCGCGGCATCTTCGCGCTCGACGCCTTCTGCGACTACCACCCGGGGGATCCCGTCGCCGAGGCGCACGAGGCCACCTGGTCGGAGTTCTTCGCCGTTCATCAAACCACGGGTCGGACGGCCGTCTCGCCCTACCTGTATCGACAGTGGCAGCAGTCTGGGTCGTCGGGGGCGTACCCGCCTTTGGAGGCTTATACGAGCAATAACCTCTACGTGGGATATGCGGAGGACTGGGTCAACGCGTCAAATGAGCACGGGTATGATCCGACGCATGTTATATGAGGCGGAGGGAGGGGAGTATGTTTCGTTGGATGGACATTGTATTACTACATAGCGTATTGGAGACTTTTCTTCATTTCAGTGTACTTGTTTGAACAGCGATTATGGTGTTGGTGATAGATTATTGAATCAATATATTTTTTTATCTGACTATAATGGGCTTGTAGACCCTTCACTGATAATGGAGGACGTTATGAAGACGAAAGTAGTATAAGAAAGAAAAAGTCTAATAAATACGCTCGAATCGAAACTAAAAATAACCTATCCATTTTTATAAACCTTAACACAACCCATTACGCAAAATCCCACAACCCACGCATGAAGCTCCCCTGCGCCGTATCCAGACCACCATCCTCCTGCAGCAAACGATCGGTAAAGATACGCTTAGGAATCTGGTACTCGACGACAGGGACACGCTTGAAGGACCTCTCCTCGGTGCCGAGCTCGCCGACCATCATACCCTGGTAGGTGTAGTCTAAGAAGTCCTCAATGTTGTACCACTGCTTCGTGAACTGCTCTGCGAGAATGCGGGCAATGGCAGCGACGTTGGGGTGGTAGTGGTGCTGGAGGGAGTGGATTTCCCAGAGGGAGCTGTCGACGGCGCCTGTGAGGAGGGGGTCCTGCTCTGCGGGGTCGAAGGGGTCGTCCATGCCTTCTGCTTCGAGGGTGGCTTTGTGGGCTGGATCGCGGGTCTCGCGGTGGATCATGAAGGTGCAGGTGGGGTGGTTTTTGAAGAGGTTGTAGATGAAGGGGACGATGACGACTATGGCGGTGGGGGGCGCGTTGAGGGCGAGGCGGGCGAGACGCTTGATGAAGCTTGCGATGAGGGCGGCGGGGAGATGGGTGGAGGCGAGGAAGGTGTTCATGAGGCGGAAGAAGCGGGAGCGGTGTTTGGAGTGCAGCAGGTCGGCGTCGAGGAGGGAGTAGAGTCTTTGGTAGAATTGGGGGTAGTCGAGGTTCTTTTCCTGGATGAGGTAGAAGAGGCCGGAGAGGGCGAGGAGGGAGGTCGCGCCGCCGAAGTTGTACGAGTCTGTCAGGAAGTCCATGAGCAGCTCGGGGCGGCTGAACCACGGCTCGATGGTGTGCGCCATGATGCGCAGCAGGGACTTGCGCTGGGATTGCGAGATGTTGCCGCGGAGGACGGCGAGCCAGGCGTCCTGAGCGGCTTTTTTGTGCGCGTTGTATGACAGGACCTTCTTGTTGGCTTTGCTGGCTTTGGAGTAGAAGGTTTCGAATTTGTGCTGCGGCTCGGGGACGGTGTCGATCGCGGAGATGATGGAGATGATGGAGTCGAGAGTCTCCTCGTCTCTCTCGCTTGATGCGTACTCACTAGACAGGAGTTGTGAGCAATTGCTGGTCCAGAATAGGGCTTCGCTGAGGATACTTACGAGATCTGCGTGAAGGTGTAGTATCTTACGTCCTCGTACTGCTTCGCAAATTTCTCGACAAACTCCGCCCGCAGTGCCTGTCCGTCCTTGGCCTCGACAACTGCTTCGACGATGTTCTTGAAGAAGCCCGATATCCACACCTGTATATCCTCGCCGTGCAAGTGTGTCGCGCGTTCGTTGAGAAGGCGCATGGCTAACGTTAAGGCGGTGATCTGCAAGACGTTAGGCGAAATCCGCGACAGGCGAGCGCTGGCTGGGTACGAACCTGAGACGATGCGTCACCCTTGCGTATGATACCGGCCAGCGACCGCTGGTACTCTCGACAGCGCTCTCTCAGCCATGCGACGACAATCTTTTCATTTTCAGCGGAATGGCTGGCCTCCGTCATGCTTCCGCTGGCGATCAACCTGCTGAAAACACGGCAGAGCGACACTGCCACGGCCAAATTGGGGTCCTCATCGGCACCCAGCTTGGAAATCAACGTTGCGATGTTGTTATAGTGTTTTCGTGACTCCGATATCTGTTCCTCCAAGCGCAAGAGGTCGTCCATCGCATCAGGGCCGTCGGTCTCGGCGACTGCGCGGCGTTTCGATGAGGGAGCGGTAGCATTTTTGACGCTCTTTCTCTTTTTCGAGCTCGAGGCTCCATCCACAAGAGACGGCATCGTGATTCAAAGCGTGTCTGGCGAAATTTCTCTTGCCGGTGCTTTTTCGTGTTGCTGAAACCATGAATTTTTGAAGATCCTCGGTTAGCGGTTTTTCCGAATGTCGGGACCAAGCCCAAAGCGGTTAGCGTCTGCCGCACCGCCCAAAGCGCCATCCCGAGAACCTCAAGTCTCAACTCCTCAGTTCCGTTCACCCTTCACATCCTGACCTGGTCTACCCTCTGCAACAATGGCTTCGCGTTTGGTTAAGAGCGCCGCTGGTATGCCATAATCGACTCGCTAGAATGCATCTGACCCCCTGAATATGATTTCTAACCCCCCCGTTAGGTGCTGCCCGGCTCCGCCCGACCCTCTCCTCGCGCACCGTCGCTCCCGTCACTGCCAACCTGACCGCGGCTCGCTTCAACTCCAACGTCCCCACCGAGGACCCCAAGAAGAAGGCTCAGTCCATCCTCGATGCTGTGCCCGGAAACTCGCTGGTCTCCAAGACCGCCCTCCTTTCCGCCGCTGCCGGTATCTCCGTGGCCGCCATCAGCAACGAACTCTACGTCATGAACGAGGAAACCGTGGCTGCTTTCTGTCTTCTCAGCGTCTTCACTGCCGCTGCGAAGTACGGTGGTCCCATGTACAGCGAGTGGGCTCAGGGCCAGGTCCAGAAGTACAAGGACATCCTGAACTCCGCCCGTGCTGACCACACCGACGCTGTCAAGCAGCGCATCACCAACGTCCAGGAGCTGTCCGGCGTTGTTGACCTGACCAAGCAGCTCTTTGCTGTTTCCAAGGTAATTGACTTCTTTTCTATCCTCAATATTTCAGTCCTACGATCAAGGAGGGGTGCTGACAATTGATGTAGGAAACCGCCCAGCTCGAGGCTCAGGCCTACGAGCTCGAGCAGCGTACTGCTCTGGCCCACGAGGCCAAGCAGGTTCTGGACTCGTGGGTTCGCTACGAGGGCCAGGTTAAGCAGCGCCAGCAGAAGGAGCTTGCCGACACCATCATCGGCAAGATCCAGAAGGAGCTTGAGAGCCCCAAGGTTCTCCAGCAGATCCTGTCCCAGAGCGTTGCCGATGTGGAGCGTAAGTCTAGCATTAACTCCCCTTCCGATCAACTACTAATGATCTTTTAGGCATCATGTCCGCCAAGGCCCAGTAAACGGACTGGGAATGACGGCTTCACTATTAGCACCATGTACAAATTAAACCAGTTTCTGTGCTAAATTAGACAATTCATTATACTGTTTGAGAAATCTACTTTAACAGGTGGCTATAATGTAGAACCAGTTTACATCTTTGTTATCACACATTAGTTGTTCATTAGTTGTTAGAGAGAGAGAGCATCACATGGAATGCTTCCCTGAGGTAGTCCACAATGATGGTAGTTATAGCGGTCTTGTTTTTGTTATTTTGTTTACCACAGGTATTTTGTCTTACACAATATCAGTAGCCTACAAGAAGAAACAGAGGAGACAGATATAGAAAATAATCAACAATGGTAAAAGCGAGGAAACAATGAAAGAATCCATGATATCCCATCAAAAAATTCGAAGATTTCTGGGCGGACCGTTTGATATGCATAACAGCTGTATAAAAGCTGACAAATCTATACACAGAAATAAGAAATAAATTCTGAAGTGCGTCGACTTTACGGAGTAGTTTGAGTTCCACTTTTCTCGAACTGCTGGTCTAGTGCTTTGACTGGCTATAAGTCTAGGGGTTCTACCTTTAGCATAGAGATCATCAGTCAGAATACAGAGTACAGAGACAATGACAGTCATTCATCCAGAAAATCCGTGCCAACACAGACTAGAGAGCGTTGTCTACATGCGACATGCTTCATCAAACCATGAACAGAAATATCCAGAACCGGGCAATCAGAGTGCCGGAACAGGCCGCCATCCATGGATGAACCCGAAACATCAATCAATATCACGCGGTAGTCCGTGCTAATCACAGGCACCAAAGACAAACCATATACACAGCCCCCAGCCTTGTGCCCTGCCACAAATAGAACCGAATCATGGAGGTGGCTTGTGCTGCCTGGGGTCAAGGTTCTATTTCAGGATCTGAACACCTGCTTATTTCACGCCTTTTGATTTCCCTTTGATGCATCTATTTATTTACTTCATTCTATCGTCATTGATTCCCGCAGTTCCTGCACGAGGACGCCTAGTAATTTCCACCTACTCTGGATAGGGCCTCGCCCCCACCCCGCGATAATCTGACCTCGTGTGATAAGCCACCGTTGTCGCAAACAATCCATCTGTTAATCGATACATACGAGTAAAGGCCGCCATGCCGTTGCGCGACATCCTCCAGAAAAAGGAGAGGCTCGGAGTTCCCGACAGTGGACAGGATGCGAGAGGCATCCCAACAGCGTCGGTGAACCCCGTCCCCGACATCACCTTCGTCCGATCGGATACGACGACGCATGAAGTCATCATTTCGCCTACCGTCGCTCATCATGCGGAACCCCCGTCGTCGCCTCGACGGTCTTTCAATCCGTTCCATCGCTCGTCGCCGCCGAACGAACCCCTGTCTCCGGAGACGCCCTCGACTACTCGTCCGCGACGACTGTCGCAGCTGCTGCGCCTGGACCGGCCCAGTTCGCGCAACCGCGCTCCCTCAGTTCATATACCGTCTGATCTGCCTCAGATCTCCTCGGATGCAGGGTCTGAACAGGACAGGGAGGCACTGTGGGAGAAGCGGGCGACAATGCTAGCACAGGGCAATCCGCAACTTGGATTATCGCCGGGCTCGTCACGATCGAGAAGTTCTAGTCATAGTGGTGTTGATGCAGAAGGGGATGTAAGTCGAATATTGCGCCGGATGGAAAGAAAACTAGGCTCTGACAGATATAGGTCAATATCCAAGAGGCGATTCGTCTTCACGAGGCTGGCGGTAAGACCGATCTTAGCGGGGGGTTGGACTTGTGCTGATACTGTATGCGACAGAGTTAGAAAAGTCGACAGAGATGTTTCGGAAGCTAGCAGATCCGTACGGTGCTAATAATTCGCTGAGTCAAGTGCTTTATGGGCTTGCATTGAGGTGAGACCTATCTTCGCCTGTCTATGGGTTCGATGGCCGTCGATCCATACCATCCACAATGCCTAAGGGTCCGTTCTTTCTAACGAAGCGATCAGACACGGCTGGGGATGTCCCGAAGATCCAGAACGCGCCATCACCTACCTCTCAGCAGCAGCAACCAACTCCGCGACAGTCGAGTCTCAAGCCCTGCAAGCAGGCATGAAAAAAGGCGGGATCGCCAAAGGCGAGCTGGTGCTCGCGATCTTCGAACTGGGCAACTGCTTCCGCAACGGCTGGGGCGTGCAAAAGGACCCCATGGCAGCACGACAGTACTTCGAGACGGCGGCGAACCTAGGCGACACGGACGCCATGAACGAGGTAGCCTGGTGCTACCTGGAAGGATTCGGGGGGAAGAAGGATAGGGTGAGTTTGATCATTGGATCATCGGATAGTCCCTTATCCCAGATATCGCCGTGATTTGCCCGTCTCCGAGACCAGATCCGCAGCTCGGGCATCAATGCCTACCTAAGATCCGCCTCACTTGCGGCTCGAATATCATCCTCAGGCTCGCCATGGTACCTTTTACTGACTTATAATTGTCCAATTAGTTCGCAGCAGCCAAATACTACCGATTGGCCGAGCAAAAAGGGAGCAAATTAGTGGGAAATTCATGGTATGTTTGAGCGCCTACTTTACCCATTACCCCCTCCTCTCATTCCCTCTCCATGCCTCACTGCGTATAATACCACCGCCCCATACGAAAAGCACGATCATCCAGATGATCTACACAGCATCACCCGCAGAGGTGAGAAGAGGGGGTCTGTGTCTACTGTCTACGTGCAGTAGAAAGCCAGTCATGCTTGGCAGCGGCCCAACTGATAGGCTCTCACGGATCCTTCTGCACCAGCGCCATGCGAAGCATCAACCAACCACATTCCTTTTCCGCCTCTCCACCTACCACCCACCCGCCCACCTACCTACCTAACTAGAGTAAGTAACCCACGCTGACTCGGGAGTCTTAGGATCTGGAAAGAAAAGTACAATCCGAAACGGTAGGCTAGGCCTTGACATGGTGCTCTTTAGCCGGCAGCCAGCCAGTCGAGAGCCTCGTACTCGCAGCCTTGTCTCGATGGATGGTGGAGCTGAAACCGCTGCAACTCTGCTCTACCTTGCTATGCTATGCTGTTTACCAAGGACTAGGACGGGAATACGAGATGTGCTTAGCCCAGGGAGATAGAAAGAAAGAAAGAAAGAACTATACCATTCAACCGGATGGTATGTATCTGTCTGTGCGTGCCTCGACGGCACAGTGCAAGATAGTGCGGCTATCGAACAAACCGTTCTTCAGCACGGACTAGAAGACGAAGCACCACAGCAGCTATTATTGGAAAGAGAACTACATTAGAGGAACGTTGACGTTAGGAACAGCCTCCACCGGGTAACGTTCGGCCGAGATGAGTTGAGCATATCATTGAATGATATTTACCCCCACTTCTATTTCTCATTTATATTATATTATTTTATTTTTTTTACGAGACGACGACAGCAGTCAACAGCCACTCTCAACATGTTTTTATCAATCTTCCCATGTAAACCATTGACAAGTGAAACAATCATAATGCTTACATTCCCTCAAATACCACCATGACCACCACCACATACACATACACATATCTCAATGTCATAGTTACGCACCTAGTGACACTTAGCTACATCTGCACACACCAATACCAGACTGGAGTATAGTACTAGTTTGTCTGATTATTGAGGTAGGTAGGTACCTGTAGGTACTTAGAGTCAAGAGTATACAGTATATGAGTGGGAGCAGCAGTATTACGTAGTAAGTAAGTAAGTAATTCCTGTGGTACTTCTCGCCTATCGATGGTACCTACTATCTAGGTATCTATCTATGTACCCACCCATCTACCCACCCATCTACCCACCTACCCCAGCCCCATAACACCATAAACACAGCCTACACACACACACATAAATAACCAGACAGACAAACAGACAAGCGGTAAGCAAGCAGGCATCACCAATAACGATGCCACCCACATACTGTACCTACCGCGGAGTACCCCGTAGTAGAAAGTCAGGTCAGGTCAGGTCAGATCAGATCAGGTCAGATGCACAACTGCTTACCTCACCTTACCTACCTTACCCTGCATATGGTATGTTGTATGCAGTAGCTGTATGTGTATGTGTACGTATATGCTGTACGCTGTGTGGCTGTGGCTGGAAAATGGAAAAGAAAGACATGTGCAGGGGATGCTGTCATGTGAGAGGTCATGTCATGTCATGTCATGTCATGTCATTTTATCCCATTACTATTATTGATTTTATTACATTCCCCTCATGTCGCCCCGCCCCTCGAACCCCGCTCAGGGTCTGGAGATTTGTAGGTCAGTCCTAGTACTTGGTTATATCACTACGTAGATAGTAGTATTTTGATCATTACGTAGATAAAGTAAGGAAGAATTTTAGTGTTTTAGAACCGATCTTGGACCATCATTATCATCCACAACGAAGTAAATGTAGTGGCCATATATACAATGCAAGCCCCAGTCACAACCCCAGTCACAGCCAATTCAACTCAATCAATCAACAAAGGAAATATATAATCTGTAAAGAGCGGACGGGCCTTTTTAGCCCAAGTCAATATCGCTCGCTCGCTCGCCATATCGAGGATGCGAGGATATGTGAAGGATGTATCTGTCCCATTCTCAGACGGATGGATGACAGCGTCAATCGAAGTGACAAAGGAAATAAAGTGTAGGTAAAGAACGTGAATCAGAGACACTCAGGTGCTCTGACAAAACCCGAGGGTCACCAGACTGGGGCAGCCCGGCTATCCAGAAAGAAAAACACAAACGTATAAGACATTAACGGACATCCCGTCGTCGTAAGCATGTCGGTCATATCATAACAATCATAAGAGGTGCCGTCCTCGGCCCTTTCAGCCCACTCTCGCAATGCAACCAAGCAAATCAATCAAATCAAAACAAAAAACAGAATAGAATAGAAATCAAATCAAATCAAACTCGCTCACGCTGGAAAGAGACAAAAGGATAACGCCATCGCTAGACAATCCGTCCCAAAGCCACGTACTGTGTGCCGAGCTTCGCGTAGCAACGAGCATTGTACTCAACCCGTGCTGGCCCGAAGCAATGAAGAACGATGATAAAACACGAAGAAGTAGAGAGAATATACACAAAATCACTGTGTTATGTATGATGGTCCGTGGCATCCATTTGCCGGGTCCGATTCCCGGAGACGATAAGTGCAAAGAAATCCAGTATATACGCCGAAAAATCCGAAGTTGCGAAAAAAGTAATAAACACAGGCGCTAAATTGGTCACGTAAGTCATCAAGGCTAAGTCGGTCAAGAGAATTTCCAGTCGAAACAGTAAACAGGTCAAGAATGGTAGGCTGTCTATGCATGCATAATGTTGCTAATTTCTGGCTAATTTCTGGCCAACAGTCGTAGATCGTAGGCATAATTTCATGGTAAAGGACAGAAGAGAGGCGAGATTTGGAAGCAGAAACCCGAGCAAGTGGAGTGCGGAGTGCGGAGCAGGCGGGGGCAGGATGGCAGGTTTATCTTTTTTTTTCTTTCTTTCTGGACAACGGGGGTGGGACTATCGGTGACTACTCAGGCTTGGGCGAATCCGGGGTTCTCCTCTTTCACGGGTGTCGCGCCGCCATACTCCTGGACCATCCGTCGGAAATCCTGGATAACCTTGTCGGGCACGCGATCCCACATCAAGGAACGCGAGTACACGTCCGAGGTGGCCTTGGATGGCACACGGTTGTGGACGGCATTGCCCCGCATGGCCGCCAGGGCCTGCTGGAGGTTGGAAGGCTGCTGCGTCTTGTAGCTGGGGTCCGTGTCCTCGAAGGTCGTCAAGGAGTTGTACTGGTCTGGGTTGAGCGCGAAGACCTGCTCCTGCTCCTGCTCCTTGGTGGCCATGGTCAACGTGTTGTGCAGCTCGTCGAGGTTCGACGTGGGAGCGGCACCCCCGGTCATCTGGGCCATCTCGGCGCCGCTGATGGTGGTCGGCAGCGGGGCGCCGGCCGGGTTACCGGCCGACGAGAGCTCAGGCGGGGTGGCGGACAGCACCGCCTTGAGCACGTTGGCCGACTCCGCACGGTACTCCTCCGACATCTGGGGGATCGCGCGCGAGGTGAAGGCGGTGTTGTTGGAGGCCACAAATGCACCGAAGAGGAGGCACATGTAGAAGGCGTTCCAGCTGAAGGGGTAGTCGCTGTTAGCGGGGCGGTCGGTGGCCTTCTCGTTCGTCGTCACGGCCATCGGCTGCTGGGGCGCGGGATCCGCGTCCAGGGACAGACTGTTGACCATGGTGAAGTCCTCCCACGGGCTGCTGTCCATCATGCTCTCAAACTCGGAGAAGTCGGGGGCCACGTTGGCGGGGGCGGCGGACCGGCCCTGGCGCTCCAGTTTCTCCACCGTCTCCTTGAGGATGTTGTTCTTCTTGCGAAGGTCCGCGGTCTCCAGCGTGTGCACCCGGATCATCTCGTCCTTTTCCAAGTGCATGTTGGTGAGGTACTGCGAGACCTCCTCACGGGTGGCCATCCACTCGCCCTTCTCACGGAGCAGCTCGGCTTCGCGCAGTCGCATATTCTGCAGTTCCTCCTCGAGGTCGTTGATGACCTGGGTGAACTGCTTCTTCTCTTCCTCAAGCTTCTCGGTGTGGAGCTTCTTCCGCTGACGGGAATCCAGCCTGTATTCGTTAGTATGCGATCGATCAGAAATCAATAGAAAGATGAAAAACTTACGCAGCTTGACGATTCCGCAACAAGCGTTTCTGCTGTTTCAACTCCTTGATCTCATCCTCGTTGGTGGACTGGCTGATCAGGTGGTCGATGTTGCTGAGCGTGCGCTCCGCCGGGATCTCGAAACGAGCGTTCTTCTTCCGGATGCCGTCCCGTCGAACCGTCAACGGCGAGCCATGTCGGTAGGTAGGGCTCTTGGTGGGACGGGTGATGGAATCGGAAATGTCCGTGGCAGCGGGCATCCAGCCCTGACTGGACTGGGGGGACATGGCGACCGCACCGGGGTAGTTCAAGCCCGCACGATATGACATGGAGGGAACGTTGATGGAGCTGACGGGACCCACCGCACCGCCGGAGAACGGGGCTGAAGAGCCGTTGTCCAGATCGGAGGGAAACGGCTCATACATGGCGGCGGGGGTGCAAGAACCAGAGTCCTTGGGGATCTGCCAGGATGCCTGGTGGCCGTATGTAGAGGTAGGGTGGGTGAAGGGGTTGGGGGCGGACTCAAAGAGAGGGTGAGCGAGGTGGGCGGACTCATGACGGGTCTGCTGGGAGAAGTCGGACCAGACGGAATCTCGATGCGCAAAAGCCTCCGGGGCCTGTTCGTAAGACGACCGTCGGTGGTCGCCGACGGACGAGGCCAGTTCCGGGGAGGTCGAGTCCAGGATCTTGTCGTCTAATACACTCATCTCGTCGTCTTCCGTATATGAGGGCTTTGCGTTTAATGTGGAGGGAGATTGTTGATAGAAATCATAGGCTGGCTGAGAGTATCTCGCCATGCTGGTATGGGGGAAGTGGTTGGTAGAGGGAACAGGTCGATTTATGACAGGAAGAGGCGGTGTGTCCGATGGATTTTCCTCTTTTTTTCTTTTTTGTTTTTTTTTTCAAATTTTTTCTTTGGTCTGGAAGAGGCAAAGAGAAGTAGAAAGGTCCAGGGTGCGGGGTTTGGGGATGGTTGCAGGAAGAATCAAGTGTAACGATGGAGGGAACAGAAGACGGGAAGTAGAGAAGATGTCTCAAAGAGGAGTTAAGAGTAAAGAGTAAAGAGTAAAGAGTAAAAGAGGAGAAGATGGATGGGTGGGGACAGGAAAGAGAAGTCAAAGTACAAAGGTCTCTCTGGGGGATCAGATGAGACAGAGACTCTCGGGGGGAGAGTTTATCACTGATGGATGGGATGGATGAAAGATGATGATGTTGATGGAGAGGGGAAAGAGAGAGCAAGTGACCCGGAGGGAGAGAGAATGATATATGATTCGAATGATTCTCACGGTGATCTCTAGTTCAAGACCAAGGCTGGATCAACGATAGTAGAGATCTGATCATAACAATAAAACTATTTGATTTGAATTTGGATAATAATAAATAAATCGAATATAAAATATAAAATCAAGGAGAGATAAAATTAAGAAAATCATCCAAGAAAAATACAGAGAAAATCCCCAAAAAAATAAACAGAAGCATAGAAAACATCCAACCTGGAGAGCCAAAGCTCATCAGGTCCAGCGGTCAGCGGGAAAGTCTAAGAGACGAGGCGGCGATTTGTGATGCTTCCCGAGCTAGACGGCTGGTTGTTATTGGATGCTTCGTTGGGCAGACTTGCAGCTGTATGATTAATCTACCTACCTAGTCTCTACTGGAGTGACCTCTCTCTACAGTTTCTCCTAGTTAATATCGGGTTACTTGGGTCTGTGAGGTTATCAACATTATACAGCTCGGGATCCCCAGATCTAGATTCTCTACATTTGGATAGAATCTAGACAGCTACCAGTCTATCCGTATATACACAATCAACAACATGAACCGTATACTCCTACTAGGTATTCTCCATAGAACGGAACTTCCATGAAATACTAGAACATCGTTACCGCCATCTCCAGTGGGGCAGCCTTATCGAGAGCCTATCGCATCTATCAAATCCATCGTTCTCGCACGGGTGCGGTCGATCTGTATTGCCGATACTGACTACTCCATCCTATGATACTAGTAGGAACACTACGACCACTACGAGAAGATCACAGGGATTCCTCGGTGATTGGCATTGAGCGTCTCTATTCTCAAGAATATCATGATCATATCAGAAAGTACTAGGTACCTGACCCAACCGGCCCTACCGACTCTTGGCCTCACTATACAGATGCCCAAAGGATTGAACCAGAATATACAATAGAAATCATAGAATAATCAATTAATACGAAATAAGTAAGTCAAAAGAGAAAGTCCGTGCGCCAGCCTGGGCCATTGCATCACTCATGATCGACCCAAGGGCCGCAAGAAGTATGTCGATGTTGATGGATAAAATACACCTACATGACAAAACCATACGGTGGACGTTGGAGGGGCACGGAACAACTGATCAGATGGACAGAATGTTCGACGGGAGGGGTCTCCCCACGGCCAATCATTTCTATACCTGGTGTGACGGGTTAATTATAGCTGTATTGATGGGCCGTATCGTCTGGTATTGCGCTCTCGGGCTTTTTTGACCTACCAGGGAAAGGTCTTTAGGATAGACCATGCTTACTGTATCATCCGACTATCTCAAAAGGAAGACTGATAGAAATAAAGGGAAGAAATAATACATCATAAGGAGAAAGGATAGGAGAAAGAGGAACAAGGATATCCATGTTTCATACACCCAAAGAACGACCATCGCTGGTACACAGGCCCGGCCCGGGCGAGATCCAGAGATCCACTATACAGTAAAGTAGTATACGCAGAAAAGTCGGTCATAAGTCTGGAATAACTTAGTACAGTATAGTAGAGTATATTTAAGATGACTACTGCCGAAACCGGTAAAACCATCATTTCCTCATCAACCCATCCTCGATGATCATAATGTAAGGCAAGGAGAACGGTCCCCGTGCTGCCCCGTCCACCGATTCGGGCGATGACAGGATGTACCGCGGAAGCAGGGCAGATGCACCAGATGCACCCTGGAAAGCACCGGCAGATCAGATTGGATTGCCAACCAGCCATACAGTATGATCGATCGAGTACGGAGTAGAGACATGCTGGATGGCCTTGTTTTGCCATGTTTTATCCGTCTTGCTTTTATTCTTCACTATTGCATCAGTTTAGTAGACTCGAGGGGTATCCCCCTCCATCCATCCAGTTGTTTCTCCAGCACGATAGATTGCATCACTCCGTATTCAACCGCCAGCCAGCCAGACCATCCCCGGGAAGGCTGCTAGACCGGGAGGCAGACCCTATCTCAAAAGGGTAAAGACCCAGCTGGAAGTACGCGGGGACTCCGCTCAACGATGTCATCATGCCGGTGCGATCCTGCGTTTCAGACCGACCCTGCTCAGGCAGAGACAAGGCGAGTTTGGGTCGAGGGGATCGACCGAAACGGGTGGAAATGTTTATCCGGATATCGGGGAGGGGAGGAGGGGTAGGGAGAGAGAGAGAGGGGTACCGTATGACATGGTGCACCACTACCATCGCCGACATTATCGTTGACCGTTCAGCATCACTTAGAAGGAATGGACTCGATACGGTGTTGCGCTGTTCCTCGAAATTGTGATGCTCATGAGGTCATTGGGGAAAGAGTCTCCTATCGCCGAACCCCCAGAGTCGAGTCACATCGACTCTGTCGGCCGACATCACCACCGTTGTAGACTTTCCTCACTGGTCACTGTCCAATCCCATCGCGATGCCCCTGACCAGCACCTTTCTTCTGCAACGTGTACTCCGTACCTGATTTCATATCGTACCCTGAGACACCACACTCCAGAACGAACCACTCCACCGCTTCATGAACCCACCGTCTTGACCGTGACAGGAGCAACAGACCTACCCAAACGGGATGTCACCAACCAGGTACCTCTAAGCAACTGTTGCTTATCCAATACTACCCCCATAATATAATATAACATACCACCAATAATATACCCTTACTAATACCCAAATCCACTTAAGCAGACAAGCTCGAAGATGAAACAAAGACACGACGGTCAACCCGACCCACTGCCCAACCCAGCCGGTACATAGTACCTTAGACTGCGGGAGGTGTGACTCACACACACCCTCTGGCAGGCGGTCTTCTCGAAGCAGCAGAAGCATCCCCCAGGCTGCCAGACCAGGGGCCTCGACATTTCGTCCGCGTTTCAGTTTCTGTCCGTCTGTCTGTCTCCTGTGCTTGATGATGCTGCACGGTCAAGCAGACCCCAACGTCTGCCCTGTCGGCCATATACACCCATGCCACGTTTCCAGATGCACACACCGAATGGTCAACAGAAATGTCCAAAAGATGAAGCTCTTGTGAGCCTGAATAATTGATTCGGTATCGTGTCGTTGAATTGATGCCGGCACTCGCGATAATCGCGTGTGTAAATGAGCATGCCACACCCCCAACCCAACATGATGAATGAAGAAAAACAAGACGAAGGTCAAATCAAATCAAGTCACGCCCGACAGCTGTGCATCGTGCCATATGGCTCAGATTACACCCTACACACATACCCCATACAGTCTTTCCTTACCTGCGCGTCTACGTATCGCCCCAGGATACGACCTAGTCAATCCCCATAATCGTCTGAATAAATGCATGCATGTATGTGTTCAGTTCCCATCTCTCCTCCTCCAACAAGGAAGGGAAAGAAAAGAAAAGAAAAGAAAAGGTCTACGAATCCCTCCGGCCCGCAACTACAGAGCCAAATCAAGTATCGACAGCAAAGACCAGCATCCCATCCTCCCAAGAAACCGTACGGAAATAGAAAAAAACTGCAGATCTGCACGGCATTGGCTCCGACAGTATGGTAGGTAGGTAAGATACCAGATGGAGATGGATGGATGGATGGATCCAATCCATCCATAATCCATCCATAATCCATTCGCCACTATCCATCCGGTCAATTCCACCAACAGGAATCACAACAAAAGTAAAAACCAAGCAAAGAGAGAGTCTATGTGCGAGGGAGAGAGTCAGACCGTCATGTGCCGTCCGTCCGTCCGTCCGTCCATCCGTCGCACATGGCCTTTGTCTTTGTCTGTCTTTCGCCCATGCGAAGTAATCTCGGAGATTTGCACCCTCGCACCGCCGAGGAAGAAGGAATAGGAAAATGGAAGGGAGAGGCAACAGAGTTGATGACGAGGGCCGTTCTGGCGGTGTAGAAAGAAAAATGGACCCATCTTGTTACTAACTTGTTGACTTGCTGAGTGGAGCGGAGAGGCTGGGGCTACTAGCATATCCGCCCCTCTCTTTCTCTTTCTCTCTTTCGATTCTTTTGTTCCATTCTTCTGATTCATTCGAGAAAATGACATGGATAATTATTAATTTCAATTATGAAGGCGTGGTTTGTGCCGAGGACCTCCGCTCTCTGTTTCACTGACTCGTACTCACCAGCCGGTTCCCGCGAAGATAACCTCTTCTCTGTGACTCACTCTGGCGGTATACACATTCTTCAAACAAACCCGAATAAAATAAAATCAACAGATAAAATAATCAACAAAACAAAACCAAAGATAATTACGATCTTCACTCCATTCCTCAGCATCACTCCAAACCAAGAATCCATCCATCACGAAGCGACCAAACGAACCGCCCCTCCCGAATAGATGGATCCCCATCCCCATCCCCATCCCCATCCTCAACAACCAGCCATATCGGCAACGGCGACAAGACGACGACGACGACAAGAACGCCGACCAGACCACGCAATTAGTCAGTCCACCAGCCACGGATCCAGCCAGTAAGTTCGAAGGCAGTAAGTAGCTAAGAACTACTAACTGCTAAGTACTGAGTACTAAGCAAGTAGCAGGAGCAGTAGTTAGCAGTAGTAGTACTAGCATAGCAGTACAGCCTAGTATAGCATGCATAAACATAGTGGGGCGTCTCCTCTTCGAATCTGCCAGTCAGTGAGTACTGACATCCACAGATAATACATAAATTACTTCGTAGATTGGATAATTACTAGAGGGTTAATTCTTACTTATGAGGGTTAGTAAGGCGGCAGTAATGAAGAGTGATGCGCGAAGGCTCGGACTCGTGTGCATAAGCATGATGCAAAAGGGTTGTGGCCCAACATGGGCTTTTTTTTTTTTTGACTTCTGCATGGCTTAAGGTAGGTCTCCTGTTGCTGCTGATCATTTGCAACGTGCTTTTGATTTTGGCTGATCGAGTAAATGGGAAGTGGAAGTGGTCTGTGTTTTTGATGCTTACAAGTAACTATGGATTTTTTGATACAATGTATGGATATTGGTGTGGCTATAAAGAAGGTGTAATCGGCTTGATTATAATGATGATATTGTGGATAATAATAATGAAAAGGATGGATACTGGTAGATATAAATAGTATATGTCAGATACTACTATAGTCAATACAATCCAAAAGTACTCCGTAGGAGTCCGTAGTATCTCATTATAGAATTGAAGTGAAACAGCAATCTAGCGGTGATAGAGGTGTTACCTCAGATTTACTCTATACCATCGCCCTGCCAATGTAACTGCCAAGTACCTCTATAGACAGTATGAGTTAACCCAAATAATCCAAGTATTAAAATTGAATAAATCATCAGAATAAATAAACAACCCCATAACCTTCTCCCACGCTCCCCCTATCGGAACCAACCTGTCTCTTCCCCAGAAGCCATCATTTCCAATCCCATCCCAGCCGTGACTGGCTATCGGGTAGGCAAAAATAATAACAACACCTAATCAATCATTTGAAAACAAAACAATAAACAAAAATAAAAATCAAGTGGAGGCGAGTCCACCAACCAATAACCACCCAATGCGGGTGGTGAGATGCGTCAGGCACAGATGAAAAGGTCAGTGCAGTGCAGTTACAGTGCAGCACATTGCAGCGCAGTAGTGATCGGATCGCTTCCTTTTCCCTGGTAGCTACTCTACTCTACTCTTCCTTTTCACTTACTAGGTAAGTAGGTAGTAAGCAAGAAGGTAGGAAGGTAGTGGTAATGTTTTGCCTCCACTTAGCCTAACTCCACGGTTGCATGTAGACCTACCAGAGGATGTCACGACTCGAGAGCAGAAAGGTAGGGCCGCTAGGGCAGTTAAACTTAGGGCAGGAGGCGCCGATAGGTTCGTTGGAGTGGGCGGTCGGGGTTGGCTTGCCTGTGTGTTGTACCTGGTTTCATTCAGTACTTGAGTTTGGGGGGGTTGAGCTTATGGTTATGACTCATTTGGAGGGTGCTGCTTTAAGGATTTTTTTTCTTTCTTGTTGGTTGTTGCTGTTGGAGGTATGGGGTGGAGGAGGTGGTATGGCTTCACTTTTGGTTCTGTGTACTGGTTGGATTGGAGTATTGGTAGACTGTTATTGTAGTTCGCATTCTGGGTTGATTATACTGTTCTTGAATTGCTATTGTAGTTCGCATTCTGGGTTGGTCACACTGTTTATACCCCATCTAGTATATCTCTCTTGTAGAGTGGTAATATCCTCAACATCCAAATCCCGAGTATTGGTATGATATGGCTGGACATCACTATGGTCGACTCTAGTCCAAGATATCCACACTCTAGACAAATGAGCACCACCTCTCGTAGTTCTCTTTCTATCTACTAGAAGAAACGTCATATCCCTGTCGTTGTTGGTTGATTCCAGCCCTGGAAGCCGTATTGCTATCCTATCAGTTCTCCATCTCTATGTTTGGCTCCCAGATCATGGACGAACCTAATGAGAGAGCCAATCTCGGGGTAAGTGTAGACGTAATCGCAAATATGAAGAAGTCAATATAGACAACCCTCCTCCCCATGCCAACAACTCGTGGCAAATGCAAAGCAAGACTACTTCATCCAGCCCTGTACAGCAGTATGCTCCCGGCCAAACTCGTAAAAGCGTACAGCTGGCATTGTTCTGGGAATTTCCCACAAATCGGCAGAGGTAAAGAGACGGTGGCTACTGCAGGAGATTCTATGTCCAGCCTTGGATCTACCTATGTAGCTATAGATACCCTACCGAAGAAACGATTCTGAATGATGACTATGTACTCCGTAGTGCCTGATATCTAATGCAGAACGACTGGAGTTTCACAATGACGATGAAACTGCTCTCCCTGTCCCCTACGAATCATCCTCTGCCACCTTAATACACGATACTTGCATCATGCACCTCCCTAACCAATACAGTCGAGCAAGAAGCGCCAACAGCCAGCTGTTAATCTCACCAGGTGCAGAGCCGAACCGAACCCAAGACTGCAAGTGTCCTGTCCCCATCTATCTTGAAGAAACACACTGCCGACAGCAACAGCAGTACAGATGGGCAGAAAGTCCACGAAATGCAAACCACCAGACAGGGATTGTCATGCATGTCTCGATACTTGAATCCTCAAATTCCTCGCCGGCTATTATCGAAGTAGATCCCCAGGTAGGTACCGAGCTCATAATACAACTACCCAATAGAGCAACCGACGCTTCATTTCGCCCAGGTGGCAATATCAAATATTCAAATCAGCCAGTCCACCTCCTCCAAGACACCAAGTAACTAACCAACTAACCGATAAACGAATGCACCCAGGCCCAAGATCCGCTCGTTTGCTGCAAACCAGCGATAGTCAACTCCCCCACTGGTTCTGGCGTTTGGACGGCGTACAAAGCGTTTGCTATAAGCGGAGGAGAAGCCACACCAGCGCATTGCATGACCTCTCCGGTTGAAGCCGGGCCTCGCAACGGTCTGGGATTACACAAACCACTTCGGGATCTGCTCAAACGATACGGGTGGCACGAATCTTTCGGCCGGATTGATCTTTGGCGTGTTTGTCGTAAGTGTGGTCATTGGTATACGTTTAGTTAAAAGTGTGTATACCCGGTTGGTAGTATCTCCACATATCGGTTTCGAGTGATGTACTGGTGGCTATAAATATCTGTCTTCGTTTGGGCGTCTGCTCGATTCAGGATTGGATCCGTTCTTTAGACCGATGATCCTGCCAAGTTGTTGACGAGTTATGGGTGCAGTCATCTGTATTGAGGGGTGTAGCTTGTTGTTTAGAGGAATGAGGGCTAGAGGTCTTTTTTTTATGAAAACATGTATATATGTGGTGGCGGCATGGGAAGATCAGCCTGACTACAACGGCGTTTCAGGCGAGGGTTCGGTTCTGTCTTTTGGTTGATTGGCCTACTTGATATCTTTGATGTATTCTTAATATTTCTAGAGTGAGAAACCCGGTCTATTGCCAAATTAAACATGGGGGGAGTGCTGCGGTGCTACATCGAGAGCATCACCATACATAGTAATTTACATCTTAAAAGTGAATCCCGAGTCTTCGAGTATAATATCAATGCATCACTACTGAAAAACCAGGAGCTGATTTACTGTAACATCCATAAATTAAATAATAAAACAGATAATCATGTACCAAGAACTTGCTGTAAGAATAGGGTATCAACTACCAACTCAACCCGAAACAATCAACCTATGCGTCCATATTTACTGAACCGCATCCACCAATAATCATGTCATCCCCTCTATTCACTTTTTCTTCTCTTTTTTCTTCTTCTCTTGTTCTTCTGTTTTCTCTTTTCTCCAACTTCCAGTATAATGTCCGATTACTGTTGAATGCAGTTAGTGGGAAATAATTAGAAGCGGATGTAATCCTGCTGCTGCGACAGTTCGCCACTGCCATTCCCTGCGATGAGTTCAGGCTCATCGTCTAGCTCGTCTGAGTCAACGTCATCCGAGTCGATCTCATCGTACTCTTCTTCCTCGCTGGAGGCATCGGACTCGTCATCATCCTTGGCTCCCTCGGCCTTGATGGCGGCGTTCTTCCTGATCTGCCCGGCCCGGTCTATATGCGGCAGCCGGCAGCGCTTCTTATTGCAGGTGCCCGTGTTGGAATAGTCCGGACACTCGTGATCGTGTCGCTGCTCACACGCCTCGCCCTTCTCACAGTAGCCCAGGTTGGCAAAGTCCCGGCACACGGGGGTCCCCGGTGTCAGGCGGATGTGGGCATATCGGCACTCCGGGTTGGCGCAGCGACCGCGGAGGAAATGCATACAAGTGGGGGATCTGTGGGGCGAAGGTTCATGGGAGAGATCACAACTTATACCTGCGTTGCATTTACCAGTCTGGAGGAAGTCCTTGCAAATGGCAACTTTGTTGGGATCGTGGATGTAGGGGCAGGTCGGGCCTTTATAGCAGGTGCCTAAATTCAGAGGTCTGTGTCAGCACTGTTCACGTATACGGAGAAAAGGTAAAGGTGAGGTGGAAGGCTTATGGAGGGAAATCGTCGGTACCCGTGGTGGTAAATCTTGTACACAGCTCGTTCTTCTTCTTCGGCATTTGTTTCCTGTAGTGGCTGTGAGCTTCCAACCTCGTGGTGTGGGTCGCACAAACCGTCACCTTTTCGAAGTCACCGCCCCAAGACGATGAAGGTTTCCATTTTTGCTCCGCACGAAAGTCACACCGGCGAGCGTCACCTTCTTCGGCGTGGTGTTGATCTTATTGGGGTCATCTATGAACGGTAAGCTAGTTCTCCTGACGAACACAGTGTCACCTAGAGCCGCACCAGATACTCGAATGAGTTTACTGCCGCCTCGAGACACCCGGAAGGGCATATCATTGAAATAAACCTGGTACTCAGCCGACGGTCCAGCGGTAGTAGACATCTGCGGCGCCGCAGCGCTAGTAGGATGCTGTCTACCGAAGCCTTGTGCATAGCGGAGCACTTTGGTCTGCTCAGCCTGTGCCTTCTTTCGAGACTTAGCCTGCCGGGTTTCTTCCATGGCTTTGGTCCGCGCCTGAGCTTCTTTGTCATAGATGGCCGAGTTGATCAGCTGCATGTGGCGGTCGCGTTTGGCGACCCAGCCGTTCGGCGTCGCCGACCCCTCAATATCATTGTCTGTCGCAGGGCCAGTGGAAGGCGTTGAGCTCGCGGGAGTCGCTGAACCTGTTGCGTTGTTTAGAACGAGCGTTCGGTTGCGGTGCGAAGGCGCGCCGCCCCGCCCACGCGCGTACGGTCGTCCGCGATATGGTGCCCACCCTGGACGCGCTCGGGAGTGTCTGGACACATATGAAGTGTGATGGGACGCGCCATGGGAAGCTTCGGTCTGAGGATGTTGTTTGTGTCTGTTGATCTGGCCTATTTGGAGTCAGCAACGAGGAATGACAGCGCACCTCGGGGCGCTTACCAGCAAGCTGGCTGATCTTGGCCATGAGATCCTGCTCTTCAGTCATTTTGGTCTGATTACAGAATAATCAGCCTCCGTTAATACAAAAGACCACTGTTGTTTCTCTGTCTTCTCGATTCTTTAGTGCGAGTTCCCTCTTTAAAACGCGATGGGTGGATGGAACAAAGGAGATGATAATTGATTAAATACGATTGGGAGTCGTGTTTGATGTTATGACGAACCACGAGCGGTGGCGCTATGAGTGTCAGCACGTGACATGCTAAACGTTCTTGCCTGATATTGCTGGACGATGACAACATAACTCAACTATGAATGTCTTCGGTCTAATTCACTACTGGTTACTATTTCTTCACTTGTAATCACTTTGTCATTGGTAGTGATATATCTACCAGTCTGATTCACTACCATATATTGTATGGTTCAATTAGGCATCTGGGCCCGTGAATAACTCCAAAGCAACTTTTATACCACCCAGAAAGTAAATCGGAAACCCAAACTCCGTGCCGTGGTCTTGCTTATGCTACAAAGGTTTCCCCCTACCTTGTATTAGACAACATTCTCAAATTGCATCTCATCGTTATCGGTGACCATGCCCGAGCCGGTGGCCTCCTCATCGGAGCCCTCGTCGAAGTTCAAGTCGGTACCAGGGGGCAACTCTTCCTTGGCTTCGCCGTACCCCATTGCGTTCGCGTAGTTACTTTCCTTGGCCTCGGGTTTAAGCTCCCAAGTCATGGCAAAATCACCAGATTTAACCAGATGCGCGATCATCTCCAGGGTCTGCTTCAGATAGGCTTCCGGCTGGCGGAGTCGCGCCTTGAGGTTCTTAAACGGCCAATATCTGAATTCGCGGAAGCACTGGTAGATCAGGTCCAACAGCTCGTTCTGCGGCATACGCGTAGACTTGTTCTCCTGGGGTTTGAGCTTGGGGCCCTTTGCCGCTTGCTGTGGAGTATATTAGTCGGGCCAGTATGATACAGTGATGCGATAAAGGGAAACGTACCACAAAGGCGCTCTTTTCTCCGGGCAGGAGATTTCTCGCCTGGAGCAATTTCCCGGGGACCTTGTCGATGAAGACAGTCTCCCGCTTCGGTTTGAGAGCCTCGAGCGCCTTCTTCTCGGAAAGCATCCGGAACTCCTCATTCTCCACGGGGAGGCAGTTGAACTCCTCGCCGACGCTTCCAACCAGCGCGGTCAATTCTATCACGTATGAGTAAAGCCTTCTAGCATTTGCCAAACACACAGTATGGGTGCATACTTGGTACCGTCCTCCGAACATACGGCTCCCATTTCTTCTTGCGCTCCTTTTTCCTCGCGTCCCGCTTCATGGATTCGTAGAGGGCTGATCGCGCCTCTCCAAAGACCACCATGCGGTTATCGCCGCCAGGAATTTCCTTCTCCGTGAACACATAAGTGTTCTGCGTAGAATGTGAGATATTCTCGTTGTTTATCGTCTGCCGCTGGAGGATGTAGTCCTTGGGGATTTCATGGTTGTCCTCCCGTTCGTTGAGGCGCAAACTGACCTACAATTTTGGCCCCATCAGTTGAATTCAATTAGACCACAAAGGCGTCTCGCGAGACATTATTCCAACAACAAAGTAGCAACATACCCGTTTGATGTCGTTGGGGGGTCCTTCAATCCGCACAGTTCCAACCTGGATCTCCTCATCGTCGTCGAGGTTCTCCCAATTCTGCCACAGCGACCGGGGAATTCGCGAGAGCCACACACTCTGCGCAGCGTTGGAGAAGTCCAAGTCACCGGCATCTTCATACATGTCATCATCTCCTATGTCTGCGTGGACGGCATCCTTGCTGTCGGGATCGGGCTTGATGTACGGCGAGGCGGCATCGGGGTCTGGCTTGACCGGGGGCATGGTGCCACACCAGCGAGACCGGTCACGCGGGGACGGGGTAAATATTACGGCAGTATATACTAGATAGTTATGCGACCCGACTGAGCGCGAGGGCGGGGAGAATAAAGTTGATTTCGATGCGATGAAGGAGGTCTGCGGAGAAAGTGACGTGATGTTGAGACTGAGGGTTTCGCTATGCAACCATGCCTGGCTGCCTGCGCTGCTAGGCTTCCTGGGCCAAGGCGGTGTCCAAAGCGGTGGTCACCTCCTCCGTCTATGTACCACGTGACTCGAACAGACTGCCAGGCTTCATTCCTTCAAATCTCTACAGCAATTAGGAAACGAGCAAAAGTATTATGATCAATGTAATCAGCTAGACTAGGCAATTCTAGCGATGTTATTATATCCCAGTTCTGAGATACTTTGTACAACGGCCAAAAAATGATCACTTTCGAATCGACCACTGGGGGAACTGATCGGCTTGATTTTGGTGGGGATTTGAACTTTTGGACGTCTCGAGGTTTCACTAGCGCGGTTTCGGTGTCACATGACATTGTATGGTATCCCGTGATCATACACTGCAGGCTGAGATACTGCCGGAAGTATAGTAGAGGGCTGCCAGGATCCGAACGAGTCGAACAATTAACGTTCAATCCCAATGATATTCATGTCTACAATTTTAAAGCGGCTATGGGGTTTCCAAGTACTAACTACAAGTAATTTGAATCTTTCAACACATATTGTAGACATATAGTCAAACGGACGCCATGGTGGTGCCAATACAAACACCCACAGCTGCGCGGCGTCCTTATCGATAAGCGGTCTCCACGGTCGTCCATCATCATCACCACCGAGTATCCCATCGTTTCACCACCTATTTATCTACCCTTGCGCCTCCTCATTCCCACCTACCCACCCCACTTCGATCCTGACATCTCATGACGTCTATCTAGGGATTTTTTTCTTGTCGTCATCATTCTCATGGCCTCGCAAAAGATGTCCTCCGCCCTGGCGGAGATCCAGTCCGGCAGTCCTCAAAGCAAGCTTCCCCGCTACGACAGCCTCCTCTCCGATGTCGTGTCGAATACCCCAGAAGACCAAATCTCCGATGATCTCATCTTCTACATTGACTCTGTGCTCAACGAAGACATCAGCATCGTCGCCGCCCGCCCCATCCTAGACTCATTCATCAGCCACCTCCGCAAACTCGACAGAGAGACACAAATCAAAGTCGCCCAACACACCGTCAACCTCCTCCAGTCGCGCTCCACATCGGTTGAAGAACAGGACGCTCAGCTCCGAGAGCTGCTGGCTGACGCATACGAGGCAAACGAAGACTACATCCTCGCCGCGCAAGCGCTGCGGGGGATCCACATCGACAGCTCGCAGCGGCTGGTGTCAGACGATGCCAAAGCGCGACTGTGGGTCCGGATCGTGCGGCTCTATCTGGAGGAGGACGACACATTGAGTGCGGAGGCGGTCCTAAACCGGATCAAGAACCTTCCCAGCAAGATCGAAGACCACGAGCTGAAGCTCCACTTCCGGCTATCGCAGGCGCGCATCCACGACTCGTACCGCCGCTTCCTAGATGCCAGCCAGGAGTACTTCACCGTCAGTCTAGCAGCCGGCGTCGACGAGGCCGACCGGTTGGAGGCGCTGGCAGCGGCCATCCGCTGCGCCGTACTGGGACCCGCGGGCCCGCAGCGCTCCCGCATCCTGGCCACACTGTATAAAGACGACCGCGCCACCTCGGTCGAAGAATTTGGCATCCTCGAGAAGATGTTCCTCGACCGGTTGCTGAACCCCGACGAGGTCGCGGCCTTTTCGGAGCGACTGGCGCCCCACCAGCTGGCTCAGACCGCCGACGGCACCACCGTGCTGGACAAGGCTGTCGTCGAGCACAACCTCGTCGCCGCCAGTAAGCTGTACGAGAACATCACGACCGATGCCCTAGGCGCCATCCTGGGCCTGCAGGCGAGCGGTGAATTCAGCGCCGGGGAAAAGGCTGAGGCATATGCCGCGCGCATGGTCGAGCAGGGCCGTCTGCGCGGGAGCATCGACCAGATCGACGGCGTCATCTACTTTGAGTCGAGCACCGGTGGGACAGGTCGACACATTCGGCAGTGGGATGCCGGCGTACAGGGTCTAGCTGAGGATGTGGAGAGAGTGGCGAGCAGCATTACGGATGCATTTCCCGTAAGTCAACTACCCAACCCTTCCCTAGCTGTCTAATCATAATATGATACTTACGTTTCCATGATGACAGGATTTTGCCCCTGGCGGACAGCCTGTGCAATAGACTAGCTTATAACATACGAATCACGAATGAACTGAATTTGAGCGATAGATTGCTGCATACACTAGGAGTACGACTGTACTGCACAGCAGATACGGGAGTTGAATGAACCTATGACATGCCATTACCGTATCTATGTCGCTATAATTCTTATCTTATATACGTCTGTGTTCTCATTCAAAGATGAAATGAGGGTGTAGAGACAGCCCTGCAGGTGCGATATAGACAATCGAATAGCTGGCCCAGGTGTTCTTATATCCTGGGAAGCATGCCCGATATTGAAGGAACTACGTTCGGCAATTCTCTCATAATGGTATTCCTACAGCGATAGGTATCTAGGGGGCTACAATCTGTCATCCCAGCACACATCTGAGATAACAAGACAAGACAAAACCACCAAATATCTCATCAATAAAACATTGCTATCATTGAATCATACACTGCATAATCATCGTTATACCCTAATTATACATTGCGTGAAATGATTAGGTGGAATCAGCATTCAACCACGGATCCCGCAGCAGCTCCTTCGCCGTCTTTCTATCTTCCGGTCTCCACTGAAGCATGCCTCTCATGAAGTCCAGAAACATCTCTTTGTTTCGTCCCTCGAGATACAGTTCCAGCTTTTCTAATGACGTATCTCGAGGTATCTCTACAGTATTTTTCCATTTCCCTGGCAAATCTTCGGTGAGCATTGATATAATCCCTCCAGTTATTTATCATAATGAGGGAGCACACACCGTCTTCATCGAAAAATTCATGACTTCGCTTTCCGCGCTTCAGCATATCCAAAGGAGGTGGTCCCAGCACTCCAATAACTTCTGCAAGGTGCGCACGAGTCGAGTATCCTTTCCCGTCGGGGTCATTGCCGTAGAACATGTGCCTGCCCTCGAATAGATCCCATACCTGATTTTTCTCGATCACGTTAGTGATCCAAGCTGTACGTCTGGCAGAGGGTTATATAAGATCGAACACACCATAGCACCGACATTCCAAATATCCACCGGATAGCTCCATTCCGTCTTCAGCATTACTTCAGGAGACCTGTACACGTTGGGCTGAGCATCATGGTTTCTCTTTTCATCCCCTCGCACAGCGGAACCAAAATCACTCAGGACTGCCTTGCCGAAGTTCCGCGGCAGGTCAAAGCGCCGTGACGCATAGACTGGTCCACCCTCGGTGAACTTCCGCGGTGAAGGATGCTCCATCTCAGCTTTGGCAAAGCTATCCAGGATGGGAGTATCCTCTATCTCCTGGAGAATATTGTCGGCTTTGATGTCTATACCGGCTGTCAGTGACACTTTTTGGGGTCAGAATAGAGGTTTGCTCTACCTGTATGTACAAGCTTGCACTCGGAGTGCAGGTAGTCCAAAGCAAGGAAAATCTGCATAAGACCAGCTTTGAGGAGGTCTTCCGTGAACCGGTGTTCAGGGTTACGAAAGAGTAAATCCCTGAAACTCTCCCACATGGGCTTCTGGACAAGACAGTGGTGGCTGTTCCCTAAGGCACGAGGGATGGTAAATGCATCCAGAGCTGTCCTTACGTGGACATGGCCTGGATCCAAGGTATTCGCCTGGCTCAAATGTTTATAGATCTTGAACTCTTCCTGGTTCGTTTCATCACATGTATACACTTTCAACGTGACATATCGATGATCCCTAGCTCATCAGCTTGTCACAACGCACCATATAATAAAACAAGGTAACTCACTGAAGGTCGCGAGCGAGCCATACTGTAGAAGTAACGCCGAATCCAAGCTTCCCAACAACCTGATACTTGGAACTAAAGACCTCGCCAATATTGACTGGATAGTAGCGCCCTTTCTTAAATCCTTCGAACCGTTCTTCCTCGACTACCTCAGATGCGCTTATTGTTTCAAAGCCGCTGGTCGGAAACCGCGTAGGGAGTGACGGGGCTTTTCTAATTATCGTCTGTGCCCATCTCAAGAGGGAAGCCATAGTCAAGGGTGCATACTGGAATAGAGAGTTGTAACTGGTACTTTTGGAAGAGATGATGGTGGCTGGGAGTGACTGATGACATAATCACCACTGGCAAAACATTGAGATTTGAGTCGTGTCAGGTTTCACGAGTGTTGGTCTATGATATTGGTGGAAATTAACATCATTGTTGATGCTACTGATGAGCGTTGCGTTGCTTTGAGAAGGCCGGGGCGCTGAAGCAGTCGGGTGTGGAAACAACAAGGCCTCCGCCAACCTCCAAGTTATATGTTACCAACATGAGGGCAGCAGGCAGCAGGCAGCAGGCATCAAGGTTTGGTATTGAGATGCATGGTTTTCGGTGCATGAGGCATGGGTTTGATGTGTTCCAGATAACGCCAGTCTCATTTCCACAGCTAACCCAAGGATTCTAGGGCTTGAAAGAGAAGCATCATCACTTGGTATTAATTCTCCGACTCGGAAAAAAAGAGTTGAAGATAATGGTCTGGTCTCGATTAGCTATTGGAGTAGATCATTATGGCCATACTCTTTAAAAACTCCACAATGTTTGCTACTACGATATATACTCCCAGGCTCCAGCCCCCGCCAAAGCAGCTAGTCCATTACTATGCACCTCCACTTCCTCCTCCGCTGAGAAGCATAAATTCCACAAGCCATCGCATCCCGGTAGATCCCCTAGCTTATTGCAGGACACAGGCTAGAAAAGGAGCAAGTATAATATTAAAGGGGCAGATCGAGAAAGCACGGCTGATGATGCGCAAAAAGACACTAGTATCTAACTGATCAACGCAATATTGCCGATCTTCGCGTGGTCGAACAAATAAGTCCCCGTCGATCACTTTCCAGGCTGATTTGAGTCATGGATGGAGAGATCTTCGGATAATTTAATTTCTTTTTTCTTTTCTTTTTTTTTCTATGATTTTTCTTTTGCGGTCCCCACATTAATTAAATGATTGATTAATTTGTCTCGGATATGGGCCGTCTGGTTCCTGGGCGTGGCGAAGTCTTAGTGTCTGGCTGTCTGTCTGTCTGGCTGGATGGGAGAGATAGGTTTAGTAGTGGTTCTGTGCATAGTAGAGATAGATAGTAGTAGAATATCATTTTACATCCTATATTCTAAATAATTTATCAACGCAAATCTCCCATCCCAGCTTTGAATCCTTCAACCAAATAGACTATTAGCGAACAGAACTAGTTCCTACGTAGTTGTGCTTGTGCAAGCAAGCACTTAGGGCTCGGCTGGCTATAAGCGCTAGTGCCTTGTATTGTGGGTAGACGATTGCTTATAAATTCGACGTCAGTGATTCTCGATATAGTCGACGGTGTAAAGCGTACTCTTTCCTCTTCGGGTACGATACTAGTAATGACACCAGTCCTAGTGGCCGGCTTCGATTGCCGCCGGTGGGGGAGAGGGGGGGAGGGAGAGGGGGGCTGGAATGCTAGGATACTTGCTAGGAAGGTTTACGAGTCATGTAGGGAAAGCTTGGTTTGAGGGCCTTAGTGAATGAATTGATTAATAGACTAGGGAAGTCTATTTTAGATGCGTAAGGCAGGAGGCCTGAACGGTGACAGAACTAGGTGACGTAGTATAATCTGTATTAGATTCGGGTCCAAGTTATAATGCAAAGGCACTACTATCTGGGCACGATGAGTACTTTTAATACGAGAGTGAACAGTGTTCTTGTATATATTCATTCCCTTGCGGGTGAAGAGTCTAAGCAGACCCTCTATTCTAAGCCTGGTAACCAATTGATCTAGTTAACCGACAGAGTATATATCCAATAGAAGAAAAGAAAAGAAAAGAGATCGCTTCGTATATATAGGAACAAAGCCAGGCATGTGTCATGAAATAAATTCGCTGAAGAGCAGTGGTGGGTTGGGAGTATTAGTGAATGTATGAGTGAATGTAGTGACATGCAATGTAATGCAATAGAGTCTTGTGATCATAACGACCAAACGTGGACATGCATACACATTAGGTATTATCGTTGTGATAGAGCAAAGAACGTGTCCAGAGAGGAAAGTATTGTCGTTGGAGGCCGAGGGCTTGAACCCTGGCCGAGTGTGGATGGGGGGAAGGGGCCGCGATGGGGTTCCACTGTGAGTCTTGTGTGATAGCAGACCGGCCTGGCAAAGAAGACAGCTGACTGAGTTGACTGGAGTCGTAGTCGTTTGTCTTTTTTCTCGTTGCTGGGCAGTATAGAACTGGCGACATCTCTCGGGTGGACTGGCGTCAGTCTAGTTTCGGAGGTGAGGATGCATGGTGATGTATTCGCCAGGACAAGGTGGTCTCCGCGGCTGGACTAGTGAACATGCGGTTCGGGGTTGGTCAACGATCTATCTATCCATTGCAGATGATCGGTGACCTGGATGTGTAGAATCTCCGTACTGTCGAGAGCAAGTTCACTTCTGGGAGTTTTGAGACCTCATGGACGCGGCGTCGACTTTGATATCCGTGCGGACGGAGATATCCAGAGGTCCCAGGTATGAATTGTCAGGCACCTGGGTGGTATCGCTAGCAGCGCGAGACAGACCTTCCTCCATCTTGTAGTACTCGATCGGCGACCGCGGGCTGGCCACAGAGGTAGCAAAGTGGGACGTGCTGATGTCGGTGTTGATGTAGTAGGGGTTCTTGGTGTACCGGCGACTACCGGCGAGCTTCAGCTTGGGGAACAGGCCACGGACGATGGGCAGACAGGCGCAGATGAGGCCGATGCTGGGCTCGATGTGGGTCCAGAGGGTGGCCTGGTAGACGGTGTAGGTCGCGTCGGCGGGGTCCATCCAGAAGAGGACGACGATACGGTAGATACTGGCGAAGCAGACGAAGCCACCGAGGGCGAAGACACCGTTCAGGGCGAGCTTGTCCTGCCACGCACGCTGCAGACCCCAGATCATGGGCACCGGCAGCGCCAGGATGGCAAAGTCCATGAGCACGTTGAAGGCCTGGTTGGCGATGATGAACTTCATGCCGTCGATGCAGGATCCCTCGACGCTCTGGTCCCAGTAGGCGCGGAGCGGGCGGCACTGCAGCGCGCACGTCAGGAAGATGGCCACACCCCACACCGCGATCAGCGTGTTGAGGCCCAGGGTGATCATCCGGAAGGGCTTCATCGTGAAGATGCGGCGGTAGAAGCAGATGATGGAGATCTTGATCATCGGGCAGAGGAGGAAGTAGGTGAATTGGTTGGCGAGGAAGATCTGGTGGGACTTGTCAACAGTTGTCTTCTTCAATATACGGGGCTGTTTCTTACCTTTTGATAATTCACCAATGTCTCCGGGCTCAGTTCGTTCATGTGTGTTCCGTTGCCTCCTTCCGTGACCCCTTTTGGGTGGTTAGTTAGGGTTCAGCTCTGTCCGGACGCTCCCACAACACTTACATAAAACCAGTTCGACCAACATTCCAATCAACAAGAACATAGCTCCGAAGGCAAGATAGTCGTCTACCCCGAAGCCCACCCGACGCTTCAATCGTGCGAAGACTCGAAGGACGGTGGTGATGAAGCCCAGTCCGACGAGGACCGTCACGATGACGATCATCGCAATTCCTCTTTCGGGAATCATAGTGTATATTCAAGGAGTGACAGTGACAGCACGATAGATCAAGAAAATTCGACAAGTCCTAGATATACTACTCGAAGGAGTGATATAGTAGTATACGGTCTGATCCAAGGGGTGGGATGTATCCGTCGGACTGCAAGGGATAGATTGCAATGGCGAGTGCACCACAGATGGCGAATCACAAAACGTATGGAGCAAAATGTCGTTGATCTCTCCACACAAGATACTCCAGTGTAGATTCCGCCGCGAGAAAGAGCTGATGGCGTGCGGCCTTATCCTGGAGGAAGATGGGAATCCTGGAGAAAGGAGGAACAACTCGACCCAAGAGGACGGACAGCCTCGTGCATATGTACTACGAGTTTACGACTACCACACGGGGCACGCCCATGGAGAAAGTGGGACGGGTACTTGCTTGATGGGTCCCCGATAGCCCAATGGGGGGATCATCGCTGACGGAGAACACGAGTCAATATGCTACATGTGGTGGGTTTCGCCAGGTGCGAATCCTTGTCCGAATTATCGATATATTCCTGCCTTTAGGTCGACGGCGAATCCATGGGACCGTAGGCGATAAACAGTGGAGTCACGACCAGCTCGGCCAACCATGACATAAAAGCCGCTACGGGGTCTGCCCACGATCTGATTTGGAATGATAAGCAGGCCCTAGCATAAATTCGAGAGAAAAAAAAAAGAGGGAAAGGAAAAAAGCCGCCCCCTCGTGGCAAGCGCTCCATAAAGCCGGCGACGATCCGGACGGTGTCAAATTCTGACGGTGATAGACCGACTATTACAATTTAGCCTCCACCGACAATTGGTTTCATTCCAAAGTTTCATATATGCTTGTGCACTTTACTCCGCGGCTAGCCACGCTGCATACATCATAAAGGAAGAGCAGGAGGAGGAGGCCTGCATGTAACCAAGGATGGCCGATCTATGAGAGCCCGGGGGATAAAACTCATCTCAGACCCGAGACCTGCCCCTTTCATCAAGAACACTCGGAACCCTGGATCGAAGGACGGATCTACCTGATGATAACTCTTTTCAGATAAAGGACCTGACGCCCGACGGATGATTTTCCCAAAATTCAGACCAGGAAGCACGGGGTCAAACTGATTTCCTGGTTCGCCGACTATCTGGACGATGGTTCCTCTAAGGTTGATTTCACCCCATAAGTCGTCATCCATGTGCGCCCAGGTACCGGGCCGGGGTGGTCGGAAGAGAAAAGGAACTGTGGTTGTGTACTCCATACAATTACCAAAGATGGCAACCCTACTCCAAGAATGATCTGCGGCGAAGGGTTCAATAGTGCCACCAATTGCGCACATTAGTGGCACTCGCAGCGACTTTCTTGCCCGAACCGCCGCGTCAACAGCTCGTGGCTTGATAAGCGATTTTTGATCTAAGCTGGATCCAACCAAGACTAAGACGAGTAGTGCCAGTCACCTTGAACTGGTCGAGGGTGGTGTTCCTCCCGCTGTCAGTCCGAGATCGCTCGGGGATCTCTCATTGGTGTTGATTCTGTCGGTGGAATCCCCACCGGGTGGAGCGCTTGTTCCACCCTTGGCAGAGAAAAAGTCGGGCTTCATCTCGAGGCTGTGGTCTCCTTGGCCTATCAGCGCACAAAACTGGAGACTGCAGCCTTTGAGCCCAAATGAACTCAACCGCGGTCGGCTAATCTGATCGACGCCCCCGATTCCTAGAATGAGCAACGGGTTTCACGGCGCTAGTTCCTTTTAGAGCTTTTGGCTGGTGCGATCCGTATCGATTGGACCTGTCCCTTTCCTCTTTCCACATCGATGACGATAGTCGCTGCCAGAAAATTAATAGTCGCGCAATAGTTAGGAACGTTAATCGTATAGTGCCCTCGATCAAGCGAGATGCCATGTGGTTTTCGGGGCCCATCTTGGCTCCGAGGCTGCCTATCATTTCACTCCATAGTCTCAGGTCTGTAAGTGTAGTGATAGTCTGTAGGTCGTGGAAAATCATGGAGGGGGTGGACCGTTGGAGTTTTATGTCCGCACGCACGTGGGTGCCCCTTGCCCTACAGCGCGAGACATCAGGAGCCAGAAAGTGGTCGCCCCTTTTCATTTCTTCAAGGGAAAAAAAGCATTTTCAAAGAAAATACCTGAACTATTACCGAGATCAGATCCTTGGAGAACCTTGGAGGTTGAGGCTCCACCTGGTCTATGCATTTCTTGAAGAGGAAATTCCCTCAACATAACTATGATATGCCCCATTGGGGTATCAGAACAATGTCGCGCAATCCTGAGTTGTAGCCCCTTCGACAAGTATAACCATGGGATACGGTGTTCCCTCACATCCTTCAGAGCCATTGATCATTCAGCCCCCAATCCTCCTTGTTTCTGTCCCCTTCTTTGAGCATGCAAGGATCCTCTCGGCATTGTACACGGTAGTGACGGTAGTGGTACGGTGAAAAGATGACTGTGGGGAAGTTGGAGCAATAAGACCCACGGCCAATGAGATACTCGGTTCCGAGCAGAAACAACGGAACTGATTCACCTGCACTGGGTCTGCTATCCCGCTATTGATAATGCTATCGTTATTCGGTATTGTTAGGCTCCGAGTATACTGTACAGGACGGAGTACTATCATGACTATTAAATCCACTGACCCTCTTTTTTTTTTTCGGCTCTCACGGCTACCGTTATCTGTGTATACCGCGCAACCTGGAGTTTTACGGTGCCTGCATCAATAGCTGAGTTCCTTCTCCTGGGGGTCTGTATCAATTCTGTAATTCCTTTTTTTTTTCTCTTGAGATCCCATCACGTCACCCCTTGATCCCCTCAGAATGCCCGCCCCGCCCCCGCCCCGCCCTCCGTCATTCCCATGATCATCAATGGCAAAGAGGAAGTCGGCGAGTCAACCTTCGACGTGATCAGTCCCTACACTAACGAGCGTTGCTGGTCCACGGCATCCGCCACGCCCCAGGATGCCATCCGCGCTGTTGAGGCTGCGGACGCCGCATTCCCTGCTTGGTCGCAAACCAAACCCACAGCGCGCCGGGATATCCTGCTGAAGGCGGCCGACATCCTGGAGAGCCGTCTCATCCAGAATGCAGAGCACATGCGTACCGAGATGGGCGCCGATGTGGGTGCATCGCAGTTCTTCATCGTCCCGCTGGGTATCCGCATGTTGCGGGACATCGCGGGGCGCATCACGTCGATCTGCGGTAGTGTACCGGTGCTGGAGGAGGAGGGTCAGAGTGCTATTGTTTACAAGGAGGCTATGGGGGTTGTTCTATCGATTGTGCCTTGGTATGTATCCCTTCCTTCCTCTCATCTCTCTTACTACCCCATCCGCTCCATCTTTTGCGATCTATCTTATAAGAAGGCATATTGACCAGATCAACTACAGGAATGCGCCATACGTCTTCGGCGTCCGCGGCGCCGCATGCGCCCTCGCCGCCGGTAACACGACCATCCTGAAGTCTTCCGAAAACTCCCCCTGCTCGTACTGGGCCCTTGTTCGCGCCTTCGAGGACGCCGGTCTGCCCCCGGCTGTCTGAACCTCGTCTCATGCCGACCGCAAGACGCCCCCGAGGTCGTCAACACCATGATCGAGCACCCGGCTGTGCGCAAGATCAACTTCACCGGCAGCACGGCCGTTGGGCGCAAGATTGCGCGCTCCTGCGGACAGAACCTCAAGCCCTGTTTGATGGAGCTGGGGGGGAAGAACAGCTCTATCGTGTGCGCTGATGCTAACCTTGATACGGCTGTCAAGGCGGTTCTGGCGGGTGCTTATTTGAATGTATTTTCTCTCCTCTTCCTTCTTCTGATGTTGATGTTAAGTTCTAACCACAATATCCACAACAGTCCGGCCAGATCTGCATGGCAACCGACCGCATCCTCGTGCACTCTTCCATCGCACCAGCCTTCATCGACGCGCTGAAGGCCGCCCTGAACGCCAACATCGACACCTCCACCCCGCCCCCAACACTCGTAAACGTCGCCTCCAAAGCCCGCGTCGAAGGCCTCATCGCAGACGCCCTATCAAGCGGTGCACACATTATCCACGGCTCCGCCGACCAAACACCCCCAACCGACGGCGTGCGCATGGCGCCCGTACTCCTAGGCGGCGTCAACGAAGACATGACAGTGTGGAAGGAGGAAGCGTTCGCGTCGCTGGCGGCGTGTATGGTCGTGGACAGCGACGAGGAGGCGATCCGCATTGCTAACAGCAGCGGATATGGGCTGTCTGCGGCGGTGTTCACCGAGGATTTGCGGAAGGGACTTGCTATGGCGAAGAAGATTCAGTCTGGGTATGTCTCTTGTCCCCCCTTTTTTTTTGTGTTGTTGTTTTATTCTATAGCGTGACGATGCTAATTCGCGCAGGGCTGTGCATATCAACAGCATGACTATCCACGATGAGCCGGCTCTGCCGCATGGAGGCGTCAAGAACAGCGGGTGGGGTCGCTTTAATGCGGAGCAGGGGTTGGAGGAGTTCTTGGTTACTAAGAGTGTGACTTGGATGGATTAATGAGTTATGAAATGTGTATGTATGAGCTGGTCTGGTTGATGGTTTGGTTGATGGGACAGTGTATATAGTTTGGTTGTGCGGATACCACTGGGGGTGGATGTTTTGCATGATTACTTCCTATCTAATCGAGATTGTTTATTATTTACATTTGTCATGCTGGTTTGATGGGGAGAATTTGGGAGTCTAGAAGCCATCCTGTGTCGGTCACATCTACTTCACCTCTATTATTATGATTACCTATGAGGTATAGCAAGACCCTATCCTATGGGGGCAGTCACCGCGTACATACTACCTTACCTATTCATCTCCAGCCCGCAAATCGACCATCTTAACCAATACACAATAGCTTACCAGTATTACCTCGGGATAGTCAGTACATAGACCAAATGTTAACATCAACTCCTCATCAAATATATACTAACGCCAATTCCAACACCTACCAAAAGCAAACGTAAACACCAACCTCGTCAACCCCGAAATCATCCAAGGCTGACGGACCTAGTGCG